AAGTAAAAGGTATTATGTATTTATAGAAAATAATTCCCTCCCCACCTTTATATCAGTCCAAGGAGGAGAAGCAGTCCTTTTCCATTCTCGGAATTCCAGCTCTCTCTCTCTCTCCAGTAATTTTGCAGCACTCTCGTCGTAGCTGGAATTCCTTTTCTTTCTCTGTGTAGGCTTTTAGGGCTGGGCCTAGCCCCCTCCTGGGCTAAAACCGAAGGCTGAGGGTTACCCAGGTCCTGAAGGGTCTCCTTCCATAGGCTTGCAAGGGGACACTTGCTTACTATGGATCTTCTTCCACAGGGTTTCAGGGGATAATGGCTTAAAAGTCCACCCCTGTTTCCCTATGGAGGTCCCTCTCCATGGGAGAACAGTCCTTGATTGACTTCTCGGCATGGGTCTAGTCTGGATCCCTTACTCCCTCAGGGTCACAAATCTTCAGCACTAGTAGTATGGATCTCTCACTGAGATCCCAAGCTTATCTGAGCCGTCTCGCTGCGGCATAAGCATCGTCCCTTTCAAGGGTCACAAAGTCTTCAACAGGACTCTGCCTCATCCGAGCCGCTTCTGCTCCAGCATAAAGCTTTTTTCTTTCTGTCAAAGTCACAAATCTCTGATACATCCGTAAGCTCCTCCGTGAGCTGCATGGGGGGTCTCCTCACCCCAACAAACTTTTACAAGTGGCAGGGTTTTATTTTTCAGTCTTTACCCTGCTGAAGGGAGGGAGAGCGAAAGGGAGAAAAAGCAGCTCTCCCCCCTTCGAACTTTTCTTCTCTCTCCTGCGACTGCAGCTTTGACCTTGAAAATTCTTTATCTCTTCGCTGGAATTTCTCTGCAGCGGTTTCTGTCCAAGCAGTTCGTCTTTTAAATCATTTTTTTCTTCACTCTTTTACAGAAGAGAAGGGAGGCTTCAGTACTACACCTGCCCCCCCGGCCCAAGCTGGGGGAGGAGGAGACCTTGACCCTCCTTGGGCCCACTACTCTTCTACATGGCTGCTGCCCCTAATTTCAACTGTGACACAAGTCTTCTCTTCCGTTTTCTCAAAGATGTAATTAGCAAAGGCATCACTGAACTTTTTGATTGGTTTTTTTGTCTGGAAATCACCTGGACAAAACCATCCTCAGCCCTAGGGATGGGCTGGTGGGCAAAACCACAACACTTTGTGATCTGTGTCTTCCGTGGTGACAGTTTTTGTTCTAGGCTCTACATGGCTGTTAGCACTAAGCTTGCATAGTCAGTTCCAAAACCACAGGAAAATAGTGGATAAATAATTCTGAAGTGTCGTTTACGTGTTTTAACCCTGGCTGGCAATTAAGTATCACACAGGGGCTCTCTTATTCCCTCCTACTGCTGCACCAGTTGGGAGGAGAATTGGAAGGAAAAGGAAAGCCTTGCAAGTTTAGATAAGAACAATTTAATAATTGGAGAAAACCCACCCCCACTCTGATAAATAACTAATTGGAAACTGGGTGTTACTGTTTGTTGTGTTTGTGCATAAGGTAATCAATCACACTGTATATTATCTGCTAAGAACCACTAAAAATGATTTCAGGTATTATTTCAAAAGAATACTTAAGGAATACTTAAAAGGTTTATTATGCAGCTGCATCAGTAATAAAAACCAAACTCTGTATATAATCACTGTGCAAAGAGCAGGTGTTTTGTTATCTCTTAGTGTTGAGAAGCAAAAGGAGAATATTTTTTTTTTTTGAGGTAGAAGGGAGTTGCTTTGTTTGTTTGTTTTTTACTTTTTCATCCCCTCAAGTTTCAGGGAATGCCGGATTCCCCATCACAAGTTTTATCTCAGTTTTCTCCTACTGTCTTTGGCAACTGGGTATTTGTCCAGTTCTCTGACCTTCATATTAAAAGTGTTTTTCATGGAATACATTTTTGCATCCTATCCCTAGTAGATAACAAATCCTCACTAGTCACATATGTAATCGGGAACTCAGATTTTCTAAGGTACTGTCTCTTCCTGAAGCAATTATTTAGTCCCCAGTGATAACCACCTTTGCATTCAAAGAGTTACTTGCTACTCCTTCTTTTAAGGTTTGTATAAAAATGCTCATGTTGATGTCTGTGTGGATCAGAGATCTGGATTAATATTTAATAAAATCGAAGAACCCTTTTCTCTCATTATGTGATAGTTGATGGGAAGATATGAAGGCTTGTTAGAGCTAGTGATTGAGCCGAGTGGCTGGGCTTTTTTCCTCCCTTTTTTTTTCCCTGGACTCTTATAGAATCATAGAATGGCTTGTGTTGGAGGGGACCTTTAAAAGTCAAACAGTCCAATCCCCCTTGCCTTGAGTAGGGACATACTGATCTAGATCAGGTTGCTCAGAACCCAATCTAGCCTTACCAGGGAAAGGTCATCTACCGCCTCCCTTGGCAACCTGCTCTAGTGTTTCACCACCCTCATCATAAAGTAATTTTCCCTTATATCTAGTCTGGATTTATGTTTTTTCAGTTTAAAACCATTATCCCTTGTCCTGTCTCTACAGGCCCTATTAAAAAGTCTGTCCCAACCTTTCCTTTAAGTATTAAAAGGCTGCAGTGAGAGCCTCCTGGAGCCTTCTCTGCTCCAGGCTGAACAACCCTAACTGTCTCAGCCTTTCCTCTTTCCTCACAGAAGGAAATCCTCTGAGCATTTTTGTTGCTTTCCTCAGGACCTACTCCGACAGGTCCATGTCTTTGTGCTTAGGGTGGTGGGGTCTCATGAGAGTAGAGTAGAGGGGAAGAATTGTCTCCCTCAACCTGCTGGTCAGAGGTCTTTTGATGAGCCAGCCAGGATATGGTTGGCACATTGCTGGGTTGTGTCCAGCCTCTCCTCCACCAGCACCCCCAGGTCCTTCTCGGCAAGGATGCTCTGGATCCGTTCATCCCTCAGTCTGTGCTGATTACGGGGGTTGCTCCAGCCCAGGTGCAGCACTGACCACCTGGCCTTGTTGAACCTCACGAGGTTCATGTGGGCCCACACACATGATGTCGTGGCTCCATATAGCGATAGTGGGGAGAAATATCCAGGAATCCTGTCAGGGAACGGGAATTAATTGACAGCTTTGTGGAACTCATGGGGACCATATTACAAGCACTCCGGAATTAGGAGCAGAGGAGCAGTTCCAGCAGGAAGACAGAGAAGTCTCCCAGAAGGAAACACATCACAATGCACGGGAAGAGCACTGTTTTAACAGCTGTTACTGAATGGCTGTTTAGAGGGACACCCACACGCACACAAAAATTTGCCCTCCATTGTCTCCGTAGCTGGACTCTGTTTCTGCATTGCCACATTGTTATTGTTTTGTCCCTTCTAGAAAATGAACTCTGCTGTTTCTTAGAGTGGTTTAGGATACTGTAGAACTGTCTGAGAATGGTATATTAAAATTGTAAAGCTGTTTTAGGGAAGGGTTTTTGAAGGAAATTTGTTACTTTCAAAACTCTGAAGGATATGATAAGGATATAGCTCTCTTTTTAGGATCTGAATAAATGTTTTGCAGCATAAATTTGACACAATTGAAATATACAAGCAAATAAAATATACTTATTACAAAATTTAAATGTATGTGAAGAAACAAGGAATATTTGTTTCAGCCTTTCTTTTTGTTCTTTGTTGTCTAACTATGAAAAACATTAGTATCTTGAATGGCATAAAAATCCTCGTGATTTTGGAACATGGACATTTATGACTATTCATTGGTTACAGCTGAACTTAATCAGCAAACATATCCTGGGGATTTGGTCTTTTTGGCTTTTCATAGATATCATTGCTGGATTTTTTCCTAATTAAGTGTTAGGTTTTTTTCTTCCAGAGAAAATGAAAGAAAGGAGCATTCACCTTGTTGCCTGTTCTCCAAATAAGTGTTAGATGGCATTGCTAGGGTGCTAACATGACCTTCCAAAGGTATTAGGAGAATATGACTATTCTGCTCTTGATTTTTTTGAGGGTCTTCTCCTCAGAGAAAGACCTGCAAAATTTTCCACTGTTACATGAGTTGTCTTTTTTTGTAAGAGACATACATTAAGGGTATTTACTGGGAAATGACTCTGACCAGTATTACTATTTCAAATGCCACTAAAGCAGGAATGGTTGTACATTCTGTTCGGAAAAAACTTGGTTGATGTATCTGACGTTTTTATACTCTGAAGCTGTAAGAGCTCATGTAGCATGTCCTGTCTGTGATGCATATGAGCAGTGCTTCCTACAAGTAAGCCCAGGCTTTTCCTAGGAGAAGGATAGTAGCAGAGAGCGTTAGGCAGATACCCTCTGAATAACATCGACGTTATTTTCACAGAACTCATCCACATAATTTAAAATTAATGTTCATTTAAAATAAATTGTCAAATAACCTAGACCAGTTAAAAAGGTTGTGCTGAAGTAGACAGACTCTTCTCCTCACCACGAGAAGAAGGAAGAAAAGGGCTTTGCCTTGTGGACTGTGGTGCCTGTCACTGTGTTAATAAGACACCCTGAAATATTCAGGGTGAAATGTTCTGAAATATTCAGAACACTGGTAGTGCATAGACCCATTAGGGTTTAGCAGCACTGTGTTCTCCTCTTCCATCTGATAACAGGGAATAATTAAGTTTGGAATATGTCACTCTGCATTTGATCTTCTGGTTGTGGGGAGCTGATGAGCATTTTGTGTGACTAGTGTTACTTCTAAAAACTGAGTTTCTTACGTTGTTTGAGAGAGTGGGTTTTTCTGAATGTATGCTCTGGAAGTACTTGCACGGTCCAGTGACTTCTCAAAGTAGAAAATGTGGTGGAAAATTAGCCTTTTGGAGAATGTACTACTGTATTTATAGCAAAGTTTATTGTGAAAACAAGGATGCTAAGCCCTGTTCTTTTCTTTGATTGCTATTAAATATAAAGCTTTTAAACCTAACATGTACACTAAGTGTGTGGGGTTTAATCTCTTCTGTTTGCTACTTGGTAGCATTTTTTTTAACTTCTGAAAGTTCCTTGACATTGAAGTAAAAGAAGATAACCTTTTCCTTTCTACCGCAGATCCAGACGTTTAATGTTGAGGCACCATGCCAGACCGTGGAAGATTTAACGAGTGGGGTTGTGATGGCCCAGGTTCTTCAAAAAATGTAAGGAATTTCTTACTTTATGACCTACGTTTTATCATTTGTGCATTTTTCTGTATTTACATGTGTTTTAGTTCAGTCTTGGCTGGTATTCCATGGGGATGTGGCTTTTCCTATGCTTAGATGGTCCTTTGAACCGGAACATGACTAATATGATTCTTTTTCTCTGTAATTTTTATATAACCATCTTAAAGGAAAAAGAAAAGTTTTGTTTTAGGGAGGTGTTTATTCAAGGTGAACTTAGTGAAAAGTAAGTTGTATTAACTTACAGATTCACACTTGAAGTTGAAACAGTGCAAGGTAAGGTAACTGGCCCTGATCATTGCTTGAAATTACAGTCAGTGATGTTAGAATTAGTTTCATGCAATAGAACTTCTGTGATAAACTGAATGCAACTGTCAGTTTAGTGCTGTGCAGTTGGAAGTACTTGTCCTTCAGTTTGTTTCCACTGCCTCTTGTCTGTTCGCTGGACACCACTGAGATTATGTGAGAGTATAAAGAGGGAGCCATCAGGCTATTTATACACAGGATTGGTAGGATCCCACTGAGCCTTCTCTTCTTGAGGCTAAACAAGCAGAACAGCTCACTCAGTCTCACCTTGTATGACAGATACTGCAGTCTGTTAATCGTCTTAATTGCCCTTTGCTGAACTTCCTTGTATGTCCAGGTCTCTCTCATACTGGAGAACCCAGGATGCAGCACTTCAGATGTAGTTTCACCAGAACCTTGGCCTGCTGCCAGTGATCTTCCCAACATAGCCCAGGTTGTGGTTGGCTTTCTTTGCTACAAGGGCATGTTGCTGGAGTGTGTTAAGCTTGGTTTCTACCCAGCTTCTTGCCTGCAAAGCTGTTTTCCAGCCAGTTGGCCCCCAGCGTATACTGGTGTATGGCGTTTATTTGCACGTACCTTTGTGAAATGTGGAAGGTTCCTGTCAGCCTGTTTTTCCAGCTCATCACGTTCCTCCTAAATGGCAGCACAACTATCAGGTGTATCAAACACTCCTTCCCTTTTTACCTTATATGAAAAATTTCCCTCTGTTCCATCGCCTAGGCCCCTATTAAAAACATTTAATAGTCTTGGCCCCTTGGGTATGTTGCTAATGGCCTGGGCTACAGATGGATTTTATGCTTCTGCTAATAAACCTTTGAGCCTGGCATTTCAGCCATTTTTCAGCCCACCTTGCTGTCTACTCACCCAAGTCATGATTCATCAGTTTGTCCAGGATGATGTTATCCTTCTCAGGCAATCTGTAGCAGGAATAGATAACACTTTCACTTATCTTGGTCTTCTTGGTCATCCTGACCCGTAATCTCTCAGCTGGCTCCTATCCATCCAAAGAGAGAGCTCATGCATTCCTATTGCTCTCTCACATGAAAGGCATCTGCCTTGTCACTGCCTTCTCACCTTGTTCTTCCTAAAGAGCCTGTATGCATTCCTTGTCACGTGAGCCATCCTACCAAGTCTTCATGATCCCAGTGAGACCGTAGCCTTGCATGCAGAGCTCTGTTTCTTCCTGTTTGTTCTCCATGCTGCGTGCATTAGGGCACAAGCACTCCACTTATGCATCCAGTCTTGCTGAGTCTCAAGAATGCAGCTTTCCGTGGAGTGTTTTCCTGTAGGCCTTTCCTTATTTATGTGCATATGCTTGGGGTGATCCCTTTTCATCCAGCCCTGTTTTGTTGACTGTGAGGTATCTCTTGTTCACATTGTCCCACATCCTTTTTTTTTTTCAAGAGACTGCACCATTTTGTCACTAAATGTTCCTTTCTCTAGTTTTCCTTCTACAAAACTGGTCTAACCAGGTTGGCCAGCCCGTTGGTGAAGATTGCCCACCACAGTCAGGTGGATCCCATCTCTTCAAAGCAGTCCTTGACTCTCAGAAGGGTTTGGTGGCCACTGAAACTAAAACCTTGTTGCCAACACCCGTTCACAGCTGGTTGTTGACTTGCAGGATCTGTCTGTTCCTCAGAACCCTCTCACTGACAGATGCAGCTGGTTTGAACATCAGTTGAGCCTTTGCCATAGCTTCCAAAGCCACGTAATCACCCTGTGCTTTCCAGGTTTCCCTAGCTGTGCAGCTCGTGCCAAGGTGGAAGAGCAGGAGGAGTAATTGTGTAAGGGCTGGACAAACTTTGGCAGTATTTCCACAGGGCCAGGAATTCAAACCCTTAGCAAACAGCAACCCTTCTTAGATGGTGTTAGTCAGGAGATGAGGGGCCTCCATCCGTGCTAACACTTGCTGCTCCCCCGCCTTGCGTTGCAGCGTGGCTCAGGTTTAGTGAGCACAGATGGTCTGTTTGACAGAGCTTCTGGCACCGTAACTGCTCTGAGGACACTGAATCTGTTCTATAGATTCAGACCCTCAGGAGTAGGAGCCTTACCTCTAGTGAGAGAAGGAGCTGCCAGTTCACAGGAGGAATGAAAGGGGCACAAGAGAAAATCTCCATGTAGTCAAATATTTCAACGCAACACATTTTTGCATGTGGCTCTGAGATACTGTTTTCAACTGATGAAGTGATGTTTCAAAACCAGATGTAAAATACAAATATTGTGTTTCTGTAGCATGATTTTAAAATATTTCCTGTAACAACTGCTGTGCTATCACTGAATACAGAAATTCTTTACTTTGCCCAGTTTATACAGTAAAGATCACCTAAACAATTTACATTTCTTTCTTTATGCCTTAGGTAATAATTTGAACCTGTCAAAGCTAGTGTTTGACTATCTTGCTTTCTGATAGTTATGCTTCAGATTTAACATTTTGCATACTTGTGTAATGGATCCACAGATTCTCATGCAGCAATTTAGCAACAAAATTGCTAAATCTTGAGTTCATTCTTGTTGAGATAAACTTTGAAGAGCAGCAGCAATCTGATCTTGGATTGTACAATAGGAATCACAAAATATGCTGAGTTGGAAGGGATCCACAGGGATCATCGAGTCCAGCTTGTGGCCCAAGAGGACATACCAAGAGTCACACCATGTGCCTGAGAGTATCATCCAAATGCTTCTTGAACTCTGTTTGAACTTGATGTTGTGACCACTGCCCTGGGGAGCCTGTTCAGTGCCCAACCACTCTGGGGGAAGAACCTTCTTCTAATATTCAGCCTAAACCTGCCCTGGCACAACTCCAGACCATTCCCTCAGGTTCTGTCTCTGGTCACCCCAGAGCAGAGATCAGTGCCTACCTCTCCTCTTGCCCTTGTGAGGAAATTGTACCTGCAATAAAGTCTCCCCTCAGTGTCCTCTTCTCCAGGCTGAACACACCAAGTGCCCTCAGACACTCCGATCACACGACTTCAAATCAAGGCCCTTCACCATCTTCATGGTCCTCCTTTGGACACTTTCTAACAGCTTCATATCTTTCTTATATTGCAGTGCCCAAACTGCACACAATATTCAAGGTGTGGCCGCCCCAGGGCAGAGCAGAGCGGGACAATCCCCTCCCTCTACTGGCTGGCGATGCTTTACCTGATGCTCTCAGGACAGGGTTGGCCCTCCTGGCTGCCGGGGCACTGCTGACTCACATCCAACTGACCATTGACCAGGACCCCCAGGTGCCCTTCTGTGGCACTGCTTTCCAGCACCTCATTCCCCAGTCTGTATGTTAACATATGAACAATCTTCGGGGGAAAGTATTATTGCTGCCTTTCTTTTTTTTTTTTTTTTTTTTTATACAGCAAACCAGAAGATAAACAGTGTATAATAAGAGTGTAGCAGAAGATCGGTCTAATTCATTTTTGAAGTAGAGTTGCAGAATAGCCAAACATTGTCCATTTCCCTGGACATGAGAGACTGGAATATAGGTCAAATACAGGGGTCAGCATTTGTATAGCTGAATAGAAAACTGATCACGACCATGTTGACAAAGCCACTTTAAATATTCTTTCTTGAAAACAAAAACAAATTCAACCCTACCAATGAAATCTTCTTGCTCCTTTGAACAGATACCAGAGGAACAATATTTAGCTGGGAATCAGGGAATGTTCAGCAATTTGCAAGTCTAGAGCAGGCTTTTGCAGTCCACCCTTCTTTTTGTATAAGCAACAGTGGCAGGTACAGAAATATGTAAGAGCAAGACTTAAGGTTATTTGGAAAAGTCAAGCAATGACATTAAATAGCAAAGAACAAGCACAGCCTGAAAGCATCAGGTCACTTCAGACATGTAATTTGCAGTGAAAACTTGAACATTTGTCTTCAACAACAAAACCTCTCAAAAAGTTAATCTTCAAAGGGCATGTTTATTGTCCTGACTGCAGACACAAAACTTAAATGCTGTTACTCTTATTCCATTTAGAAGGGTAAAGTAGTATTTTTGTAATTCATGTTCCTTGAAAACTGGGTGTTTTTCACTGTAGCTGCTTCCTGTTTGAGTCTCTTTATCAGTATGTGTTCTTTGAGCCTACTAATACTAAGAGGTTAATTTTCAGCAAAGGCTGAAATAGCTAATTAATATATCCAGTGAGAATTAAAAAAAAAAGTTGATTATGAATGAAAAAAATATTTTCAATGAAGAAATCAAATAAAGTGAGGCAGAGCAGTGATGAAAATTTAAAGATATTGGGGTAGTCCAATGATATTTCCATTTATGTATTTCCATAGGAGACTGAGGATAGCATTTGTTCTGGAAAACCTAAAAGTTTGAAAGTGAACTATATTATTTTTATTTTTTTTTAACCTCTACACTAATAAGAAGAGTTCACCGGTGCTTATGAGAAGAGGAGGTAGTAGTTTATCATGAGAAACAGTTTTTGAGAGATCCCTAGTTTGGAGAATTTGTTGCTTTAGACAAAGACAAAATGTGCACAACAAAGAACTGAAGGATTTATTGTCAGTAAAATTAAAAAGGAGGAACACTGCTTATTTATCAGCTGATAAAAAATTGCTGTGTCTTGTGCCAAGTGTTTGGAAGGGGCCAAAAGCTTCTTCCATTGTTCTGAATTTTTTTTGTACATCGTTCTCAGTATTTTTTGCATTCAAGGCAGCAGCCCCTTTGTAGGTAAGGGCCAATCAATCACAACAAATGTAGCAGAATTCTTTGTACCAAAACTGCTGGAAGAAGGGAAGAAAAGGTTCCAGAGGAAATTACTAACAACTTCAGAAGCTTTTCACTTCTGGTGTCGTGTGTGGTTGAAAATGGCAGACTTGTGTTCTATGTGACTAAGGATGAGCATTTTGCTTACAGTCTCAGTTGTTAATAAAGTTATTGGTAAATCCCTGAGGGGATAGCATAAAACCTTTGTCTTCAAATGTCAGGTTAAAACATCATTGAATGAAATTCCCCAGTGCTAACTAGATTGTCTTGGAGGAGGAAAATCAACCTAAGCTTTAGCTTACTTTTTTTTTTGTTTTATTCTGTAAGATTCACTGTTTGTTTTTGGATGTGAAGGTTATTGGTCCTGACTAGCAGTGGTATGAGATACAGTAAGATAAGATGCCTGTACATAATCAGTGTTGATGATTATTTTACAGAGTGTTGTTGTATTCCAGGAGAAAGATTGGAAGCAAAAGGAAATGTTTAAACTGTCTATGAGTAGAGTGTCTGCCTAAAATCATGTAGCTTATGCTGGTAGAAGTGCCATAGCTTGCTTCTGAGTTGCATCCATATTTTCTGTCCTTTTTTTCTTTTTTTAGCCTTCTCTGTTGTTAATTTTTCTTTACTGTCCACTGGTATCCCTAGAACAGCACAATTTCCCGGGTTTTGCTATGTTTTAAAATTTTCCTTGCATCTCACTCTGGAGACTGTTTAGTACCAGGTGTCCCTCTTGTTTTGATTCTTCCTTCCTGTGTCATACTGGCCTTGGTAGGTGTAAGAGACGGTATGTATTTTCATTTGTCATCTGTGCATTGTGCCCCTCTTAATGAATTATTCATTTGATATATTATACATTGCAGTGCACTGTGTGTGTTTTGACACACGCAGAATGCAAAAGCCATGCTGATGTATATTGCTGGGGGAGGGAAATTTTTGTAAACAGACATTTCTTGAAGCAGTTTACTGTACCACTGTCAAAATGAGTAATAATCATGAGTTATACTACATGCTCTGTGGGTTGGTTTTCTTCAGAAGAGTATTTCTGTCTCTTGGCATCTGTGATATGGAGAGATGACTGCTTAAATAAAGGAAAATTTGCATACAAAATAAGATGGAGATGGTATAAATGAGCACTGCTGAAAACATCACATGAAGTGATAGAGCATTAACAACAGTGCTCTGAAGAAAAGTCCCAATTATCTGCAGTGCTATTCAGCAATCAACTGATACACAAATACCTTTCTAAACCTGAAAAGTTATCCAGTGCAAGAGATGGTCTAAGTTTGGATCTAGGCCCAGGAACTTACCGAATTCAAAATACTTGGTCCATGAACAAGTCATCTCCTGGTAATGATGATGTTCCATCCTCTGCCCTTGTTTAGTGCAGCGATTCTTCAGAATGAGATGGCAGGTTTAGCTGCTCAGTTCTCAACCACACATTTTTGTATTTCCTTAGGTGATGCTTTTTCAAACACCCTAGGAATGACACTGTCGTTTTCTAATGACACAGACTAAGATAGTTAAAAAACTCTGAAGATGATTGAATCCTAATTACCAAAAATTTAGCAGAGAAAGACTTGTTTGCAGCAAGGACTGTGAATGATCTAACGTCTGGAAGCCCCTTTTAAAAAGTATATGTAGAAATCCTTGTGGAATAGCTTTTATTTCAGATTTGATTTCAATCAGTTTGATATATAGAGAAAGCATTTTTCTTGGTAGTAATCATGAACTTTAATTGGTCTTCTGAAGACAGAAATGAAATTATAAGGACATTTGATTTATTTTAAGGAAAGGATGATAATTTTGTATTTTCTTGGTGTTGATATCCAACCTGTTGCTTATGTGGTTATTCCTGGCAAAGTGGTTTTCCAGCATGCAACTAATTATTGTGTAACCTGTATGCAGGTTCTGTAAGGCAGTTGTTGGTACTAGTTTGACCACTGTCATATGGGGATGATTTCTAATGGGTTGCCTGTGAGCTGCTGGACCCTTGGATGCTTCCATGAGATTTGTATACATAAAAGTAAAAAATCAAATAGGATCTGTGGAAGAGGACTGCCACACTGAGCTTAGATTTAATTCTCAAGGACCTTCCTTATATATGTCTGATGACATACGTAAAGGATTAGGTAGCTTATGACTTCCATCAAGACTGTAAAAGATGGTTGCTGGTCCATGTGTTATATTTACCGTAGTAACTGAGAAAATCTGCTTGTTTTCTTTTCCTCAGGCTTCTTGAGTGGAGTGAGTTGCACCTAACCCTGAAATCTTGTTACTTTTCCTCAGCTGATGCTGTTATTGACACCTTTATTATTGCAAATTGGGTATGCAATATCAACTGTCCAGTTGGCCCAAATACAATTTTCCTTGTGAGATATTGTTTATGCTTAGCCATGATGCTTCTTAGAGTCATTATTTACCATGAAAATGGTAAGTCAATTTTCATGGCACTGCGGCCTTGAAGTAGCTGAAGATTTTAGTGACCAAGTGCAACCTTTGAAATGATAAGATACAATCCTTAAGAAAGTCTTGTTGATCTCTTTTGCTGGTGAAGCACAGGCAATCAGTCATACCTGCTTTCTCAGCCACGTAAACATTTTGTAGTTTTGAGTCTGTTGTAAAGCCAGGCTTACTTGTGTGTTGGCAATTCCCAGAAGACCCATTTATTTGAGAGATACTGGAGTGCTTTTTGAACTTCTCACCTAAAACAAGGCTTGAACTAGCATGTTTTTTCATTACTGTCCAGATGATTTTGTTGTGATTGAGAGGAAGTTAGGCAAATGAAGACTTTTAATTAAGACTTTTTACAAGGAGAGCTATTGTTTCATGTGAAAGCTGAATATGAGCCTTCTTCATATGTTGTAGATCTTACATGTCTTTGAATCAATGTTATTCTTAGCTTTACTTGTCTTCTCATGGCAAAGAGGCCATTGGAAGCTATTTGAAAACATTTATTTCAAAACCAGATGAAACTCTGGATAAGACATTGCTTTTTCTATTTCATAGTTTTAAGATTCTGTCACTTGTGCTAGAATGGGTGGAATGGAAGCAATTTGGAGTCATCAGTTTAACTAGTAATTAAAGCTGTTCTTCCAGATGTATATTTGAGGATACCATGTCAAAGGAAAGAAAATATGTTGTAATCTTCTCCAGAGTCTGTAACAAAATGTGTAAAAATAGCAATGGGAATGTATCAGTTAGAGAAACATTGCTGTTTGTGATCTTTCTCCGTTGCTCTGTACTGTAAATGGAGTACTGCTTGCAGACCTTGGTGCATTGTAAAGACACTGTGGGAAAGATGGAATACAGGAGGTGCTGTGCATCAGGTACGAAGTGTGGCTGCAAAGTCTGTGCCCTAATAAGGTGGTGATGTAATTGCTGGTTTACAGTATATATGATATAAATGTTATTTCCCTCTCCAGGCATGTTCAGAGTTTTTTTAAACTTTTACCAGGAGATCTCATGGCACCTTATCCCTAAAATAAGAGCCCAGTCCATCTGAGCTCTTCTATCTTCAGAGGGTACAGTGATAAATCTAATAGTGGAAAATGCAGTAGCATAAGTCCAGAAAATAGAATACTTCGTGTGGAAGTGTAACCTGACCTGCCACACTGACTCTTAAGAACCTTATGCTAATAAAAAAAAAAAAAATTAGAAAAGGTAGGCTTTTTTTTCCACTTTGACTGTATTAACTTTATATGTTGGATGAAATACGAGCCATTCCTTATATTATATTGACCTACTCTTTTAACTCTTCTCACTGTTTAAAGACAGCATATGTATTATTCATTCTCAATCTTTTCATTTAAAAGATGAGCAGTTGTGAGCAGTGTACAGCAATAGGGATCTGTAATGTGTGGAAAAGCATTTATTTTTAACACTTTCCAGGAGTGCAATTAAGTATTGCTCCAGCACCAGAGGAGAAATTAGAGGCAGGATTTATGAAGGAAAAACTGTCAAAATTATGTTCCAAGCACAGCAGCTTCGTCAAAAGCATTGATTGCTCACGGCACACAAATGAAGCTATGCCATCAACAGGGTGCAAGGCCTTAGAAAAATGAGCAGTAACAGGATTCTGAACTACCATATTCAGGTAATACGTCAGAAAGAAGAGGTAGTCATTTAAACGACCTCAAGCCTGAGATCAGGGCTTAATGACTAAGGTGTACTCACAGTTTCTCTAACCTGTTTTTAATGAATACTCTGTGCTCTTTGTGTTTCAGAGACCCAGCTTACTTTGACGAAAATTGGCTGAACAGAATCAAAACAGAAGTAGGAGATAATTGGAGGCTAAAGGTATTTGAATTACTTTGCTTGTCTGTGAATCTGTATTTCAGTTCTTAATACAATATTGTATCTAAATACTAGTGTATTTCTGGATTAGGATGTTGCTTTATAATATGTAGTTTTGAATTTTCAACCGTTTTAATTACACTTATTTGGTTTTATATTTCTTATGTTGTTATAGTCCTGCACAGTTTCGCAAAGAAAAGACATTTTGGACTTGTAAATAGGTTTCAATTATTTAAAAGGAAAATATTAAAACAAATTTTGGACATCAGTTACCTCTCTTGTTTTTCAAATATTGATTGAAAGATTTTTTTTTTTTATGCACAGTGTGAAAGTAGCTTTAAAAAAAGGAGCTCCAAGAAGCAGCTGAATAAAAAGAGGAGCATAATAAGCAATATATTTAAAGAAAAATGGCAGAGTGTGTCTTCCTTTTACTTTGTCATTTCTGCAGAACTGCTGAGCTTTAGGAGAGGAAGTTGTGGGTTTTTTGTGTTTCTACTCAGCATGGTTTTCCACCACAGTCTATTTGCTGGGTCATTTGTGTCACTTGGCATTCTAGTACTTTCTCTGCAGACCTTAAGGCAATAGAATTTACAGTTCTATGGCTGAGGAACGCTTTGCTTTAGAACCTGAAGAACACAGTTTTACATGCAGATGTTAGTGTAGTTTCTGAGTGGTTTTGTTCAGAGAATGATCTATGCACCTTTCTAAATTTCCACTTTTAGCCTGACTAATGGGGAAAACAGAGCTACGGTTTGACTGCTAGTTCATGTTTCCTGTGTTCCAACCACCAAAAACCATTCTAAACATCTGAGGAACGGCTGCAGCTGTGAAATGCTCTAGTACTTACAGGCTTGTCAACATCACTGGCTGAATTGCCTGAGACAAAGATGGAGCACACTGCTGCTGTGTATGTTTTGAGTTGGCCAGCAGACCTGTCAGCGTGGTCTCTGCTGTCTGGCCAGCTGTGTGCAAGTCTGGAATGCTTTAGAATGTTTTGTCTAGTAGGGCTGCCAGCAAAAATGTGGGTACATTGATGAGGATATATTGACTGACTGGTGAATAAAAGACATGATCCCTAAAAAAGCTTTAAAACTCTTTTGAGTTCTGCTGCATGTAGAGCATTTGAAGTTCATTTAAATGAACTTTCCAAAAAAGTGTAGGGAAGTGCGAGTGAACAGCTGGATACAAGATTTTACTTTTCTGTAAAATATTTCTTTGGGTTTTTTTTTCCCTCTCTAAGTATTAATTTTCTAAGTATTTCATATTGAAGTCTTGGCTGTTAAATGTGGGGAACAACAAATTGAGAACTGTTTGTTATAATAGCATTTCAGCTGATTGAAAGCAGAGCAGCAGCTTCTGTAACTGTCATATGGAGCTTGAGGAATAAATATTTTTTCATGTCTCCCACCAATTTGGCAGATGCAAGGCTTAGCAGGTGTGAAAAAAAAAAAAAAGCTGAGCAATCTAGTAACTTCCTTATGTGACTGACATTGGAAAAACATCAGGTCAAATTTCAGTTTCTTTCTGATGTCATTCCATCTTGTTTTTCATGTATCCATGTAAACAAGAACTAAAGACTGATTATTTTTTTGTTTAAAAAAGAAGTATAATCCAGTTTTTTGTATAGCACTTCCCTTTTCATGAAGAATACTGAAAGACATAAGTGTGATACTTTAACTCTTGTTTTTTTAACCAGAAAAGTAATCCCATACTTTGCCAACTGTTCTTCTTTACATGTGAGTAAACATTATTAGTAAATGTCTATCAGCCAATCAGTCATTTATAGTCTGGCTTGTGGGAACACTTCAGTCTGTGCATTTCTATTCATAGAATCATTTAGGCTGGAAAAGACTTTTAAGATCATCAAGTCCAACTGTTAACTCAGCACTGCCAAGTCCACCACTAAACCATGTCCCTAAGTGGCCCATCTACACATCTTCTAAATATCTCCAGGCTCCACCACTTGGCTTAGGCAGCCTATTCCAGTGCTGGATAACCTTTTTGGTGAAAAATTTTTTCCAAATATCCAACCTAAACTTCCTGTGGTACAACTTTAGGCCATTTCCTCTTGTCCTGTCACTTGCTGACTGGGAGAAGACTGACCCCCCACCTCACTGCAGCCTTCTTTTAGGCATGTGTGTGTTACTAGATTTAACACAGAGGGCATACTTGAACGACTCCATATTGTAGATGTCCTTTCATGTTTTAAGAAGGGCCACGAGAAATGGTAACTGGATTACCTCACTACCTCACAAGTCGTGATAATGACTGCGTTATATTCTTGTTGCTGAACATAGTCACTCTTTGCCTCTGATACCATATGGTACAATAGTCACCACGTGTACAAGCTCTCAGTATTATGAGCCACATGAAGGAACCAGTCTGGTAGGGAGACATACATAAAAACAATCCAAAATGTAACGTGCAGGTAGTTCTGCTTTGTGAAACTGTGGTTAGGAGGGTCTGGCAGAGGAAAGTGTAGGCCTAATACAGCCCTCCTCATCATGTTGATGGAAGTACTCAGAAAATGATAGAATCATAGACTATTAAGCTTGGAAAAGACATTTAAGATTGAGTCCAACTGCCAACCTAGCACCACTACCATGTTGACCATTACACTGTGTCCCCAAATACCGTATCTGCATGTTTTTTGAACACTTCCAGGGATGGTGACTCCACCACTTGGCTGGGCTGTCTGTTCCAATGCTATGCAACACTTTTTCCATGAAAGTTTTTTCCTAATATTTATTCCAAAACTCCTCTGGCGCAACCTGAGACCATTTCCTCCTGTCCTGTCACTTGTTACCTGGGAGAAGGTAATGAGTGATGTGATTGTTAATTTTAAATTGTGTGTTGTTCTGTATGGAGAATAACAAGAATAGATGGCTCAGCTTTCTTTTTTTTTTGTTTGTTTTTTTTTTGTTTAGCAGTTTATTTTCTGATAACTGCAATAATGCAGTCATTAAAAATATTTTTTCTGTTGCTGTACCAGTTTAAAAGAAATGGATTAATTCACAAGAATCTTTTTATGTTCTGGGTTTCAGGGCAAGTTGCCAGACTTGAGAGATTGAGAAACACACAAGATAAAAAAGGGGAAATGTTAGAACTCAGGGGACTTACAAAGTAGGAACCATTCAACAAGTATTCTGTTTTTTTTCAGCTGACCAGTCTACTGTGTTTAGGAGAGAAACATGTTGTTACTTCTTCAGGGTTGTATACATTAGCACACAGAACAGTTTGTGTCTTCCTTTGGGCAACAAAGAAACTTACTTTTCATCTGCAATTTTATGATGGTTAAAAAAAAAACCAACAATCCCCCCCCAAAAAAAAACCCCAAGGCAAAACCATTGTCTCTTTCATTATGTGCAACTGAACACCTTAATACAGTCAGAGTTTAAATTGTGTACAGCCTAATATTTCATGCTGAATAAGATATCTTGAACATAAAACCTTTGTTGAAAATGGAAGACATCATAGAAAAGAATTCTGTTGCCAAAATTTACCAGGAATTAAATTCCTTAATCAGAGTACAAGTTATTGATTTGATACACACATGTCAGTTTTGGCAATCACAGAATAAGCTGTTGACCATCTGAGGGATGGGCTAAAATTGTCGCCCCTTTTTTCCCCTCCCCTTCCATTCAGTGTGGGAGGTTTAGGAAAGAAAGGAAATATATTGTTCGCTTGATTTTTGGCTTCTGGACTTTTTGTGTTGGCATTCAGACTACAGCATCAGTTTAAAGTACAATTTTATTGATGTATATAGTAGCAAGCTGTGTTTGTTCCAGTATTGAATAGCACACTCAAACAGCAGGAGCCACTAGACTTTTTGCAGCTAGTACAGTTTGAGTGATACCTGTTTGCTGTAATATTGAAAAAAAAATTGGTAGCCAATGAATGCTGCAATCTAAGTAAACAAACATGATTTTTGAGAATTAATTTTGACTCCCCGCAGTAGTACAGTTGTGTTTGCTCTGAATTCCTCTACAGTACAAGCTGGCTTGACTGGTGGAGTAGCAGAAGCTAGTTTTCAGTGTTCAGTATCATTTTGCTACAATTTTCTTGTTCTTTTGCAGGGTAAGGAGCACTTATTCATCAGCATCCTCTTAAAGTGTTTTTATCTGTTAAAGGGTGGAAACCTGTCATGTGAATATTTTTTTTTTCTGCAAGCAAGAAGCAGAGATTATAGGTGTATTGTAAGCCAGCATTCATTTCTGTCACAAAGATAATTAGCAACTGATATATTCTCTTTTGATATACCCTTAATTCCTAAGTCAACAGCATCTCCAAATATAAGTTGCATGTGGGACTGCTGTCTATGTTCAGACCCACCCTTAATTTTTCTTTCTGTGTCATTTAACTCAAGGAAGTGGCTGTACATGTTCTTTTGGGGATTTTCTTTCTGTAGAAGACAGTCTGAAGGGGGTTAGCCCCCCAAAGCTAATGGGTTATAGTCTTTAGGTTCCATCTGCAATCAGTGATGAGACACGCTGCTGCAAAATGCAACACTCACTGATGTGTGTGGTGGGAATGGTGCAAACGATGCCTGCACACACTCCCTCCCCTCTTTTGTGTGTGCACACCCCCCCTCCATACACACACTGCCACACCACCTACCCTTCCTTCCCCCTCACCCACCCCCCTTTTAAGTGCAGATGGGAAGAGTGCACCTTAATGAGATATCTGAATTCTCGAAATGCTTGAGAGTGTGCCATGGCAACACCTCCAGAGGTTATTTGGGATCTGAAATAAACAAAGATAAGGCAATTCGCACAGGGTCTTCAGCACAAACAGCATTTCAGTCATACATGATATAAAAATAATACAAAATTGGGGACTGACTGTTATAATGTTGGAGCAGAAACAAAAGGTTAGATAACCCTTCTCCCTTTTTGTTAACAATCACAAGCTTAAGGGCGTTTTCTGCTGTCCACTTCATCAGGCTTTCCCCTCGTTACTCAACTAAATTTGTGAAGAGAGAAGTCTAGGCAGATTAACCTAGGAGACCTGAGCTTGGAAACAGTGAGTAAATTGTAACTAAACAAATAGAGATTTCATATGACAGGTGAGAGAAAAAGAAAAATAGGAAGAAAGACCAAACACTGGGTTCTGTGGTGCTGCCAGATTGGATCATCTCTGCATTCGTTCCAATTAGTTTATCAGGTTAATGCTGTGTACTAAGGGTCAGTCTCACACTGAAAGCTGTGTGCTAACTATGTAGTACTCTACTATAGCCAGGTGGCTATTACCTGAGAGGGTAATGATAATTTAACATGGAGAACACCCACACAGCTCTGCTGAGGATATTTAAGTGTTCAGAGAAGGACTGGGAACATGCAGGTTGCCTTTCTGGATTCATTAGCTCCTGGCCTTTGTAAAAGGAGATCGGAGAAATAAAACAGAAAGGGCTGATGGAAAAGAGATAGAAAATGGATAGAGATTTGTCTAGAAACACCTAATGGTCCATCTGTTATAAGCTGCAACAGCTTTTGACCATAGTTATGACTTTTTTTACCCTAATAAGTTCCATGTGTTTTCCAACAGAGGTATGGATGCAGGGAATGGATGTTAAAAGGGATTGGGAGGGTAGTGTGTGTGCTTTGTATGCAAAAGGAGGAAGTCACATTGCTGATGCAAGCAAATAGGCATGCCATGTGGTCATGGGCTGATGTCCAAAGGATGATATGGCACTTAACAGTCATGGTTGATATTTGAAATTCTATCTGTTGTGTTCTGTCATTACATAATTTAATGATCTTCATTAGCTAGAGTTAGGTTTTACCCATGTACTTAAGAAAGAGAAAAATAATTCTGAACAACTGTCACCTGCTGTAATTTAGACTTCTGATCCAATTGGTTGTCCTTACCACTTTCTCAGGCTGTTCATTTTCATTCAGCTGCTTAAAGTCTGCCTTCCTTGTGCTGTGACCTCATAAATGTTAGTGGAGCTACTGAGTTGAATCTCAAAGTACAAAACATTTGTGGTAGTTTCTCTGTGATGATTCTCTCTCTGCTGGTGGCAGTAGAACCATCTAAGTATATTCACTGCGAATGAGTAAAAAAAAAACAAACAAGAGCCCTCTGAGTAATACTGAAAAATCATTGTTAAGTTTAAGTCAGTCTGTGAAGAAGCTGCTTCACCCTCACAGTTGTCTGATTGTGTGCCAGATACAAAGATGGTACAGTTAATTCTTGAAAGCAAGTTATCTTCATACTGTTGATTGACAAAGGAATAAAATAGAATTGCAAAAGCAGTGTTTCTTTTTCAGTTTGTCTTCTTTTTCCAGGGATTCTGCCCTATATGATAGTTTTTGTGACAGATTTTGATCAATATTGGTTTTGTTCCAGTATCTCAACTCTAAACTTTGTGAAGGTTATATGGAGGAAGATGAGTTTCCCACAGATGATTCTTTGTGTTTAAGGGCTTTTAATTCAAAAATGCTTGCAAGGAAAGGGGAAATGAAGTATTTCATAGGTGGATACTTTCTATTTTGTTTCTCATTTTTTTGGGATTATGTTCAAGTTCAAGGTTCCTCACAATGCTCTCATCGGTAAACTGGACTTAAATTCTGCAACATGGCCTTTGGTTTCTGTGGCTCTTTCTGCAGCAGACTCAGGTAAATTACAAACTGGAAGACTTTAATGAATCAAGTTTGAAAATGGTGTTCCAATCAGTGCAGCATTCTCTGTGGTGATTTGACATAAAAATAAAAATTCTTCATTTCTTTGAATCCTTAAATCTGTTGCAGACTTTGTTTATGATTTTGGGTCACCTTTGAGTGGTGGTGGTGGTTGCTTTTGGGCAGATAGCTAAGAGATAGTTGTAGCTCTTGCAGAAATATGCTGTATAGGGCAGAAAAAGTGTGTTCCGGAGTAGAAGATGTAAACTAATTATTATGCTGTTATGGGAGGGACAGTAAATGTTGTTATGTACTTGCTATAAAGTAGCATCTCCAGTTCTCGTTCTAGGTTGTCAGGGTATTTGATGTGTAACGTTTTAAGTCCAAATGAATTTTTGTTTCTTCTGTGACTTAAAATTCAGTGATTTGGAGACAAAAATGTTCTTACATCTTAATAAGGGATCAATTTCTGGCACTTCTTTCCCAAGGGGAGTGGATTAATAGGAGTAAGGTAATCAGATTGTTATCTCATGGTAAAAATCTTTTAGTGTGTGTGTGTAGCCTGTTCCTTTCTTAAGTCTGGATTTTGCTTTCATCACCTCATTTTGTCTGTTGACTATGTTGAAGTGTTGAGTTTGTCCCTGGATTTCAGTATCATATTTCCTAACAGCGCTTCATCATATCGTTTGAAAGGTAAATGACTTCTGTCAGTGGACAGAATCTCCTAAGTGGCTATTTGAGAAAGCAATCAAGAGTCTAAAAGTTATTGTGGGCTTCAAAGGCAATTGGAACTTGAGAGGTTTTACCCTCCCTTAATTATAGTTTCAGTTTGCTGCTGTGGCTACTGCAGTCAGCAACAGACCTTTGTGAATCCTGTTTCAATCCCTTTCAGTCTCTGCAGGTCCTGTTTAGACTTCATGGAGTCATAGGGTCATTTAGGCCGCAAAAGATCCTTAAGATCATAGAATCAAACCATAAACCCAGTCCTACCAAGGCCACCAGTAAACCACTGGTAGTAGATAAGGTCCCAATGCACTATATCCACACACCTCTTTCACACCTCTTTGCACACCCCTGGGGTGGTCACTCAGTCACTTCCCTGGGCAGCCTATTCCAGTGCCTGATAACTCTTTTTGGTGAAGGTACTCTTCCTAATACCCAATCTGTACCTTCCCTGGCACAACTTGACAACCTCCCTAGCTATAACCTTCTTTCAGGTAGTTGCAGAGAGTGATAAAGCCACGCCTAAGCTTCCTTTTCTCCAAGCTAAACAACCCCAGCTCCCTCTGCTGCTCCTCCATCCCTGGAAACAGTGCATTGCTACTATTATCTGGATTCTTTGCCTAAATACTTGGACATAAATTGGTAGTAATCTGTTGCAGTTACTTTCTGCAAAGATTCCTCTTTTTTTTTTTTTTTTTTTTTGGTCTAAATTTCACCTACGAGACCCACTGGTCATTCTTATGATTTTAAATGCACCCTTTATTCTCAGAGACTTGATGCAAATGGGTTTTTGGAAAGGGAGCAGTACTCAGTACTAGGGAAATGTGGCATAGATTCTGTACAGCAGGGGACACTTCACTGGTACTGTTGGTTATGCAAGTGAACAGAAGCTACCTTTGTATAGCAGTGAAGTCATCACTGAGAAATGTGAATTTTGCCTTGATACTGTAAGACAGACATTCAATTGTAAGAACTGAGAGGGGGGTGGGGAGGGAATGACAGGAATAAAAGTGAAAGAACTAAGAGGAATAATTATTGAGAAAGATAAAAATTTAAACTTGCATTGGTTGGGAATAAAGGAGAATATTGAGCAGTAGCTGGTTTTGGTTTGGGAGAAGAGATTTACCTCTGCAGAGAGTAGATTACTAGAACACTTCAGAGAAGAAAGAGGTAAAAGAATGCTTCAACTTCTGGATACAAAGATAATCCTAAAATAAACAAGTACTCAAAGAAACATTTGAGTCCTTTGAGATCTGATCTAAAGCCTATCCAAGACAATGTTATCTTTTTCATAAATAGAAACGGATTCTGTCAATTAATGAAGATTTGTGATCTTGTCTGGAAGTCTGATCATAAGGGACTGTTGCATAAATCTCATGATTATGTAATTATATGCTTCCTTTGTGTGATTCCCCTGTGATTACCTACTTTAAGATCATTTATCTGTAATCTCCTGTATTTATTGTATTTCCTCCTTCTTGTCAAATAGGTAAGCAACCTGAAGAAAATTTTGAAAGGCATACTGGATTACAATCATGAGGTAAGAATGATTTTAAGTAATCTACATCTACATGCCTTTTTAGTTACTTATTTTAGTTAGCCTGTTGAATATAAATTGTATTCTACAGATTAAGTACCGATGTTTTCTTGGCATAGATAGTGATTCATGGCCTATCCCCCAGCCTTAGCCTTCTCTAAAACTTCTCAGAGGTCCCAGGGGAGCCTGATGTGCAAATTCTGTCATACAAACAGTAGATGGCTTTACCAAGTATGTTCTGGTCATGGACTTCAACAGTACCTGTGTTTGACTTTTTCCCCTCCTCCTCTTCAGCTAAAGTCTGCTTTTTCCCACATTTTTCTCATAAGGAGAAAGAGTAAAGCATTTCTGGCCTCTCCCCACATTAAGGTTTTATATGAAATATTTTAATTCTGGAATATTGGAGTCACCCCTTGGCATTTTCTTTTATTCTGAGCTAACTCAGAGATTAACCACTACAGAGGAGTCAGAATACAGTATTTTTTTCAGTGGTGAATCTTCAGCTGAAATATGTTTTCAGTTTCAGTGATGTTTTGAGACAAATTGATCTGTACAGGCTGTAGCACAAAATCTATGCTTGTCTGAAAATATTAGCTTCTCATAAATACTTCAGAGATTGAGTTATTTGTTACTAAGCTGAAGTCTTTCAGAAAAAAACAAATTAGACTTATGAGTTTATATTCAGTAAATAGTTAGGTGTCCGTGTTGAAATAAATGTTCAGAATTGATGGTTAAGCAAGCTGGTCATAACTGGAAATACTAAAAAGAAACATCGGGGGTTTGTTATGGAAAATTAATATTACTAAGACAAAGTGATGCAGCCTTCTTTTTGGCTGGTTAGTATTTACGATGATTAAGTCTCTGGTGTGAAAACTCTGCTACCAGGCAAGTTCTGAGCTGTTTCAGGCTGATTAACTTCTGCAGAGGTAGTGCACAATTATAAGTCTGACTGGATTTTGGTTTAGTTTCTTTTTTTTTTTTCTTCTGAGGGAGTCAGTGCTGGTGGTGATAGTGGAGATGACAGGATTCTGTTATGAATTCTGCTTGTGTTTTCCTCAGTCTGATTCCTTCTCCTAGAGCCACCTTGTACTAAAATATGTATGTGATTTCATGTGGATTTTGCCTGATGTAACTAAAAGACTTTGAAAATCGTGTATGCTAACATCTTCCATCCTGAAGAATTCAGATGTCTGTATCGTGTTCAGGAGGACAGTCTTTCAATAGCTGTGTTACATGGCTATCTTTATCAATTATAGTATGGAAGAACAAGAAGCCAGAGTTAACTCTTTATAGCTCGCATGTTTTGTTATGCCCCCCTAATCTTACTGCAGAATTCTAGTCCTCTGGAACTGTAATCTTAATTTTTTCTTTTGGTAAAGGTATTTATTTATTTTTTAAAGGTATTTTGTAATGTTTTCAAAAAGGATTAAATGCTCTTTTTCACCTCGAAATAGTTACTGCAGAGCCTGTCCTCCATTTTTGTATTTCTTTCAGGTTTCTTTTTTTGTTTTGGTTTGTTTTTTAGTTAATTTTATTTGGTCTCATTTATTTAGAAATCCCCTATTCACACCTTCACATCCTTGGGTTCCTCATAATGCTTGCCAATATGCCTCTTCCCTTCAGCTTTCTTCAACAACAGTTTTGTTGTCAGTAACTATGAAACCACTGTAGTATTGTTAACTTAAATCCAGCATTATTTTTAAAGAAATTCAGAAACTACAGATGAATATATAAATACACATCAGATTTGCATGATTCAAAAAAGTCTATATTTTACTGTATTATTGCAGTCTATATACAATGGTAATATTTTCCATTGTGATTGATGCATTCCCAAAATTCTTATGACCTAAAGGAGGTCTTTTCCAACAGGAGTGAATCTGGGTCCTTTAAAGTGTCCAGACATTTTTAGTAGTGCTGAAGCTAATTCTTTGAGAAAACTGCTTAAAAAAACTACAATTCCACAACGCAAAAACCACCATACATAACAAGAAAAACTCAACCACAGCACTTCCACAAAGCCCAACTCTAGAAAACTTCTGAACGCCTTGTTCTCTTTGTGTTCTTTGTATACATTACATACTTTTTCCAAATACCTTTGTTTTTTCAAGTATTGCACATAAAGAGCAAGCAGCAAATGACTGATTCGCTCTATAGTCATTGTTTCCTTATTGCACCCTGTTCAAGAAGTTAATTTCTTTTTATCTGCAATTAATGTGTCATAGATGTGTTTTAATTCCAGATTTCATATTCATATTTTCAAACCTCTCTTCAATAAAGAGCAATTTAGCAGAATTGTTTAATTCCATCTACTGACAATCATTAATGTAGATCCTTAATGATAAATCAGGTAACACTAATTGTGAGTCACATGGGCTTTTGTTTTGTTGGATTTTTTCTTTCTTTCTGCATGTGGGCTGTTTAATTACATATCATTGTACTACTAACTCAGATTGTCTTCCATGGAACATCTTTCTTAGATGTGAGATTTGCAAGATATCCTTAAATTTGCCAGAAGTGCAAGGCTTAGTGATCTGAGTTTTTTTACTTATATTTTTCTCCTGTCAGTGTTAGACATATGTATTGTGTAGGTGAAATATTTAATTTCTTGGCTTTATAATAGTATACACAGATATGTGCATAATATTTTATGCTACCTGAGATGTTTTTAGGTGTTATATTTTTTTAATGGAATGCTTTAAAAAAAAATCAATTATCCATGTGATGACCTGCTTTTGTTACCTTCTTAGCTGAAATAAAAAAAATCTTACTAAGTGTGTAACTCATATTTGCTTATGACTCAAAGCTCATAAGTGTGATGTTTGTCGTATTTGTCTTCTCCCAAATATTATTTGTGTCAAACAGTATGATTTAATATTTGGATGTTTGGCGATTCACTTTGGATTTAAAGTAAGAGTGAATTGCTCTTGTTGATGATGAATCACCTTTGCACAAACTGTGTGGGTATGTATATGTGCAGTGATACAGCCATGTGTGCACTGGGTCTTTACACAGATTCTGGGGCAACAGATAAATGACTTCACCCTTCCTGATGTTAACCTGATTGGAGAGCATGCTGATGCTGCGGAGCTGGGGAGAATGCTTCAACTTATTTTGGGATGTGCTGTGAACTGTGAACAGAAGCAAGGTAATAAATTTTCAAAAAGTGTTTTCTCGCTTGCTGCGTAAATACTTAGGGGGAAAATTGTATTTCCCATGTTTCTGTCAGAGACAAATGTAGTTTCTTTTCAGCGGTGACATGATTTTGTCCTACAGATAGTAACTGTTGGTTTCTTACAAGCTTCCCTAGTTTTGGAGACTCAAACTGTGGAACTGATTTTGCTTCCAACGTCCATATTTTCAATTTGCCAAGCTGGAAAATCACTCGACAAAGGAAAATTATTGGGCCTACCTTTTAACCATTTATGACGTAGGTCGGGATAGTTAAGAATGGAAAAATGTGATTGTTCTGTGTGACTCCTGATTTTAGAAATGCATTCCAGTCATTGCCTTAACTACACAGGTGAAAGCTTTGTCTGGAGAGATGTCTGGTGTGATCTGGGATAGCATAGAGCAACTGCAAACGTTTATTCTAAATACCTAAAACACAAAACATAGTCATGCAAATAGCAAATACATGTGTGGGAAAACAAGGCTATTTCTACTGTATTTACATTACAGTTGAACCAAATAAATGTCTCTTCTGATTTAACTCAATTTGGTTTTCATGGCAGCCAGTGTTTCAGACCTTTTGTCTTCCTCTTGCTTGGTTCATCCTAACTTTTACTGCTGGTTTCCCCTTTCAGTTTTCTCAGGTGACTAAATCACTTTACTTTCTCCTTCTGAAATTACTTTTGTTCTCCTAAACAGGAGATGGTCTGGCTATCCTATTAATTAAAATAGAGGGAATGTTCTTCCAGGAGTACATAAACAACTCTGGTTTATTAACCCTCCTGTCCTCTCTGTTTTATGTAAAATTATCTTCCTATGGGTGACTGTCACCCTCAGGTGGGAAGCATATCTTATTCTTGTCTGTCCTTTACTCTCTCAGTTTGGACATTGAAAATGTATTGAAAATGTTTGAAATATCAGAGCAGTCTAGTTTTATGTACTTTGGAGTGAGATTTCACATGAGCTAATTAACCACTTTGAGGTGACTTTTCCCCAACATCTTTCCCTTGGTCACATCATTAAAAGAACACAGGTCATGTGTAAAAGGAGATCATGTCTATCTGGAAACCACACAGTACTGGGCAAGTCATTAAGTCTAAATGTCAGAATTCGGCCTTCTGACCGCTGTAGCATCTCACAAAGTACCTGATGTGTAACTCACACCTATGCATAGGTGAGGAGTGAAAAAGTGGTGTGGGACTTAATTTGTGGTGTAACGCAGGAACAAGAACGGATGTGCAAATGCTTTGAAATGAGGATGCTGTAGGAAGGCAGGACATTATTGTTAAACTTACGGAAAATAACAACCTGTGCATGGATCATGTACTTGAAGAGCCTGAATAGTTTGGGAACAAAGGGAGAAAAGGAGTAAAAGTAGTTATATTGGAACTGTGAGGTGCCAGAAGGAAAAGAAAAGATAATCATGTACCTTTTTCATTGTTGTAGAGTTCAAATAAGCCTGGATTTATGTCTGAGCAGACTTCTGGTAAAATCCTGTTGAGTTTGTTGTGGTGGGACTCGACTGGTGATTATGCATTTCAGTGTCATCCATGGCACCTACTCATTTTCTAGGAAGGATGCAGCTTCTGATCTTCTGTTCTCTGACTTGAATTTCAACAATGACATTTCAGAATGCTTTTTTTCTTTTTTTTTTCAGAGTACATCCAGACCATAATGATGATGGAAGAATCAGTTCAACATGTTGTCATGACAGCCATTCAGGAGGTACGCTGGGATGCCCACAGTGTGTAAAAGTTCTGCCTTTCAGCATTTTACAACAATATGCTTCTTCCTACTTAGTTGGAAGTAAAGAAAATAAGGGGCATAGATTTTGCTTTTTTACAGTGAAAAATATCTTATTTTTTCCTTAGAAAAATCTTGCTTTATGTCAAGGAACTCTGGTTGAATGTCCCACTTTTCTTTAAATCTAGAAGACTGGAACTTCTAGATATTTTTGATATTGGGTTCCCTTCCCTTTACCTTTCCCACCCTGTGAATCCTAAAGTACACTAGACTGATTTTTACATGGATAACCAAATAACGTAGAATTTCATCAAAATTTGTACCTTGAAATTGCAAAACTTCATGAGCTGTTACGTTATTTTTTTTTATAAACTTTGTTGACAAGTGAAAAGGAAGAGAATCTGAGAGCAGAGTATTCTGCTGTCAACAGTAGTGTTATGATACATAATGATAATATATAATGATAAATAATATTAATATAGATGAATAATATAATAGGCTGGTATGTTTTTACAAGTTAGTGGAGTCTACTCCAGTGCATTTTGTGGTAGTTTAAAACCACAGTGTTAGCCACTATAGCCCTGGAACCCCCATGTGACTTCCTAGGAGCCCAAAATGCCCACATGTGAAATGCCTATCAGTCTTCACTGATGGAGGTTTACTGCAGGGCAGGCTGCTAAGGAAAGCTGGAAATCAATAGTAATCCCATTTATTTTGAACCTGAACAAGAGAAACTAAATTCCACATTAGGCTCTAGAGTAATTTCGCTTCTCTGGAATGCCTGAATATAGAAAGAGGTGTCAGTAGGCCTACAAGGAACCCTGTCCCTCATTTCAACCATGCAGTCATACATTCAGTAGTCTGTGTGTGGACTTCTGTCCACAACAGTGCAGAGTAGACTTTTGAAATGAGCTTTGAAAGAATTGTTATGCTGAATCATCTTCCAGTCAGTGCTGCCAAGCACCAGTTTGCTGGAGTTTTGGAATATTTTACTTTTTGTATTTTTTGTAACTGTAATACAGTGTTTTGGTGAAGTTTTCTAATGCTTTTTATTAAATCCAAATTTCAGTGTCACTATATTCTGCACTGCCTTGAAGTAGAAAACCTTATTTTATCCTCCCTCTTTCTGTTAAAAATCTCCTATTTAATTTTTGTAAAAGTCTTCTTCATTTGATATAATAGCCAGATTTGAAGCAGCCCACAGTTTTCAGTATTTTTGATGAGTAAGCTTTGAAGTGTTTGTGCCCTTTCTCTGAGATGGTGAGTAGTAGTAGGGAGAAATCACCAGGCAAGGGTGTGTTTCTCTGGAACAGATTTGTGAAACTCACTGAATCAAAAAGCTTACTAATCAGGTACTGGCACAGTTCTGGGTGTTTGTAATGCTACTTTCCAAGCTGCTTAGAAATCCAAGGCATTTCAGGACCAAATGAGGAGGTTCCTTAATGAAGAGGTGAGAAAGCATCTCAGACTTTGATACACATTGAGAGCAGGCCCTCCCTCCACTATTTTTTATTGGGTTTGGAGTTTGGAGAAGTCCAGCGTCAACTGGAAGCTGGCAAAGATTATACCAATTTTCAAGAAGGGAAAGAAGACAGACACTGGGGATTGCAGGCCTCTCCCCCTTCAGTGCCTGGCAAAATTGTGGAGGTTATTCTGGGAGTTAGGTCATAGCCAGCACAGATTCACATGGGGTGAAAATTCACTGGATTTAAGGAGGATTTTTTATTTCTTGGACTCACAGCAGCTCTCAGAATTCAAGTGACTTGAAATAAGCAATATGTAGGAGACACCAAAATGAGATGCCAAGGAAAGTAGCTATATGTACATATTTGAAAAGTTGCTGTGTGTCACCTAGTCCAGACATTCCAAAGTATTTGACTTTGCAGGTATTTTCTTAGAATTAGATATGTTAGAAGACCTCTCTGAGCTTTGCTGATGTATTAGGAAGTTTATTTTTCTGTTTCAGTCAAGCACACTTAAATTTTTTTTGATGCTGCTTTGGTTTTCATTAATTATCTTACTCAGGGTAGTATTTCATGAGGCACAGTAGAACAAGTTTTCTCTAGTTTTTTACATGTAGAAGGTGATTCTTCTATGGAAGAAGCAGCATATTATGTTCTAAATTTTAGTTGGTTATTTTATTATAACTTTTGACTCTTCAGCATTTCATTTCTTCACTTATTTAAATGTTTAAAATATGCCTTGTGCTCCATAAGGTTTTATAAATTGAACAGTGCTTTTCTGTTATCTTGTTCAGTGTAGTCAAACTGATCTGGTGTGTTGCCATCACCTAGATTCTTAGATGCTAATCTTCAGATGTACATATCTGAATGCAAGCTGTGCACAAGATAAAGGATTTAATATATTGATATGCATAATATTACAGTTATTTCATGGTTTTCAGATTTTTTTAAAGGTCTAAAATCTTTCCTTACAGAAATTATTTTGGCCATTATGTGTTTTTCTTTCTTTTCCTTTCCTTGACATCTTTTGGAAATTCTACTGTCATTTTCCCAAATTTTTTCCTGGAGCAGCCAAGTTCATTATTTATGAGGGTGGTAGCTGATGCAGACAATCTGTTTGCCTTTGCTGTTTGGAACATCTCTAAACTTGATCACTTAGCAGGTGTCTGGGCAGGTCAAGTTGAGAGTCAGAACAGTACCAGAGGTAGTGTCAAAACTTGCTTGGGTGAATAGGAAAAGGTGCTTACTGTCTGAGTTTAATACTGACTGTGTTGCTTCCACTGTTTGGTTTTGTGGTTTTTTTTCCCCACTGTATTTTGACCTGACTGTTTAAAGCTTTATGTTGTGTGAAGTAAAAGTGGTTTTTTAATAGTTAGGAAATAATACCAAAGTATTTTGTTGCGTCTGTCAACAGATAGACTGGAGGATAGACTGAATATCAACTGGAGGTAGAAAGTCCAGCTGCTTTAAAGGATATACAGTGTCATACATAGCCTTGACTCTTTAAAACAAACATAAAGATGTTTCAAAAAGGAAAACCTGATTACAGGGGCTAGATTTTGTCATTGTTTTGTGGACACTTAAATGTGCTTGTAAAATATTATCAACTGTAGAAGAAGCATTTCAGATAAAGCAAATATTAAATTCATCAAGTGAATGGTTCAGCTGCATTTGCAAAATCACGTATGGGGAGAAAGAAAAGCTTTTATAATTCAGGTTATTCATGCATGCAGATTTTGTGATAGTTTTACCCATTCCCTAATCTTTATGTATCCATGACAACACAACTTGTTCACATTTCCCAGGGAAAGCGATTAAAAAGTGAAGGTTTTAATCATATAGGATTAACAGACCTACAAGTGTTATGTGAGATATCATACCACAGCTATGAGCATGAAGAGGTATAGCTGTAAAGGATTGACATGGAATGACAACTGCTTCTCATAAAACTACACAAATAATTATAAGTATTACCATGTTGTCCAGGTTATTGGGCCATTTAAAATCCAGACTGACCTTTTTATGCTAAATAAACTGGAAAAAAGAAGAAGGCAGGAAATGCCTTTTGCTACTTCATTTCACTGTCAGAAGCTCTTAAGCAGGCTTTTCCTTCTCACGTAGATACCTAATGCAATTGCTTGATTTTGCAGGCACTTCTTTTTGTTTCCCTCTTTATAATTTCTGCACCTCATCCTCCATTAAAGTTACAGGTGAAAATGAGTGATAAAATTATATTTAAGCAAAATGGTGAATTTGGAACCGAAGGCCAGTTCCAGTTTTGCGAAGTTGTGATGGCAGACCTTTATTCCCCTGGTAGTCTGCTGCAGAAGAAAACTAAAGTTGTAAGGGGAGACAGAGAAGGCTACTTCCTTCTGCTTTTTATTCTCTAAACTTAATTTGAAATACAAATGAAATGAAGTTTGTCCCTGTAAACTCAAAAGTCCTGGCATTGATCCATACCTCTCAAGACCACATGCTCTAATATCACACTTGCAGACTGCATGTGAAGCACTGAAAGTACAGCAGTATTTAATGAATTTTTTCTGAATATGGGCTTTAAGTAAAGGAGATATATAGCAGAACGCAGTAAGGAAATTTGATTTAAAAAATAGTATCAACCTACTAGTGTCATCAGATTACTAATAAATAATGCATGTGCCATTGAGCAGGTAACTGATTAAATGACCATTTTGGAGCTCTAAATTTCTGTAATATCAGAGAATGCTGATTGACCAGAAATAAAGTGAAAAATGAAGGAAACTAGACAAGCCTCTTACCTCATATTTTCAGGTGGATGGAAGGTGTAGTGTGTGCTTTGAGTTGACAAAAATATCTGTGTGGAACCCTAAGACACAGCATCCAGTAAAACTTTTCTTGAAATTTTCAGAAAATCTGACTGAAGAGAGAGAAGTTTGGATAGGTGGGTGGAGTTGTGCTCTGTTGGCCATGCTATTTATGGTAAAAGGTCTGCTATTAAGTGGGGAGAAACTGAGTAGAGGCAATTCAGAAGCAGAGCGTGGTCAAGACATTTTGTTGCATAAACCATTGTCCCAGTGTGTGGGGAGATGTGTAGGGGAAAGATGGATGCACTCTTTTGCCCCGATACCTTTTCATCCCACTTCTTAACTTTATTATTATTATTCACTGTTGATCAGAAGTTGGATTCCTGTGTTATTTGTGAGTTCTCTGTCAATACTGCTCCTGTTCTTTGGTTGTACTACTTACTGGGCACAAAACAATCCCTTAGATTTCATCTTCAGCATTCCCAGCATAGCACAGGCCACCAGATTGCAAGGTGCTTCCTCTTGCATTGAGTCAGTCGTCTGCACGTGTGCCTATGGCTCTCACCCTCAGTGCCTCATGCACGCTTCCCATGACATTCCTCATGCACCCCATGGAGTTAAACTCACAAGCTGTGTGCAAATTCGAGGTACACCCAGACCACGTATCTCCACTGCCTCATCCTGCTGCAGATAATGTCCTCTTTTCTGGACGTTTCTGCTAAGGGCTCTCCAGAACGGCGGGTTTGGCGAGAGATGACAAAACTCGCTGAAGAAAACAGGGATTGTGTCGGTGGCCTTGACCTGCTTCCTTTACGGCAATTCCCGGGAAGCAGTGACACCACAGTGGCCTCTAGTGGGTTGTGCGGTCACTTGTATTCCTTTCACTGTAAGTCTTGTGCAGGCCTGTAGAGCTGGTTTTCTGAAGAGGAAGTCGTGCTTGGGCCAGAAAGGGGCAGTGGCTGTCAGGGATGTGTTGTTGGGGCTGCACAGGACCCACCAGCTGGGAAGTGCTGCCTTAGCGGGTGGAACTTACTGGTGTGCTTGTGAACACACGTGCCCGGTGTTTGCAAACAGTTTTGGGATATAAAATAGGGAAGAGGAGTTCAGTGTTTGGTTGATATGGGATGTCCCTTTAGTCATCTGGAAAAGCATTTTGACAGTAGCTGGTGAAATGCAGTAATTGAAACATACAAGATTTATCACAGAGCGGGGAGGGACTGGAAGTTTTTGTTTAAATTATAATCAGCTTAGATTAGGGCCTTAAATTAAAGACAAGTTTGTAATGCCACTATATATGGTAATGAAAAAGGCATGACTTCATTTTTCCAGGGACAGTGCTGAGGTTAGGGACTTTCTAATTATTGTTGCAGGGAGTCTGAACTTCATGCAGTGCTTCATCCTGGAGTGGTTTTGTCATTGTAAGCATGTAGAGAAAATGAAAGAAATTTGACAAACATTGTCATGGTTTGAGGAGGACTGCTGAGGACAGATAGATTAATTTAAGCATTAGCTATACAGGTTAATCCCAATTAAGGATATCGGGAAAGGGAGAGAAATGTGTGTAAATATTTGAATGACGTAAAGGTCAAACAGAGATTTTTCACTTGTACACAGTGGTGTAAAGAGAAAGGACTGAGAACAAATAAATGCTCTGTGTCACATATCCTAAAAACTTTGTCAAGGAAAAGCAATGCAAAAGCACTGTTTTCTGGAAGGAATAAAGGAAGCCCTTTCTCTGGAGAGAGTAAAGAGGCTGGACCAGAGATCTTAGGGAAAAAATGTTTTCCTGATTTTGGTTAGGACCGGGCTTTTTTGATTGTAACTTCCATGAATTGTGTAACTGGACAACTCTTAAAACTTATTTACTCTTCCTCTTTCTTTTAATAAGCTCATCAGTCAATTTTGTAGGACTTGATTTGGAGTTTTGTGCCGAGGGTTTGATGGAGGTTTGTTTTTTTTCTTTTGTCTTGGTTTGGGGTTTTTGTTTACTTTTGGTTTTGTTGATTTGGTTTTGGTTGTGTTTTTTGTTTGTTTGGTTTGGTTTGGTTTTTTTTAAAATATTCTAAATATTACAAAACCACCATCATCTATTACTGCAATAAAATTGGTTAGTACATGATGAATTTTAATACTCATTTCAAGAATGCACTCTATGGAGTTTCTCTTTAAATTTGAAAATCACAGACAGCTTCTGAGCAGAATTTTGATCATCTTTATTTTGCACTATTAGCTGGGGATATGTCCCAGCCTTTAGTGAAATAAATAAATGCATGTGAACTTCCAGGTAATTGAAGCATGAAAGCCACTAGCAGAGAACAACTAAAAGGAGGTCTTGCATGGTGTGTTGATATCTACTGTCATTCCAGTGCCACTTCAGTAAAATATTTAGTGGGGTGTACTGTAGACTTCATCATAGATGAAGAATGTGCATTGTCAGAAGAAAAAGAGATGATGTAATGGTTATTTTGTATCACTCTAAATATTATAAGTTATGAAGATTATTTTTTTCTGTTTTTGTTTCTGAATGTCTTATATAAAAATGAAGTTAAAAACTTTCAAATTAAGTCAGATTAAAACTCCCAAAAGTAAAAATAAGCTTAGTATTTCGTTGAAGCTTAGGTTTTAATATAAAAGTAAATTCTTGTTTTTTCTAATCCAGTGTAATCTAATTTCAGTTGATGAGTAAAGAGTCTCCAGTCTCTGTTGGAAATGATGCTTACGTTGACCTTGACCGGCAGGTATCTAAGACCAGATGTTTCTTTTCCTTCCATCGTAGCACATCAGTGGCCAGTCATTTTTCTGTATTAAGAACTCTGTCTTTTTTTTTTCTTTAATCATTAAAGGATTTTGTGGGAAAGTCAAATGAGGAGTGGAAAACTAAATTTCAGTAGTAAATTTCAGAGTCCTTTAGGCTTATAGATTGAGTTTACTCCTACTGTGTGTTTAAAGGAAAAGAAAAGTTTGTTCGGAAAACCAGTCTATCTCTGTGACATAATAAAGCAAATTGCAGGTTGATACAAATATTTAGGTATTGAGAAAGGATAAAAAATATGTAGCATTTGAATAAAACTTTTTATGTGAGTTCCTACCCCCCAAATCAGTTAAAAAAAACCCCCAACAAACACACACATATATGGGGTCCTGGAACCAGTCCAGTACATAAGAGAAGTTTTCAAATATAATCCTTCCCTCTCTGATATATTTAAAAAATATACAAACCCAATTGGTTTCACTGACTTCATGCTATCACTGTCCTACTTCCTCATTTTTTTTCTAATTGAGGAGTATAGTACAGTGGTTTTCCCTGTGTTCCTCCATCATGCTTTTTCTGCAGAAATATGTAAATGCTGACAGATTAAATTGATTTTTGTACGTAAACAGGCCCTGAGAAATAAACTTGCACATACCAGATATGCTGATGCTGTTTGAGAAAGCCCATTTAAACTTTATCATATATAATAGTACATATATAATATCTACGTCTGTATACACAACGTGCACACACGTGTAGCTGTGTTTATGTTAACTGCATTCATTTGTAAACTAGCAAGATACATAGGTCTGAATAATAAGCCCTTGAGGAGAAATATCTGAATATTTACCAGTGCTTACAAGGTTCAGTGCCCTTTTTCAGAAGGATAGGCTTCTCTGCCATCACATTAGTTGTATCCCTGTTGTGCACTTAAAGTCGCTTCCTTTACTAGAGAGATTTTACCCTAATTGTCCATTCCCTGTATTCCACCTTCCAGTCCTTTCAAAACTAGATTGAAAATTGGAATTATACACTCTTTGCATCCGTAAAGAAAAGTGGTATTGACAATTTTTTTCAGTGTGGAGATTTGATGAGTTCTTCAGACCCGAGTTCTTCAAGAGTTTTTGACTCAACTCATAGAATAGATGTGACAATTCTAATATAAGAGCAAATATTACTTTTAGGTACTTTTACTTTTTACTAATACACAAACTAAACAGTAATCACACCTGTTTTTTGTTTTGTTTTGTTTTTTCTTTATAAGAGTGGAATTGCCTAAGCTTTTAAAAAATTTAATATATTACCTAAATGTAAAAATTTTACAATCATGTAGTTGAGCATGTTTTTAAATGGATCACAGAGAGTGATGAAAATGTTAATGTTTGTTGTTTATGCTAGCTGAAGAAAACTACAGAGGAACTAAATGAAGCACTAGCAACAAAAGAAGAAATTGCCCAGAGATGTCATGAGTTAGATATGCAGGTAAGTTTGGTATAGTGTACGTATTAATTTTGAAGTGGCGGAAAAGATGTATTAACTTTTAGGCAGCAGAAAATAAGCAGTATAGTGTGGAAACAATTTTTAAGAGTGAGATGAAAATTGCACGGCAGTTATTTTGCTTCACTTGTGGGAGCAGAATAATGTAATTGTTTTCTTATCTTGATGCAATGTTGCCAGTATGAAGATGACTCATACTAAATGAAACTTTTTTTCATTCTGGTAGGAAGGGTTTGAACTGCGTGGTAAAACTGTTGCTATAGAGAACTAATACAAGTTATGCTGCTGTAACAATTTCAGTTCAGTGTTAAATTCCAGCAGGAAGTTACTGCGGGCTACCAGCTGTGTATGGGTTTAGACCAAGTTTTACTTTAAGTCAGTCATACCTCATCTGGAAGATATGAGCAGTATGAAGAGGGAAGGCATTGCCATTGTAACCCTGTTTTGGAGTATAATTCAGGCTTTTTGCCAAGCAGTTCAGTAACTGTTGGAATTAATTAAGCAGATCTGGGTGCTCATGGTTAATCCGTGAACCCATGTTTCAGCTGTTGTTTGAGTTGGAGCACTCTGAGTTCTTCACACTGCTGCCTATTTCCACAGCGTTGGTGGAAGCTGAGTCATCTTTGGGACTGTGTTCCTGTTTTGGACCTGCTTGCAGTTGACCCTTACTGTGGAGAGCTAGTTTTATTTGTTGGGACAGTATACAGACTTAATTATGATGAAGTTATCTTCTTTTTTTAATAACTGTGCAAAATATGTTAAAGAATAGTTACATTTTCTGTAAATCTGCCCCAATGTTGCAATATGTTGGTTACGTCACTTAGCACTTGAATACCTATTAAATGGTACAGTATATTCCTGTGAAATGTGATTATTATTGTAGTCTGCATGTTTCTGTTTGTGGGTTGTGTTGATAGTTTATCACGAGCACAAAAAAATATTTCTCTGTACCTGGATAGGTCAGTTATTCCAGCCCATGCTTTTATTACAACAGGTTGCAGCCCTCCAAGAGGAGAAGAGCAGCCTGCTTGCCGAGAACCAGATCTTGATGGAACGCTTGAATCAGTCTGATTCTATTGAAGATCCCAACAGCCCTGCGGGTCGTAGGCACCTGCAGCTGCAGACACAGCTAGAACAGCTCCAAGAGGAAACATTCAGGTAGAAAAGCTGTGCTCAGTTAGATTGTTTGTACCTGGCAACAGGTGTGACTTAGATACTTCTGGTTCTGCTGGTAATCATGAATGAGTATAATGGGTGGCATAACCACAGTGGTGCAGTCTTTACAGTGATGCACACATTATGATTTACCTCTTTACAAGCTCCAACATAAAAAAAAATGCATCAGCTTAATACTGAAATACTGTGTACATGTCACTCTTGACTCTGTGGGTTATTTTGAATTATTTACATGCAATCATTTCAGCCATTTTTTTCAAAATCAGTGAGAATTAAAAGTAGCATGCTTTCCTTTACCCAAATTATTCTGATTGCATTTTTAGGGTGTAGGAATTCCTAGACTGCTATAGGTCTAGGTCTGCTATAGGCAATACTACAGGTGGCGTTGTTAAATGGCAAAGTGCGTCCTTCTCTGAACTTGAAAACAATTTGTTTCATATCTGAAAGATGGAGGTTAGGTACATGTGAGCTCTGCACTTCATTTGCATTTCCTCAACAAGCAAAAATACAATCCCTCTGTAAATCTCCTTCCTGGCTCTTTTGAAGGTTGCTTCCAGGCTGTGTGTGCCTATTCTGCTGAAGAAAGTTGATTCACTTCACTATTACTTCTTTATTCTCTTTACCATACTTTCCCTCTCTTTCTTGAGTGAAACCATGGTATTTCTTTACACTGCTAGTTTTTCTTTTGCTATCCTCTTCTCATTGCTCTTTTCTAGTTCTTGTGATAAGTGCCATGTAACTTTCCTTTTTGCCTGTTTTGTCATTTTTCCACTTCCTCTTATACTAAGCCTCCTTCCCGCTTATTCTGGCATTCCCTTTCCCATCAGTTTCTTGAAACTGATTCAGTATTTCTTTTTCACAGCAGCTAGTGCCTGGATTTCTTCATTCTGTACGTCTACCGTGTAAAGGAATAGTGTAGTGATAGTGTCCCCTTTTATCTCTTCTGATTCATCTCCATGCTCTGGAATGATTTCTACCTGAGTCTGTTATCAGTTACTCTTTGAACAGGTTTTCTTCCCGTATTCGATGTCTGCCCTGCCTGTTACTCTAATTTTGGGTTCTGAAGGTCATTCTAAACTTTCTTCACATGCGAGACTCCTTCCTGGTCTCCTTTATCCCCTTCCCCTGCCTTCATACCATGTGGTTTCTCATGGCGATTTGTACGTGTTCCTTCCAGCTCTACCTGACCAAGCAGGACATATGTACAGCTGAATTGATGCCCAGTGTGGTACCACAGTTTTATTCCCAGTCTTGCCTCTTTGTCCTTTGACACTTATAGTCTGTCATGATCCAAATGTTTGTTGTTTGTGGTTTAAATGACTTAAAGACTTTCTCTGATCTCCATTCTTGTAGACTCATTTTGGATAAAATACTTTTTTTCCCCCCTCTGTGCCCATATCTCCAGTTCTGGATTGTTTTTGTTTTAATTTCAGATCAAAATCACCATAGGACTTTTGTGTTTCAGTTTGTGTCCTTCTCCATTCATTCAAAATACTTTAACAAAGTTTCTATTACTTGTTCCCTTTTTTCACTGGCAGGTTAATGGAACTTTGCCTATGTGTGCTGTGTGCAAACAGTTTACTCCAGCAACTTTGTCTGAGTTCTTTAATTTTTAACTAAAAACCTGGTTCTTCAGACATGCTGGGCATGGACAGGCTCTTTATGAGTAAATAAATAAAGCCACTTTGATGAGAGCTCTATGCCATTTATAACACCTGACAATCAGGTCAATATTGTTGGAGGTGTGTAGGAGTTGGACAGCTGAACAAAACCTTATGATAAAGATGTCATATTCAAACTCTGTATGTTCCAAGATGAAAAAAGGTGAAAATTTCTGCCTGAACTTCTTGTGTGAAAAACTATTGCAGAAAAAACCTGAGGATTGTCTTTATGAGAATATACATTACCTTTTGATTTTCCAAGTAGAAAGACTGATATCAGATTGGGAGCATCAAAAAAGTCAATCTGCTTCTACATTTTGAAAAAGCACATTGGGCTCTTCTCCTTCACTGTAGCAGGAGGCCATTTCATGGGTTTTTAGAGGGGATGATGATGAGGAAAGGTAACTGTGGCTCAAGATGGGACGTTATTTTCTGGTTTTCTTCATTTTTACAGATTAGAAGCTGCCAAAGATGACTATCGAATACGCTGTGAAGAACTAGAAAAGGAAATTGCAGAACTGAGACAACAAACAGAAGAGCTTACTACACTGGCAGAAGAGGCTCAGTCTTTGAAGGATGAGATAGATGTACTCAGGTAAACTCTGTTCCATTAATCATTTTTTAACTATTAACTTTTAATTTGTGTACTTAATCTGCATTATCTTTTGTTTAAATAATTTAAATATTAAATATAAACACTTTCTCAGTGCCAAGGTTCTTCTGGATCCTCCAGTTTAATTCTGCTTAAGTAAAATAGTTGTTTATTGTGTTCCTTAATCAATAACTATGAGTAAACTCAGCAATTCCACACAATCTTATGGTTATTACAGGGCACTCACTGATCTGTTGGAGTATTTACTACTCACCTTCATCATGACTTGGGCATCTATTCTCATCAGAAAACTATCCCCTTTGCTAGGTTTGCATTGCTTGGACTTTGGGTGTGCTTTTGGTTCATCAAATAATGCTAATATGAACATCTGTTACGGCTCTCACTGTCACTAATCTTAGCACACCAAGTTGTCATGATTTGATGATGCTAGGGCTTTGTAGGGTGGGACAACCACTTTTACTATGGAACAGTGTTGGCGCCTTGCTGCCATGAGTTATTCAGAACAGTTACCCATTCTCTCTCCCAAGGCTTAGTTTAATATTGCCATTCCTAATTCACCAGCAGCTTTCTATCAACGCTTTCTGTCTTCATCTCCTCTATCATTGATGTAAGGACTGAACCCATCAGGCTGCATAATTCCATAAACTATCTGTTTGGGTGGCATGGGTTCAAAAAGTAATTCCTTGCTGCAGGAGAGAGGCTCTGCACTTCACTGGGGATTTTAGAGATTTGGCTTGCCTCAGTGTCTCGTAAACTGGCCCATCAATTCGGTGGGAGATTCCCTGGATTTCATAGGAAATTTATTCTGTAAATTGTTTGGTTCAGAAATGAAACTGAGGACAGTACTAGTGGTAGAGGTGTGGGTGGTTGCTGTCCTGGCATTGCAACAGGTGGATTGAAAAAACTCTGAAAAGTTATGAACAGAGCTCCGTGTTTCTTTTTTCTCTCTCTTTTTCTTTTTTTTTTATTTTTTTTTAGAAGGAATCAAACTCCAAAACTATTACAGTACTTTACTTCTGTCTCACCAAGTATAAATTGCCCAGGAGATGGATCTTTGTGATTTTATTCCTGGCTCTCATTAAAACAAATTGGAGGCCAGAAGGTTTTCTTCTTTACCCTTGTAAAATGCAGAATAGAAGATAATTTGGAATTGAAAGGAAATGAGTGGGAGTGAAGTTGTTTTAACTACTGTTTTAAAATTGGAAGCAGATAAGAAATCTGTATTAGGAAGAGTGATAGTTTCTAAAAGAACCTCCATCAGCAGTAATTTGAGTTGACAAACAGTCATATGGGAGGAAAGCAGGTAATTTAAAAGTGAAAACATTAGTAATAAGAGAATATGATTGCTTTATTGTTCTCCCCATGATATCTCAGAATGTCTTCTGCATTAAGGCAAAATAGTGAGGAAGCATTTAACTTTGTTAGTTTTGTTAGTTTTCTGAGTTCAAATTCAATATAAATTTGTCCCTTCAGGCATTCTTCTGATAAAGTAGCCAAGTTAGAAAGCCAGGTAGAGTCATATAAAAAGAAACTGGAAGATCTGGGTGATTTGCGGCGTCAAGTGAAGCTTTTAGAAGAGAAGAATACAATGTACATGCAAAATACTGTGAGCCTGGAGGAAGAACTGAGGAAGGCCAACGCAGCACGCAGTCAGCTGGAAACATACAAGAGACAGGTGAGGACAAGCATCATCAATGCAACAGTACTCTCTATTGTTCAACACTTTCTCTTCCTAACAAGGCTAATACCTCAAAGTAAAAAAGAAACTATGAGGAAACAGCTGTTTTGAAGATTTCCATGTTTTGTAGGTACTGCCTTTGTCCTCCTTTTCTGCAAGTCTTGCAGGTCATTACTACAGGTTTATGTTAGTTTGCCAATAAGCAGTATTTCTTACATTTGAAAAAAATCAACAGAAGTTAAGGGTTCTTTCTTATCTGAAATTATTCCTAATTCACATTCAATAGCAGGGCTTGAATTTGAGCCTCTTCTTTCAGAGAAAGTATATACATTTTGCTTACAATTTTCCAGCACTGAGGAATGCACCACAGCTGAGGTAGGTTATTCCTGTGTTTAAGTAACCTCTCTCTTTTTGAAGTTCTAGTTTCTGATACTTCTGAATTTTTCCAGATAAGAAGAGAGAAGGACACATGTAATCCCTGTTGTTTATATGCACTCAGCAGAGTACAAAATGTGTCACCAGCGCACTCTCTGGAGTGAAAGGCATCTCTTTATCCTCCTGCTTATCAGAGTGCCATGTGATGCTGTTTCTGTAAAGGTGGACGATGTGCTAAATCTTCTCTCTGCTTGTAGGCTACAGGGACATGACATCATACTGGCATTCTTGTTACAGGGCCAGGCAGAGCATGGCTCATTAAAGGAGTAGTGCCTGCTCTGTATTTCTGCCTGATCGAATGGCCACAGCACAGGGGTCCCTGTCTGTCAGCTTACAGCAGAATAAAACACAGAAACAAGCACTAACAACATTGCAAGCCCAGGAACAACGTGTTTCCCTAAGACTTAATAGATCTTTTTCCCTGCACTTGGCCATCTTATTTATTGAGACAACTAGTTTCAGCCTCTGTGGGCTAGTTGTAAATACAGCCCAAGTGTTTTTACAAGAAAAAAAAGAAGTTGGACAAGAAAAAACATGAAATAACAGACAATTTTTGTAGTGGAAACATGTCTTATGTATGAAGGATCCTACCCCACTCATGAGGATGCCACTAGAGGAGTTATTTCTTTGGCTTAGAAGCATTGTGCTATGCAGATGTGTTTGATTCAAACTCCTATAGCAATTTGCAAGGAAATTGCATGTCCACTGCACACAGCAGAAGCCTTTTCTAAGAACCTTTACTGCAGCTTTAAGAATTGAAATGTGAAGATTCCAAGATAGTTTTATTGTTATTTAATTCAGCCCCTTTGTGCATGTGCATTCTGATATATTTTTAGCAGTATGTCTTGCTTTTCTTTGTTGCAAAAGTCCTGCTTTACTCATTCTGCACTGAGATAATGCTTAGTAAATGTGATGGCAGTTCATTTTTATTTTTTTAATCTTCTGCATTACCATGAAACTGTGTCTCTTTCTATACCCTCACAAGTCCTAATTCAAGACAGTTATACAGTTTATTTCCTGCGATGGTTTTCTGCATGCCATTACCATAGCTTGAGTGATTATAAACATTAATGCATTCTTTTCCACTTGAGGTGAAAATTTACATCTTTTGCAAGTGGGGGCACAATCACAGGTGAAGGCCTGTGTATTTTTATTTATTCCTGCAGTTATTGTGATAGCCCCAGTGATGGATGTCACATCTGAGAGATTAAATATTTTTATATCTAACATTTGATTTTTTTAATGTCAGCAAATGCAGGCCTGTGCTATTTTTATGACCTTTAATCTAAGAACAACAGCAGCAAAGCCCTTCTCTAAGACTTAAGACCGCAGATATTGTAGTCCTTATAGATATGTTGCTGTAGCTTTACACATGGAAAATAAAAAGCAGTTAGAAAAACTGGCCAGTCTTAATGTAGGTAGTGCTTCACAATTTAGGTTAATCTCTTCCTGTCTAATCTAAAAACCATGAAAAAGCCTTCTTATGAATTCCTACAGAAGAAGCTGTGATGTCTTTATCAGAGTCTTTGTTGACCTTCTGTGTTTGCAGCTCAGTTTTTATTGACCTTGCTTCGATGCTCTCTGCATTATAAGCTTTACTAATGTTCTGTGAATGAATCTTTGCTAGTAAAGGCTGAGAGTTTTGAAGAGGCAAGATTTCACTGATTTGCCTCCTGTTGTGCTCAACTTTCAGATTTCTGCTCATATAATTCTAAAAGCTCTTTACTGATCTGTAGTTGAAAGCATACATGTGGCTTTGTTAGCAATGTTTCTCCCCAAAATAAAGAAAACTCTTTATAAGCCTGTGGCCAAATCTTTATATTAGTGTATTAGAAAATATCAGGAATTCTCAGGCTAAGGAACTGGCTGCATAAACTGGTAGTTGAATTCTGAGTGAGGTTTATGAAATAAAGTTAACAAAAGGTGTAGGTAATTTGCTTTCTTCAGAATTTTTTCTCCTTACTAGGTTTCTCAGAATGCAGAGAGATTTTTCTGCTTTTCCTAAGCTCTTTGATCCGTAGTATGACATGGCTTTCTCTCTGTAAACCTTGCTTGAGCTTAAATTCTTGTTTTAGATGTAACAAAAATACTTCACAGGTTTTTTTGTCTTTTGCTTGTACTAAGACCTAATATTTGAATGCTGTTTATTTTGCTGAGACACAGAACAACTAGGATGCCCTGTAGGTAATTATTTCACTTGTTTACAACATGACTCGTGGTGCATGGTAACTGGCTACTTTGTCTTGTGTATTTTGTTTTAATACTTGCAGACACATTATTGATTCTTGTTCTCACAGGCAGTTGAACTACAAAACAGGTTATCTGAAGAGTCCAAGAAAGCTGATAAATTAGATTATGAATGCAAACGTCTGAAAGAAAAAGTAGACAGCCTCCAAAAAGAAAAAGATGTAAGTGCCAAGGTGTTGTTTTTTGTTAGTAATGATAGCAACTTTGTGTCCTTTATAACACAGGGATATGGTAATTATAGTTAGCAATCTTTTTAAATTAGGAAGTCTTTTTTCAGCTAAAATTTTCTAATGTTTCTGTACAAGATACTTTTTAAACCTAAGAATTGTACAGCATGGAATAAAGTGACTGTGCAAAATCGTAAGCAACCCATTTTTAAGAGGAAGAGCATTCTTATTTGCCATCTGAAATTGTTTACTGACTATTTACCGTGAGAAGGTTAAAAAATACCCAGGGTAATTTTCATGTATTCTGAAAAAAAATCATTTACAGTAGGGTTCCTGTGGTATCATTCTAGAACTAAATTCCTGCTGTATTTTTTTCTAAGGCATTCTTCACAGTACCATCAGTATAATTCTCTTTGGGGAGTCATGATTACCCTAGCAAGAGGCTTAGTAGTTGTGTAGAGGGAAATGTCCTTTGTGGCGATCTCACCTTTTATGACAACTCCTTGTTGATCCATCTTACACTGCCAACATGGAATACACGGGGTAGATACTAACCTATCCCCTTCCACTTGTGTCATTTGCTGCTAGTGATTCTGCAGTTAACTGCTCTCTTTTGGCAAGACTGATCCTTCAGACTTCTCTTGCACACTGTTGTTTCTCACCAGTTTACTTTGGCTTGTTTCTTAGGAATGTATATGCAGGTGCCTCAGACTACCTCAAACCGAGGTCAGCACTTTGAGTTAGCAGTTTCTTAGGCATGTTTTAATTATCCGTCTGTCAATACAGATTTTAGGAGCTCTGCAGACTTTTCCTCAGTAGTCATATTTCTTGTCCAGTTTTTTCCAAAATTTCCAGGCCCTGTATCTGAATATCATTTTCAACTAAAAGTTATTTTATATTCACAGGTCATTGATTTCTATTTTTTATTAAATTTTCAGACACTTGACCTTCAGATCACTTCAATCTGCCTTTCATTTCAGGCTGGAATGCTTGTAGTAATTGTATTTGTACTGCGCTTTGGCTTTCTTTCCTGCTCTTTATTTTTAAAATGGGGTGTTTTTTTTCCCAGTGCTTTTGTTTGACAGTGGTAAAGTCGTCCCTGTGGCTTATCCATTGCTTGGTGGACCATTTCATCTTGCACAAAGGATCTGAATTGCAGGCCATTGTCATACAGTTTTCCATTTTACCCCCAGACAAATGGTATTTTTTTGGGCTGGATGTTGTTTTTAAACATATTCTTTTGGATGCATATGCACCTGTGAGAAACAGCTTACAGCTAGAAGTCTCTCATCATATGGGTGTAGTGACTCACTGTCTGTTACCTACTACAGGTCATAAGCTACGTAGTGCTATCTTATTAGTTATATTTTGGATGCAGTTACTGAAATTGATTTTGTCCTTTTCTTTATGTTCTGGCAAAGCCTGGTAGTGTGTTTGATACCTTCAGCTGTGTAGCTTGAAATTTTACCTCTGTGGTGTGTTATATGATCAATACTAAGATAATTTGTGTTGTTTATATAAATGAAACCCTGGAGCTTTTTCTAGCCATTAAAATATTCTGGCATTTGGTAATCAACTGTTAAAAGAATGAAATGCAAGGGCCTCTCAGCTAACACAGCTTCATACCTACACAGAGCCAAGGTCTGTCCTGGACCATATAGTAATACAGAACATATTTAATTTTGGAGCAAACTACAGCTTGGATCATTACATAGTTGCCATTTTTTTCTTTACTTTTTGACTCCTGGCAGCCTTCTGGACAAAAATCTTGGTGCTATCTGTAGATTCTAATTTTTTTTGCAAGAAGGGGACTTGTACCAAACTGAGAGAATATTTGCCTGATGCCACTAAATAACACATCTCTCTGGATCCCAAGGTGGTCCAATCCTGTTCTTAAGTTCTCTTTGGACTGAATCTTAAGCAACTAGGTTTGTTTTTTTTTTAATGGCCAAGATTCTGATGAGTGGCAGGGCCAACTGATACACAGGTGGAATGGGATATGGAAATGCTGCTCACACTTTCAGTGGTAAAAGACAAAGAAATGGAGTTAAAGAAATTTGTTATGTTGACTGTGTACTCACCTGCTCTTTATTTCACTCCTGTCTAAGCCTTGGATTCATGGTGAGGGAAAAGTCTATGCTCTGTTAATTCACTTCCCTTTGCTTTGAAATCAGCCCCAATGAGAGGAAAAGGAAAATATCTGAGTGGCCACAGTGGGTGCAGTTTGCTACCCACACTGTAACTTTGTGTCTCTAATTATCTTGATTTTGTAAGTATACACTGCTATTTTTGGCCCCATAAGATCAGCAACTCTTCTCAAAAAAAACCCCCACTGTCCATGTGGAATATATAATACTTACATTTATTCTGTTATGAAATAGACTGAGATACCTTAATCTCAAAATAATCTCTAGAGTTGTATTTAATTCATTTTGAAGTGTTGAACTCTGTGCCTTTTGGTGACCTGTATACTGTTAAGGATGGATTTGTAGTGCCAAGACTGATATTTGTTATTTGTTCTGTTTCCAATTGTTCTCTTTCCAATTATTCAGAGATTAAGAACAGAAAGGGATTCCTTGAAAGAAACTATTGAAGAGCTTAGATGTGTACAAGCTCAGGAGGGTCAACTCACCACTACAGGTAAAAGACAAATAAGGAGATTAAATGCCTTTTTTCTAAAGTTTACCGGACCTCTCTGGAAAGTATTGATTGTGCTTTTGTTTAGCACAGAATAAGTTTAAGCTCCTCTAAAATCAGAAGTGAAAAACTGCTTCAACTATTCATAACTTGCTGAGCAAGCAAAAACTTCACGTTCCTTCAATCAGAAATTTTATTCTCTTCCCCGGTGTGATATTTTTATAATGCATATCTGATTTCTATGTAGTTACATAATTTTCTTTAGAGAGATATTTTTTCATGACGGTTCGTGTGTTATAGTTTGTTTCTATGTGTGATGTTGCATTGCTTCATAGTTCTTAGATAAGCTAATGAGCAGAAAATAAACTGCAAAATTATTTCTTCAGAATGGATGAAGTCAAAAGTAATGATTAATCTTCAAATGAAATGGTGCTTGCCTGTCTGTCTTGCTGTAGCCTTTGTGTCGTTTCACATTGTCTAGCAGTAGTCTAAAACTGTAAACTTCTAGAACAGTGTTGGTGTGCTTGCAAAATTTTTTGCTTTTCCTTACTCAGGATTGATGCCTCTGGGAAGACAAGAGCCTTCTGACAGTTTAGCAGCAGAAATCATTACTCCTGAAATAAAGTAAGCTAATTATGTGCTTTGTGTTACTAACCTTTACAATGGTTCATGGCAAGATGAATCTGAATCAGCAGTGCCCTGGCAGCCAGGAGGACCAACTTTGTCCTGAGGGGCATCAGGCAAAGCATCGCCAGCTGGTCAAGGGAGGGGATTGTCCCACTCTACTCTGACTTGGGGTGGCCTCACCTGGAATATTGTGTGCAGTTTTGGGCACTGCAATATAAGAAGCACATAAAGCTATTATAGAATATCCAGAGGAGGCCCATGAGGATGGTGGGAGGGAAACTGTATGAGGAGCAGCTGAGGTCACTTGGTCTGTTCAGCCTGGAGAAGATCTCATGGTGGTTTTCACCTTTCTTGTGAGGGGAAGAGGAGGGGCAGGCACTGATCTCTGCTCTGTGGTGGTCAGTGACAGAACCTGAGGGAATGGCCTGACATTGTGTCAGGGGAGGTTTAGGTTGGATATTGAAAAAGGTTCTTCCCCCCGAGGGTGTTTGGGCACTGGAACAGGCTGCCTAGGGCAGTGGTCACAGCACAAGACTGACAGAATTCAAGAAGGTGAGACTCTCAGGCAGGGCCAGGAATTTGACTTCGATACTTCTTGTGGGCTCCGAAATTCCTGGATTTTCTCTAAGCGTATATGTTTCCATGTACACTCTTTCCAACTGGAAGCTGACTTCCATGCCTGCTTTTTAGAGATAGACAGTAGCAGTGACTGCTATATGTCTGGAACTTCCTGATCTGGAAGTCCAGGCTTTTGCTTCTGCTGATGAATGGGAAAGACTGCCCAAAGCAGCCCACTACAGAAGTAGCTAAACTGCTCTCTTGACCCTTCCATGGTGACAGAACATGGCACCTTTCTTGGTCCTCTAGAGAAGACCTGCAGACCAAATGGGAGTATTTCATGAGGCAGTTCAGTCTGTGGCCTGTCAGATTACCTGTGGTAATCAGCAAATCAAAGTGACACGAGGAGTTAGCAAGGCTCATTGAAAAAGCTTTTAACTAGATTTAAAGGGGAAGTGGATAAAGCCAAGCTCACCAGAGATAAGCTTGGTGGCACCTTGCCAGTTGTTGAGGGACAGTGTGCTAGGGAGGTCCTTCAGTTTGCTCCATGATGATCATATTTGACATGTCCCTGTATTTCTGCATGCAGCACCACAGCCACCTCAGTGGAGGTAAAGGATTGATGTGAATGCAGCAGGAGGGATGGTTGTTGATGCGTGAGAATGCAGGGAAGCTCCTGAGAGCACTCACACAGGAATTAGGGCTTCTCCCCCTAAAAAAATCTGTAGGATCAGTAGCCCAATTGAAATGCATTTACACCGAAGTCCTCAGCATGAGTAACAAATAGGAGAAGCTGGAAACCATTGTGCAGCTGGAAAACTGAGACAATTGCAATCATGGAAACATGGTGGGATAACTCAGACAACTGGAGTGCTGCAGTGGATGGCTGTAAGCTCTTCAGGAGGGAAGCAAGGAAGCAGAGGTAGTGGGATTGCCCTGTATGTTAGGGAGTGTCTCAATTGTCTGGAGCTTGATGATAGCGATAGAGTTGAGTGTTTATGGGTAAGAATCGGGGAGAAGGCCAACAGGACAGATACCCTGGTGTGTCTGGTACAGACCATCCAACTAGGATGAGAAGGCAGATGAAGTGTTCTAAGAAGTGGGGAGAGGTCTCACTATTGTTGGTCCTTGTTCTCATAAGGGACTTAAACTTAAAAAATGGCTGCTAGAAATGCAAGGCAGCAGAAAGGGATAAGTCTAGGGGACTGTGTGGAAGACAAATTCCTGACACAGCTGGCAGGCAAGCCAGCTAGGGAAAGTGCCCACTGGACTCAGTGTTTGTGAACAGAGAAGGACTTGTGAGTGATGTGATGGTCAGAGGCTGTCTCAGGCACAGTGACCATGGAATGAGAGTTTTCAATTCTCAGAGAAGTAAAGAGAGATGTCAATGGAACTGCCACACTGGAATTCAAGAGGGCAGACTTCAGCCTGTTTAGAGACCTGGTTGACAACTGCTTGGGAGGCTGTTGTGAAGGGCAAAGGAGTCCAGGAAGGCAAGAAGGAACTCTGAAAGGTGCAGGAGCAGGCAGTCCCCATGAGCTGGCAGGAAGACTGGCTTGGCTGCACAGAGAGCTTTGGCCAGAACTCAGGATAAAAGGGATTAACTCAGGTTAAAATGTTAAAAGAAGGGGCAAGGACACTCAGGAGAACTACAAAGATGTGTAGTTAGGCAGGGAGAAAATTAAAAGGGCCATAGCCCAACTAGATCTTAATCTGGCTACTGCCATAAAAGACAATAAAAAATGTCTCTATAAATGCATTCACAAATAAAGGGTTAATGAGAATCTCCATCATTCAGTTGTTCCTGTGCTGGGCACCTCTGAGCTGGATGCAGTGTTCCAGAGGGGGTCTCACCAGAGCAGACTAGAAGGATAGAATCCCCTTCCTTGCCCTGCTGGCCACGCTGCTTTGGATGCTGCCCAGGACACAACTGGCTTTCTGGGCTGTGAGTGCACTTTGCTGGGTCATGTCCAGCCTCTCATCCACCAGCACCCACAAGTCCCTCTCAGCAGGGCTGCTCTCAATGTGTTCACCCCCCAACCTGTGCTGACACTGGGGGTTGTCCTGACCCAGGTACAGCACTGAGCACCTGGCCTTGTTGAACCTCTTGAGCATGTCCCGGTCTCTCTGGATGGCATCCTATCATTCAGGGGCTGTTGTTTGATGGCTGAATGTGAGCCAGCAGTGTGCCCAGGAGCCAAGAAGGCCAGTGGCGCTCTGGCTTGTATCAGTGGTAGTGTGGCCGGATGGACCAGGGCAGTGATTGTCGCTCTGCACTCAGCACTGGTGAGGCCACATCCCAAGTCCTATGGCCAGTTCCAGGCCCCTCACTTCAAGAAGGACATTGAGGTGCTGTCCAGGAAAGGAGCATGTCCAGGAAAGGCCAGTGGAGCTGGTGAAGGGTCTAGAGTGTAAGCCATACAAGAAGCAAGGAGGGGTGTTTATCCTGGAGCAAAGGAGGCTCAGGGATGACCTTATCACTCTCCACAGCTACCCAAAAGGTTTTAGCGTGGGGGGGGGTTGGTCTCCTCTCCCAGGTAATAAGAGGTGAGACAAGAAGAAGTGGCCTCAAGTAGTGTCAGGGAAGATTTAGATTGGCTATTTGGAATCAAGTGATATCTAGCATTGGAACAGGCTACCCAGAGAAGTGTTTGAATCACCTTTTCTGGAGGTATTTAAGGGATGTGGAGACATGGTGCCTGGGGACGTGGTTCTGTGGTGGACTTGACAGTGCTGGATTTACCATTAGATTTGATGATCTTAATAGTCTTTTTCAGCCCAAATGATTCTGTGAAAACAGATCAACAGGGTTGAAGTGACTTGCTCAGGTTTATGCAGTAGTTCAGTGAGCTGAGATTACAACCTTCTTTCACAGTTGGTATTGAGTTTTGCATTCTTTGTGTTTGCCCTATAAATTTGTTCAACTATATTCTTGAGATCTAGGAGGGTACTCAGGTGATTTCCTTGTGTTGTGCTTTCTACAATTACAGTTCCTGGAATTAGGTTTGTATTTGGGGTTTTGAAGAGACATGATTGTTGTCTTCAGCTGTATTAAACTGTCTCACATTATATTTGTAAAGATGATACTATCTGTGGTAAACTGTTTTCTTTTTTATAGAGATTGGCATTGTCCTTTCTACAAAATTGTGTTTTATGTATTTAGGGAGAAACTCATTCGCCTTCAACATGAGAATAAGATGTTAAAATTGAACCAAGAAGGGTCTGACAATGAAAAGATTGCCTTGTTGCAGAGCCTTCTTGATGATGCAAACTTACGGAAGAATGAACTTGAGACAGAAAACAGGTAAGAATTTTTGTCCTCTGTTTCACTTGACTTTTCTAATAATGCCACATACTTTTGACTGTACTGTGTCCAATATAGGCATCCCCAGGACAAGAAAGCCATGGACCTAGTGGAGTCAGTACTGTGAAAGGCCTGTGATTACAGGACTGCTGTGTCTTTCCTATGAGTAGAGTCTGAACGACAGAGACTATGTAGCCTGGAAAACAGAAGGCTCAGGGTGGATCTTATAAATATATGTAACCAAAGTATCTGATGGGAGGGTCTAAAGGAGATGGAGCTAGACTCTTCTCTGTGATGCTCAGTAACAGGGTAAGAGGCAGTGGGCAGAGCTTAAAACACATTGTATTTCATATGAGTAAGACCATACTTTTTTTTTTCTGTGAGGGTTGCTGAACACTGGATTATGTTGCCTGGAGAGGTTGTCTCCATCCTTGGAGATATTTAAAATGCAACAGGACATGTTCCTAGGCAACCTAACCTGGAACAATCTAGCTGACCCTGCTAGATTGAGGCAGTCAGCATACAGATATCCATGGGACCAGACAGAGCATGCCACAGGCTGATACTGGTGTGAGGCTGCTCTCTATCTAATCTTACTTGTCTTTTCCTGTGATTGGGTAAAGCACTTGAAGCCTAGGAAAAGGTAAATACTGCACTCACTTTCAAGAAGGACAAGAAATAGAGTATGAAGAACTACAGAGACTGGTTACTTTCTGGGAAAAGCAGCTCACTTTCTGGAAAATTCATAAAACAAGTCCATTTGGAATCTGTTTCCAGTTGCATGAGGGACAAGAAAATAATTGGGAAAGGTCAATGTGAATTTATTCAGAGCAAATCATGCATAACTAAACCAATTGGCTTGTTAATGATATGACTGCACATCTGAAAAAGAGTGAACAGAGGATGGCACTTAGCTTTAGCAAAGCCTTTGACACAGTGTCCCATGGTATCCTTATGTTTAGAATGTTAGATATAAACTGAAGAAGTGGACAGTAAAGTGATCAGAAAATTGGCTGGACAGTGGTTGGACAGCTGAGTCTAGTGTGTTATTGTTAGTGGTATGAAACCCACGTGGCAATCAGTTCCTCAGGCATCAATACCAAGACCAGTGCTGTCCATCGCCTTTATAAACAGCTTGACTGATGAGAGGGACTCCCCTCTCAGCAAGTTTGAGGGTGGTACCACTTTGTGAGGAGCCACTGATGTCCTGAAAGGGAGAGCTGTTACTCAGGGGTGCTCCTGGCTAGGAGCAGTAGGCTGTGGAGCAGCTCTGCTGCAAAAGCCCTGGGGTTCCACTGGGCAGCAAAGCAGGATGTGTTAACTGTGGAGACCTTGTAGTTGACTATGATCTTGACTGCCCTCAGCAAGGTGCAGGCAATCAGACCGAGAAAATGATTGTTCACCTCTTGTCAGTACTTAAGATATCACATCTGGACATAGCATATAGTTTTGGATTCCCCAGTACAAGAAAGAGGTGGATGTGTAGGAGTGCAGCAGAACACCACTAAGGTGAGGGACACTGGAGCACATGATGGGGGGGATAAAATTTACACTCTTCTCAAGAGATTGTGAGTGGAAGGACAAGAGGCAACAGACACAGTATGGAGTACAGATCTGACCTCTAAAAGAACAGCTCGAAGAGACTGTTAGACCACTATCCTTAAATGTGTCCAAACCTGGTACTGGATTTGGTTCCCAGCAATCTACTGCACGTGCACCTGCTTTAAGGAGGAGAGTGGATTTAGACAACCTCTGGAGATCCCTTACAACCTGCAGGTTTATAGGATTCTCTAACTGTGTGAAAGCGATAAGCTAGCAGCTCTCACGCATAAACTGATCATTAGAAACTCCTGTTTCATGTGCATAGAAATGATTTCTGCATGCATTTATGTTGTCCTGGAAGAGTATCAGAATGTTCTGAATGATGATAAGGTATAACCTTTGGAGCTACTGTAAGCTCTGACTACTGTTGTAAGTTTTTTGTGAATAAATTCCAGTATTGCATCTCCTGTGTAGATAACCTGAAAACACTGGACACTAAAAATCTGGCTTCCTCTTGCAGTTGTTTGGGGTTTTTTTTCTGAAAAACATATATCGTTTCTGTTATCTCTTTCCTAGATTGGTAAATCAGAGACTTCTAGAAGTGCAGTCCCAGGTTGAAGAACTACAAAAATCTTTACAGGATCAAGGTTCGAAAGCTGAAGATGTAAGTAGAAATGTGCATCAAACTTACATTCAAGTACTTACCATTTTTGAAACTTTGACCTTTTTGTAAAAAAAACTATGTAAAAGAAACGTACAAGCAGATTTCTGATAGTTTTCCATATTTACTTGTATGGTGTTATCACTAAATTGTGCTTATCTAACTAGGATGTGAGACTTTTGTGTAGCGTAGAAAACCATCCTATGTAGAGAAGGTGTCAAATATGTTTTATTTGAATAATTGTGTCTGTTCCAATAGAAAACGTAACATTTATTTAATTAGAATAGAGAGTTTTATAGGGAATTTAGGAAGTGTTGGTTCTCCATGAATTAAGTATTTGAAGTTATTTTTGGTTTAGTTTTCTTAATGAGAATTAAGGCCTTTCCAGCCAGTGGAAGTTCTGCAGTTGTTGATGTAAATGTATCTCATAATGGAAAAAAACCAGACAGACTAAAACTGAAAAAAAAAAGGAAAATAATTAGGCCCTCAACATCATGCAGCATTTTCTGTTTCTATATACAGAGTTAACTTTATTTTAAATGTAAGAATACATATTGTAGTTGAGTTAGTGTGGAAAACAACTTTCAGTCTTCCACTCAAAAATTGTTTATCATCTTCTGTACTTGAAAAAAGAAGCTCTAGAACTTTCTTGAAAGCAGTGGTTTGTTGGACTGTACATGCATAGTGTATGCTCACAATCTCAGTGTATTGTGTTGCTAATTGGCAACAATTGTAATGTGTTGCTTTCTATTTTTGTGGTTTTGTTTTAACTAATTTATATAAAATAGTGAAAGTTTCTACTAGGTGCTTATGTTCATTTAAGAGTGTGTTTAATTTAGCTTATCCTTTTAATTTTCAGAATAAACTATATGGATGTAAAACATCTAGTGGATTTCCAATAAGATTATTTTTATAAGTAACTTAGGATGTCTTTTAGAATGCATTTTAAAATAGGTCCATTCTGAGATGTTCTTTGTCTCGATTATTAGCCAAAATCAAATTTTTCAGGATGAACTAGGATATGAAAAAATTATTCTCAGGTATCAACTATTGTAAATTATCCCTTTCACAGCTTTATTCACTGTGATTTTAATTGTTGTCCCTTTTTGAGGCTCTGGTTGGGACAGATTTATGGGCGCTAATCCCATGGCCTGTTTTGCTGAGTTTGATGTGTGGGATTCCATTTAGTCCTAAAGAAGCAGAAGAGTGAGCGTAGACTCAGAGAAGTGTTGAGGATGCAAGAGCCTCTGATGTTATGGTCACCATATGCAGTCTCCCTGACAAAGCAAACCAAACCTCAGAAGTTTAACCCAACTGCTTAACTAGATGGAAGTTGGTACTACCTAAGTTACCCATAAGGTATTAATACAAACAGAGTGATTCTTCAGAAGCATCAGAGAAAGGATTAGGAGAGACATGGCATAGAGTTCATTGATGCATCATTTTCAGCACATTTCCTCTGTTTTTCACCGCTTTTCTGCAACAATGCACTGAAATCCATATTTTTATGTACTTAGACTGTAAATGTGCTCAACCCAGAAAACTGAAGACTCCAGTTTAATTAAAAAATGTGTGATGAGGGCTCAGGTCTGGTTTTTGTTGGGGTTTTGTTTGGTTTTAAAGTTGAAGTTATTTTTAAACCTGCCCAAAAAGTAGTAGAAGTACTGTCCTAACCCAGGCAAGTGTCATTGTGGAGAAACATGCTGTGTGCCAAGGTCCACGTGGGGAAGCAGTTTTGATTTTGTGTTGAAGTGCAGTGGAAGGCAGCTGTTCAAAAGATGTCAGTGCCATTGGGCCTGTAATGGGCACTGACATGTTCTGTTGGGATGCATGATCAGTCCATCCTGGTTGCTGCCTTGCTAGCCAGGGGAAAGCCTCCTTACCCCAACCTTCCAGAGTATAGAATCAACTCAGACATATCTGGTGTGGTCAGAAAAGGTTTGATTTATTATCCTTTAGAAACAGTAGTCGTGTGGGGGCTGCTCAACAGTTACCTCAAACAGTTTTGACTACATCATTTGCATGCCTGGTCATCACTGTCCTTTCTCACCCTTGTTCTCCTGTTCTCTGCCCTCATCCCTTCCTGTATAAACACTGCCTTTAGTTTCTTGTGCCCCACTTGCTAAAGCCATCCCACGCCTGATGTTTCTCATAATATTACATATGCAGTCTTGGTCTTACATGCTGTTACTGAGACAACACCTGCCTAGAAGGTCCCCACAACTCTCTTATCTGTGAAGTTTGACCACTTTGCTCATCTGGTGAAACGCTGGTTGCCTGGAGAAGGTGTGGATGCCCCATCCATTCAATGCTGGGCAAGGCTCTGAGCAACCTGATCTAGCTGAAGATGTCCCTGCTTACTGTGGGGGTTTTGACTGAGACCTTTAAAGGTCTCTACCACCCCAAACAATTCTGTGATTACTCTTCACATCTGTGAAATCTGACCATCCCTCATGGTGCTGTTCACAACTTTCATCACCTTCTCACAGCCTTAGCAGTTTCATCAATCAGTTTTCTGAAATGACTTCCCATAGTTTCCCCTGCCCTGCTACTTTAGCTCAACCTCAAGCCAGAGCCAAACCATCTACCTGTGACATTAACATACAAAACAAAACCAAGTTTTGTCCTGAGAAGGTGGACAGACCTGTTCCTTTGGCTTTTAAAGCATGGAAGAAATTTCAAGCAAAAAGACTTCTTTTTTCATAATTTTTTTAATGCAAAAGAAAGATAGCAATTCAATGTTGAAGTGGATATCTGTTTCCTAAAATCACACTGTAATAAGTATTTTGTTCAGGTGTTTTATAAGTGGAACTTGTTTGCAGTGGGAGGAAAAAGCAAATTAGTAAGTGTGCATTTGCTGATTTTTGCAGTTTTGTTGTAGATACGTAATTCTCAGATAAAACATTTGAATGAAGTTAATTGTAAAGCTAGGTCACAATTAGATAAAGGTTTTGTTTGGTTTTTTGGGTTTTTTTTAGATTGGGAGTTTTATAGGAGACTTGTCTTCCTATGAGATGACAACAATTATAGTAATTACATTTTAGAAGCAGAGGATTTGTGTATGAGTCTTTAAAGCTCTCTGAGGCTGCAAAAAAAACCAGGAGTAATGAATGTTTGCCAATTTTTAGAGTAATTTATTTGAATTTATCTGCCTGGCTACAAGTATATAGAGGATCTTTGGGTGGGCAAAATTACAACACTTTATGTTCTAGTCTTTTTTCCAAATTTGTCTTTTGGGTAAATTACTGTGGGTAAACTCAGTTCTGCTTCTTTTAGTTGTTTATCACAAGTAGTGCTGTTTATCACAATTAGTTTCTTGCTTGTGAGAACATGATCTATTTTGATGGGAAAGGGGTTACTCCCAGAACAGTGCAGTACGAGGCAAACAATATGTGCAGAAATACAGCAGGGGAGTGAATGTGGACTGGTAGGTTGTGTCTGTGCCAAGCTAAACCCAAGTGCTACAGAAGGATGGCAAAAGAAAAGCTGAGTTTAGTTTTTATTAGGGACATGGGCACTGCTTCCAGCTTTTTCCTTTCCTGTCCTAACCAACCAGTAGTCCCCTAAATGATCAGACGTAAGTGATGGTGCCAGTTCAAATGATTTGGGACCGGGAAAGATGCATACAAATATTTTGTTTTGTTACAGAAGTGGTGGTGTTGCTGCAGTTGTTCAGAGGGCTGGAAAATTAAAAAACCACATGGTCAAAACGTGCAAATCCTTAACTGCTACAGATTTCTGACTGTGAAATCAATGGAGTCTTGCTGGCTTGTTTTTACCTTTCTTATAGTGCAGTAAGAAAATCTCATTTGAAATAGTGTAAAAACACCCCCCAGGAGTGTGATCAAAGACAGTGTTTTGGAGTACAACCAAGCTAGAAAGCAATGTTTCTGTTAGCAAGATGTCTAAACTTTTGTTGAAAGAAAGAGTGTTAGAGAGAAAAAAAAATGAAGTAATTTTGTGGATGATTTTATCTAATAATCTGATGGTGGTCTGGACCATCAGTCACATGCTAAACTTCTGGTGTGATTAGTACTGGATAAATACAAACCAAAATGGCAGTTTCAGATTTAAATATTCTACATTGTTTCGTATTCCATCAGTGTGGCAATAACACAATTCAGCATCACACTACAAAAACACACATGCATCTTTTAATTTTTACTGTAGCCCAACAGACTGCTTATTTCCCTTTGCCTTGTTAGTTGTATGATTTTTGGTTTAAAATGACTTTCCAAAATAGCAGTTGCTCTCTTTTGAAATTCTGTGTTTAAACACAATGATTTATAAGTGTGCTTCCTTATTATTTTTACATTTTTGGATTTGGTAATGTGTTTTAGAAAATGTTACAGGATGAAATTGCTCATATAAGAACAGAGGAAAAAATTGCGCATGCGTGAAAAAATTCATAGCTTTAACTTTTTCTGTTCATGACTTTCTAAATAGTTTCTTCTGTTGGCTGCTGTTTTGCTTTATACTAATGTCATCTCTGTTTCTTGGCATGGGCTTCTGCTCAAGGCTATTGTGAGTATGGCTTTCTATTTACTTAACACTACTTTCAGTTCATAGACATTTATATTGGGTTTATTTTTTTGAAAAGATACTCACCATGTATGCAGTGAGTTTAAAATTAAAAAATTACTTCAAAGCTTCTATTTAAAGAGCTTATCTAAATGTGATTTAACCAGAAAGTGGAACACTGTAAGTTGTATGGTAATTTTTGTGTGTCTGTAATCAGTAAAGATAAGAAACAGAAAAAAGGTGAAATTTCTGCTATACTCCAGTCAGAAATACTCTGCTCCTTCTGGTTTCTATGGGGATGGGAATTTACTTCAACTAATTTGCTACATGTCTTCATGCAAATTGCAATGCAATGTTGGTAGGACAGCTCTTCTTGCAAATTTTGCTGCACTTTCCAATTTCAGGTTAATTTACCAAATCTAATTACGAAAGTACTGAACAAATTAAAACAACTGAAGTAGAATTTTGCCATTTATGGATCTTGCTTTTACTGATCTAGTTCCTGGGGAAATATTAGTAAAGTTCTAAAGCATTCTAATTTCGCTGAAGTCACACAGTTGTGGAGAGAAAGATTGCTACCACAGAGGATCCTTTACAGTTGTGATCTAAAACTCAAGTAAAAAAAGTTGGATTTTGATTAGAGAATTACAAATTACAAAATTACATGTTTTAAAATAATTTTAAAGTTATGCTAAAGCTTCACAATATATTAAAATAAAATGTTTAACTTTTTGTTTTAGTCAATTCTTCTGAAAAAGAAACTTGAAGAACATCTGTAAGTATTTCTGTTTACGTATTTTGTTTGCGATTTGAAATGGTGTGTTTTCCATTCCACCTTTCCTGGTGAGAAAGGCAGACAGTCATTAATCCTGGGTGTGGCAAATATACAGCTGAGAAAAATTAGATAACACAGGAATGTTTGGGAATCTGCTGTTCAGATTCTATTTTTATTTCATAGAAAGCCATTGTGAAAGCGATGAGAGAACCATCATTTTGTGTTGGTTAGAAAACTTTACTTAACATTGTGTAAATCTTTGCTCTGAAGGACTAAGTAATTTTGTTCTAAGGAAAGCATGTTATATATAAACAAAATTAATTTGTTTACTCTTCAGTATATATTATGGCACAAAATGCAAAGAGGTGTTGGCTTTTTGACTGTCTTGCAGATAAAAGTTTCTGTTGCCTTTGGGTTTAACCATTCTTTCTCAGTGTAATCTCAGTTATCAGTATTCATTTTAGGCACCCACTGTACAGTCAAGTCTTAAGTTCTAACTTGAAGAAACTGTTTGCTTTAGCGGTTTTTCACGCACCATCTTATTTAACCAATATTTTCACAGTGACTTTGTCACTTGTCCTAATGCCCTACAGCAAAAAAATCAGTCATGGTCTCAGAAATATATCACTCTCTGAGGATTTTCTGTAGTGCTTAATGGTCATTCAAGCACAGTAATAATATTGGGAAAACAAATATGTGCTTTTGTGGTTTGTAACAGTGAGAAGCTCCATGAAGCTAACAATGAGCTGCAGAAGAAACGAGCTATTATTGAAGATTTGGAACCAAGATGCAATAACAGTTGTGAGTTACTCGTGCAGTCCATTTCTTTTCTTTGTAAAGTATTTCATGTACAAGGTCTTTAATTATAATACCTAAAGGTGGTGTCAGGTAAGCAAAATGGACATTTTCAGTGGAAGTGACATGTATGTTGTTAATTTCTCTGAAAACTGTTGTGGCCAAAAAGATGCATCTAACACTTGGAAATGCACAGGATAACATTCTGGAGGCCACTTTAGGAAGAAATCATAGAATGTTAAGGGGTTGGAATGGACCTTAGAGGTCATCTAATCCCGACCCCCAGTGACAACGACCATAGAAATACCAGGTCACTGTCATAACTGCCACAGAATTCCAGCTGTTCAGAACTGTCCTGCCATCACGAGGTTATTTTTACTTTCAATATATATTCCCTCAGTGTGTTTTCAAAAATATGTTGTATTATATATGTATATCACGTTACTCAGATGGTATCCAGCACCCAGAGCCTAGCTGGGCTTTAGAATCTTACTGCTACGTGTTTTGATGAGAAGTAATGAAGGAGGTAGTTTGGGTTTTTTTTCCCCAGGACTATTTATAATAGAACAAGGTTAAAGATTGTAACCAATGGCAGTTTTTCTGATTTGTGGTAAAATTATTTCATTCATAACGAGGTGGTGGAACAAACAGAAAAAAATAATACAATTTTCTGAGATCCGAAAAGTTGTATAAAAGATGTAGAAGTAATAGTGGATACCAATGCAGGAAAAAGCAGTGCAATGAAATTGTCCTACTGGTATCCATTACTGCTTAAGAAAATGTGAGGGGAAAATTAAATGTAGTATATTCATGTCACATTTCTGATAAACTGTGTCCAGTCTTACAGTTTAGCAGATTTAAGCAAGAGTTGTGCCTGTTAAGAATTATTCCTCTAACAAAGTAGTAAAAATCATATTTGTATTAAATGCCAAGGTATTATAGAAGCTTTTAGTCATTAGTAAACTAGTTTTCTAACTGTATTCAGTAAAGAGATTGATTTATAATTCAATTTCTCTTTATTTTTCATAATTTCGAAAAGCAAAATTTCTGTAAAAAAAAATCTTCTTATAAGATTACATAGGAGTAACATTTGTAGTGTGTTTCTGAGCTGCTCAACAATTAAAATTGTGATATCTGCTAAATCAGGTTCCTCGTGTCAGCTTCTCTTAACAGAAATATATTTTAGCTGTGTTGTAAATGTCTGTTGTAAAACATTAAAATATGAGTAATATAATGATGATATTTTCCAATGTGTCCCTCTCCTGACATAAAGCGCTTAAAATTGAAGAATTACAAGAAGCTTTACGGAAGAAGGAGGAGGAAATGAAGCAAATGGAAGAACGATACAAAAAGTATTTGGAAAAGGCCAAAAGTGTAAGTCGATGTGTTCCATGTTAAAGATCCCACTCTGACAGACTGCATTCCATGTGCACTCTGTGGGAATTAAAATAGAGGAGTTATCTGTATACACACTACTAGCAAATAAAAGAGGAGGAAGGTCCAGTGAGTTCTTTATATCTTCTTATTGTTACAGTACCTAATAATGGATTAATTCTGCAGATTTTACCCCGTTTTTGTGACTCTTTATTGATGCTTTTTCTGAGTAAAGTGATCTTTTTAACTGTACCACCTTCTGAAAGCTGTTACATTCCACTGCTGATGTTCAGCATTCTCTTTCTCTTCACTGTTTAGTATATGCTTCTGTCAAGAAGGTGATTAATATTTAAGTATGATATTGAGGGTGTGGGCACTCTACCAGCTTTGAAATTACATGGCCTTAATCATAGTCACATTTCTTCTCTTAATATACTTTGATATTTTATTTGAGTTTCTCAAAAGCATATCAGTGTCTTTGTTCATCTGACCATGGTGTAGTATCAAGATCTATGCAATGGATACATGTCATTACATTGGAATCTACAAGTAGGTTTCTATTTTGGCAAAATTTTATCATGTCTGCCTTTACTTCTGTGTAGTTTCCTGAATGACTTCTGGTGAGATGTTTCAGAAGTCTTCAGGAAATCTAAACAAATTTTTTTTTCACTTTTAACTTTTTGTAATCTTTTTTCCTTTTCTTTCTTTCTTTTTTTTTTCTATTTTCATTTGTTGTTGTTATTATTGTTGGTGTCTGGTGGGGTTTTTTTTGTGAAGATCAGTACAGTCATTGTACTCTTCCTCTATACAAAGTGCATCCAGGTCTAACATGTATTTTCTTAGAAAAATGGTATATTTTTTCTCAGAACTGTAGAATCATTAAGGTTGGAAAAGACCTCCAAGATCATAGAGTCCATGCTTCAACTCATCACCACCTAGCCATGGCACTAAGTGCCATGTCCATTTTTTTGTTGAACACTTCCAGGGATGGTGACTCCACCACCTCCCTGGGCAGGCTGTTCCAATGTTTAATAACTCTTTCCGTGAAGAAGTCCCACAGATGCTCTAGTGTGTCATGGTTAATGAGAGAAGGAGATGTGTTTTAAGTCGCTTTTTTTGTTTCTTAACCTGACTTAAAAGGTCCTTAATCCTTAACAAGATTGCTTTTTCATGATTTAATGAAAGACCAACTGGTTTTCTTTTACAGGTCATCCGCACATTAGATCCTAAACAGAACCAGGGTGCTGCTCCTGAGATTCAGGCACTGAAAAATCAGTTGCAGGAGCGGGACAGAATGTTTCATTCCCTGGAGGTAGTAATCCTTGTGTTTTGTGGTAGATGATCCTTGTTTTTGTATTTAAGACTAACACTTTTATTATACCTTGGTTTTAAATCTGTGGTTTTTTTATGTTTTGCAGAAAGAATATGAGAAAACAAAAAGTCAAAGAGAAATGGAGGAAAAATTTATCGTTAGTGCCTGGTACAATATGGTAAGAATCTCCCAAACTTCTTATTTGGGGAAAAAAAAAAGAAAGGAAAGAAGCTATTAATATTAATTGTTTCTGGCTTGTTCATAACAGTATTCATTAATTGACAGTAATTTTGGTTGGAGAGCGTTTTCCAACACACAAACATGGAAACAAATAATTTTTAGTAATTTTAAGCTATCACTATATAAGACTATGCTCCTATGATAATGTTGGGGTAAATTAATTTTCAAGTTTTAAATCAGAAATGGTTCGGATCACTGTTCTGTAATCCCAGACCTTCAGTTACACAGAATTACAGTGCTCAAATTTACTTTTTTCTTTTGAGTCTCCACTTTCCAGTCTTCCTTTTTTTTTTTTTTTTAATGAAGGCACACAATCAAAGCAGTTCAGTTTACTTGCTGCAGTAAGTGCTCTGAGAAATGACCCCTTTAACTTCATAGCAAGTTTAGCCACATACAGATGCTGAGGACAGCAGCAAGACCCTCTCCTAAATTATTCAAATGGTAAATTTGAATAGAAGAGGTAACCTGTGCAGCCATACAGCTTTTGCTAGGCTTGTCTGCTGGGAGAGTTGTCACCTTCATCAAATGTGTTCAAGACTTCCTTTTGGCATCCTGGTTGCATTGAAACTGCTTTTTATATAGAAAGACTCCTTGACCTGTGCAACTTTCACGTTTCGTTCTGCTCCACCATAAAATTCAAATTCCTCCTCTCTGTATTCCCTTGGAAGAGTTTCCTTCTTGCTGTTCTGCATCTTTATGTCCATGAATAGCAAGCCCAAAAGCAGAGTGCTTGAATTGTTTACATACTGAAGGCATATTCAGGTGACCAGTGTCCTTGACCACTTTTATAACCTCAGTCCCTCCGACAAGTAGAAGACAAGCCTGAGCTAAGACCTGCAGTTCAGTGACCTGATGATCTCTGATAGCTTTTTTTTGTGTCAAATCTTTAATTAGCCTCTGCTTTTATACACAGCTGCACAAACCATCACAGCCTTCCTCATTTCCTCCTTGCATTTACGCCTCATGAAAACATACTATCTCTCGAAATGTGCTCCTGACATAGGAGCTGGTGTTTTCACAGGGGATGACGATACCTAAACTTTTCTAGGAAAAAGTACTTTTCTAGCTCAACATGCTGAAACGAACCGGGGTGGGGTTGGGGAGGGGAACCCTTTTGAAGAGAATTGTCTGGTTACCACGAGTTTATGTGGAGAAACATGTACTGAGATCTTAGATAATTGCTCTAAACCTGGACAGTGATTGGGGTGGGGAGGGGCAAGATCTCCACACTAAGTGTTAGGGGAGAATATCTTACCTTTATCCTTGACAATGGGGTGCTTTGTGCATGGAATTCAAGGTGTTCAGAGTTGGTGAAGAAGGAGGTAATAAACAAAATGCAAATAATTAAAGTCGTTCAGTGTTATGTGTTGGTGTTCACTGAGAAGTTTCTCTTTGTCCATAGGGGATGACTCTGCATAAAAAAGCAGCAGAAGATAGACTGGCTAGTACAGGCTCAGGACAGTCCTTCCTGGCTAGACAAAGGCAAGCCACGAGCACAAGGAGATCTTACCCTGGTCATGTTCAGCCAGCAACAGCAAGGTAGAGAAGCCTTGCCCTTAGAAAGAAAACTGCCCTGTGATCCAGGCCACTTCTGTTGCAAGTGACAACATTCAAGGAAAATAAACCAGCAGCCTTTCTCTTTCTCCCTTGTTACTGCTATTATTTTACAGTTCAGGAAAGGGTTTTATTATGGTTTCTCATTGTTCTGTAATGCCCTTTGCTTTTATTTTTGAAGTCCATCTCTCTCTCTCTTTCTCTCTGCATTTTTTGAATGTGCCAAAATTTTAAAACCATCTAGAGGAGTGCTGTATAATAACAGTCTTATTTGTATGAAGCCTGGTCTCTTATGAAAAGCCTCATGTGGACCATGTAACAATGTAAATTTCTTGTCACTGTTGGTACTTTTGTGCCATAAGGGTTGTTATGCTTTATATAAGACTGTTCTTGTTCAAAGGGAATTAGGCTTTTTTTTTCATGTGCTAACCTGTTGCTTCAGAAAAATGCTGAAATCTCATTACAGAAATGCAAAATTAGAATATAATATTCTGTGAAATATATTTTCTGCTAAAAACCTTACCAATGCAAAAAAGAATGATTTTTTTTTTTTTTTTTAATCTCCTACATGCAAAGTTTGCTCTTATTCTTGGCATTTGATAGGGAAGCAGGATGTTTTTTTTCAGGTTTTTCTTTATCAACTGGTGTTACCTCTTTTGCTCGTAGAGATGAATATTTTCAAATGGTTTGTTCCACTCTTCTTGGTCAAGTGTACGCTTAAAAACATTCTAAAAAAAGTGGAGAAATATTCAGAATGCTCTAATATGCTACTGCATCATCCATTTTAAAAGGGCATTTGTTTTAAATTTTATAGTTATGGGTGAGCAATACACAATGAATCAAGGCCCCGATTAATATTGATAATGTATTCCAGTTGTCATGCCCTACTAAAAGACTTGCTTTTAATATATTGATTCTGGGGATAATTGTATCAGTTGCCTTACCAATGGTACCAGTGCCTTCAGGTGAGTTTGTTGCTGACTGTTGGAAACTGGCTGTGATTTGTTGTACTGCCTTTTTAGTAGTGTGTAGCTCCTTAACTGTTGGAGTACCTTCATGTTCATCAGTGGGGTGGAGGGAGGTTCCCCCTGTTTAGGTTCTGTTCCTACAGATCTGTGCTTTTCCCCCTGACTAATTCTCTGCATTCCCTATCATATTTGCTGAAGAATTTTTGGGCACAGAGAACCTGAATATTGATTGAAACTTCCACATACATACATCTCGTTGTAATTTAGTTTTAAACAGTTATTATTTAGAGACAGTTTGGACCCTGATGCACATGCAGTTGGCTTATAAATTTATTCTTTTACCTTATTTTAATGCCCTCCCAAGTGAAGACTTTTTGTTATAAATCCCTATAGTAGTAGCATTTATTAATCATCTGAAAGTCTATGTTAATTCACAAGTTGGGTAGAATGAGCAAAGGATAATTAAAACAAGCACACCTAGATTAAAGGTTAATAAACAGGTGAATGATATTTGTAGGTACTACTGTTTTATTCTCAAGTACATGATCTGTTTTACTCTAGACTAATAAATGCATCCAGTATGTGTCTGAAATTAGTTTTCAGTTCTGGTTATCCACCCCAGCCCCCGAAAACAGATGCTGAACTCTATTAATTGCATGTAGCTTTGTCTTCTACTCCTCACATTTGGAAAACTTTGGTTTTCCAGAAGTTCTTTTTACTTGTTCAGGGTATGACAGGTCTGGGCTGTGCTTGCAAAGATTAGATAAGACATTGCAAGTTTGTTGTGTGCAGAAAGGTAACAACGTGGAGGAAGCTGAGGACAGTTTCTGAAGCTAGTGAGGTGATACTCGTTTTGCTGGCTCTCACTGAGATATGGAATGCTGTGTGTATTGTCTGGCAAGATGACTACAGTTTGTGTGGGACATCTTGTTGTGCAACTTGTTCCAGTAACCTGAAGAACTGTTTACCGCGTGTTGTGTGTGAACAGGAGTAAGTAAGATCAGTCCTCCGAGGGAATTTGATGTTCTTGTTTGAGATTACAGCATTTTGTATCAGAGAAAGAACCTAAGAATACCGAAAACTCCCTTTTTATTTTAATCTGTCTGGCTTTTTCTGTTACTAAACTGCCAAAGGCTATTTGTGAAAGCAAGGAATGTGGCCTTAACGGGAAGCTTTATCTCTTAAGTTTGCTAATAATTTAATTCCCTATTGCTGTTAATCAGGTGCAGGTCTAAAATAACTAGAACCAAGGTCTGCACACTAATTGCTTTTATTTTGTTAGCATTTGTTTTACCATTTTGCCTCCAAAGTTTTGGTGATTAGTTAGGAGATGAACAAATGCTGGTTAGAAGCCTTGTCTTTTGCATTTACTTTCCAGTCTCTCATGGCCTCTTTTGCTTCTTGGTGGTTGTTGGCTTTTCTCTTCTGCTTTGTGATTCTGTCTTTCCTTTTCCTTTAAGATAAGACACGGAAGTGTTTTCTGTAGTTCCCTTCAAGAATATATAGCATCATTATGTAGCATCAAAGAGCAAAACAAGACTAGTATTGGATCTGAGCTTTCCTGTTGCTCACAGTGATCGTTGGGCAAGTGAACAATCATTATGTCTTTTAAGAGTTTACAGACCTGCAGAAATCATGGTATTTCCCAGAATTTTTGTTGAATATAGAAACCTAAAAATGTACTGTACTCTTACGGAAATATATTTGGTTGCTGTACAGTTCCAGTAAGTCATTTGTTCTGCCTGAAGGAATTTAGTTCCTTATTCTTTAGCATTTTAACTCTATTATTTAGTGCATACATCCACTGTTAATCTTTGGGTGTGGATGAATGCAAGTGGTGAACATCATTAAACCTCCTCTTCTCATAAGAACAGCTTCTTCATTCAAAGGGTTCAGCTTCATCGTTTTCCTTGCTTGTTATGTAGCTTTGGAAGTAGTGTGGTATTAGGAAAAAGAAAGAGCTCAGAGTGTAACTCCAGGGAATAAACACATATATAGGTGAGCCACCAGTGAATGTTCTTTATTTGTCTTATCTTCAGTAATAAAAGAATATAAGCAATAAACCCAATCTATAAAACAGAATTCTCTCAGTACGTTGGATAGCTCTTAAGAAGTTTTTAGGAATACTTTTTTCCTGAGGCAATGTTTACATCAAAATTGCAATGGTAATTATTAAAGCAATGCTATATCCTGTCCTGATACACTACAGAAAAAAACCCAGCTACAATTGAGCTTGAAGAGAAAGGGTTCTCCAGGGCAGTGATGAAATGGCTGAAGAGTTCATGAGAGGACTTTGCTGAGCACTGTGCTGAGAGTCTGCCCAGAATAATCTTTCTGACAGATTTTAATTAATGCCAGTAAAAGTTAACAGATAAATGGATGAATATTTTCACTGTTCAGAGTTTCTGACCCTAAAGGATGTCTGTGCAGTCCAGTTTGTATACTTCTGTGGGGAGTTAAGTTGTCAGCGTATCTGATGAGACATTACAGAAAAAAAAATATTCGAGTTCCCTTTCTTGATAGCAACACATAGCCACTTGAATCACAACATGTATTTTCTAAGTGCTGTGAAAACTGAAGTAATCTAATTTAAAGGTTGTGTGTTCCACCCACAGTGCAAAGGAAAACAAAATTGCAAATGTGTTATAGCCACAAGATGCCTTTCATTCTGTCCTGCTCCAGTGGCACCTGAATTAGCAGTAACGCTTCTGCAAGTTCCCTGTGGCTTTCTGTCCTGTAAGGGGCACTGGCAATTTTATATTCATTGTGTATGAAAGAGTTAACAGTGAATACTCCTATTGCTGCTTTATGGTGATCTTAAACAGTAAGTGGTATGTGCAAGCTGTCAAGAAAATGTGAAAGGATTTGGCAGTTTTAAAGTCCTTGGTATTTTGGCACATGCAGGTAGCTTTTGCTTTTCCTCTGTCCTCTAGTATATTAGCCTATATGCTTAAAAATGTGTAATCATCCTTTCATGGATGATTTTTAGGGGTTTAATTGTCCTGATGTTGTTGACTTTTTTTGTAGATTTGGTAGTTGGAAAACGTTTTGATGTCACCATTTGGTTTCCTCCTTGTTAGTGATTTGGAGGAAGACTGTTCTGAATGTGACTAACTTTTCTTTTTATTATGAAGCAAAACAGTATCTGAATTTTGCTTATTGCATAGGGATTTTTTTGTTGTTGTTGTTCTTGACCAACATTTTGACTTTTTGCAAGGATTGATGAGGGAGGTATTTTTGCACTCGAAGTCAGCTGTGCAGTACTGACTTCTTATGGGTTTTTGCACACGCGTTTTAGGTAGAATGTGGACTCTGTGTTTTGCATTAATACTGTGTGATAAACTTCAATATCTCCAAACCAATTTTAGCAAATTTTGCAGGAGTTTTCCTCAACTGGTGTTGCATAAATAAATAGCTAAAAAACTTTACTATGTCGGAATATACTTTCAAGTCATGGGGTTTTTTTGGAGCAGCCGTCAGATTCTAGGTAGGATCACAGCCATGCCTCCAGTTTGTCACTTTCAAGGAATCAAGAAAATATCCTGGTATGAATGATGTGCATTGCCTTACTCCTGTGATCTTTCTTCCCTTTGGAAGTCTGGAAAAGTAGCAGAAGCTTGTCAGTGACACTGCAGGCTATTACTGAAAATAAGGTGTGATTTTTTTTTCAGTTTGAAAATGGAGGAGACAGATGCAAGCAACTGTTCAGTACAAAAGTGGGAAGAGCAGTGTATCTTTCACCATTTTGCTTTTTGATGTCAATTTCAGAACTAATGAGAAAGAACCTTTGCTTTTTGAACTAGGTTGTTTTGGTTTGGTTTGATTTTTTTTAATTAATTTTTAATTTTAACTGATTAAGTATTAGAGGCTTTACCTGTGTGAATAGGGTAGAAACTGTCATTGCCAGCCACAGCAACCTCAGACTTCTTGCATATCTGGTACAGTGCAACCCTGGAAATTCTGACTCTGCTGCCAGCTCCATTGTACCATTTGGAATTGTGGAGGACTTAGCTAGCTTTGTCCTCTGTTTTTGCTTGACTTCATTTTTGTGGATTCATTAAAATATTGAGACATAAAGTCCATTTTTAAAATGTATCAGCTCACTGAATTAGGTAATGAATGAGTGTTGATTGAGAGAGGCTTTAGAAAACTTGACAAATCCCATGGGGCAGCGATGTAGCCAAGCCAGTTTTCCAGACAAATTGTCCTGGTGTCAGATTATAGTCAGTGGATCAGTAGGAACTCATGCCAACTGCTATAGCTGAAGTCCTCATCTATAGTTGCTAGGGGATGGTGTTGGTGTCAGCTTCAGTGAGGCCCAGATTGTAACCTTCACCTTTGGGCCTTGCCAAGGTAGTAGTGAAGGACTGTCTTGGAAGTACAGCTCTGTGTTAGTTGGCTCTGGTGGCAAATCGGGAATTTCCTCCGCTGCTGTTTGCTGAGTGTGTAAAGTCCTTTGGAAAATTTAAATATCCTTCAGTCCCCCTTGCACTGTGTGTCAGTTCCAGACTGGAAGCAGATTCCATCTGTCAGATCAGAATTTCTTGCTGCTGTCCTGTTGACTTGGATCTCAGAGACTGATCTATACAACATGAAAAGTACTGTTAGTAGAGGGAAACCCAGGACAACTGGGAAGCCTTTCCTTTCTGGTGGTGACTTTATTCATTGCTTTGCATTAGAGGGGCCCCTTTACCATGGGCTGAAATTAGAACAGCGTATTTCAGAAGGAGGAAGGTGATTGTTTGTTACAAAAGCTGTCGTTTGTCAGCACTTTGAGGAATTATTACCCTACCGTAGCATGGCACAAACCAGAAACACTGCAAAAGCAAAGGTTTTCCCAGCTAAAGAACAGCTTGTTATCCAAATAGAACTTGAATTCCCAACGATTATACCTGCCTTAAAGGCCAGTTGTTCCCTTGCCCTGCTCGTGTTGTTAGACTGATCACGAAAATGAGCAGAATTTTAAGAGGAAAATGCCAAATAATATAATATTTATGGGGCTATAAAATAGTTGTAATGAGACCATCAGGTTTTTTTATTTGGATTTGAATATAACATCAATTATGTAATTTAAAATTTTGTAAAGCAAGAGGTTATTGTTTTCAGTCACCAAAGGTTAGCAAGCCAGAGAGTAAACTTATTTCCTGGAGCCATTGGTGGTTTTGAGATTTTAAAGCTTTTATTTAGCAGTATCGCTAAATTTTTGGAATAGTTAATAAGCATTACAGTATAAAGCCACAATTTTTAAAATTTTATAGTCTTCTTTCTATTCTCTCTGTCATTCCTCCATAGACACACATCATCTGCTGCGTAAACTCTCTCTTTCTGAAGATGGTGGAGATGCAGTGACAGGTTATGCTCACATTCTGCATCTCTGTCCTCTGAACTGCTGCTACCTCAACAGGTAGCTCTAAAACAGAGAGAAAGAAGTTGACAGCCAACTCTTTTTTTAAGAACAAGATTAGAATTTCAAGTCTAGGAAAGGGCACTGACAGATGACTTTTTTACATCCTTGAAAGATAATACAGTGTCCTGAGTTTACAAGACCTCTCAAAAGTACTTTTGACTCAAAGAGAAACCTCCAGTGTCACTTCTGTTTATGTGCAACAGGACACTTGAAGTGCTACTAAATAGTAACTCTGAACTAATAATAGCCAGGTGAGACTAAAGGAGTAGATTATATTCATTTATGCACAATAGAATAGGTACCTGCTTATGTAGCTTAAACTTATAATTTTTTATAGAATAACTACAGTGATCTTCATATTATTAGTCCTGAACTCTGTAACTTTATGCACCCAAGCAGTGCCAAGCAAGCTTAACAGACAGCGATTGCTCAAAATACACCCTCAAGGTCTGCTTTGAATGTGTTAAATTTTTTATTCCATTTGATACATGTTTCTATGTTTCTGTTTGGTTTTCAGCTATAGTTAGTATTCTGGGTGGATGAAAGAGAAGGGAAAAAAGAGCTGCAGGACTTGTAGCAGCTTTGTCATAAATATTCTTTCCTCTCTATTTAACCTGGGCTTTCCCATCACAAGAAGCGTTCTTAGAATCGTTTTTTGACCAGTGCAATACAAGGGAGAAGGAACTGAGGAGCGGAACGGGCCCTGATTTCAGTCTGGTGAAGCCAATTTGGTCTTTGCAATGTGAAGACCCGAATGCCCATTTAGTGCTGTGCCAGTGCTGTGCAGGGACATCTGTGCCCTGGGGAAGCTGAAAGCACCACGGCTGTGTCAGTAAAGCGCTCCATTCTGGTCACACTGGCCAAGAAAGAGGGTGCATCAGTAAGGGATGGAGAAATAAATCAGCCTCTCCAGTCAGCTTCCGAACTGAGATTCACTTCTGCAGCGTTGTGATGTGCTCTTTCGGCTGCTCAGTGGCTCCTCCTCAGCTTACTGTAACGAGAGCACATATCATTTTCTTGCAATTCAAACCTGTATTTGCCTGCAGTAAACAGAACTTGCCAGGGCAGCACAGCAGTGAATGCTGAGTTGTAGCCTCATGCACTGGATGAGCTTTGATGACACATAAATGCCCAAAGTCTTTGGTGGTGCTCAGAGCTGGAAGACTCAGGCAGTCACTGTGACCCTGACTGTCTTTTCGTACGTAATCACATGCAGTATTGGACAGGCACCTTTCACTCTATATTGCTTTGGTTCTTTACCTGTTGTACTCACAGACAGCAGGAATGCCTGAGACTTTCTCATCGCTGTATAAACCTAGTTTCCATAGCTGTATTAGCTGAGAATGGTGCCCTGAAGGACTTCACTCAGAAGTTTTTAAATTTGTTTGAATTACAGCTAAATTTAGATAGTGCTCAAGGCTGTTTTGTTACTTTTTCCAGTTATTGGCCTGTAACCTTCCTGTTAAATTTGAAGAGTTGCTCTGGCAAAAATGTTTTCCCATGAATTTATTACCAGTCTTGAGACAGCCTTACTAAACTGCTCTGAAAAATACCTGTTCTATTCTCTGTTGTTTTTTTTTTTCAACAGTAATATGTTATCTGCTTTTTAACTTTCTTCTTTATTCTTTTATTTGCAGTGATGTGGTTGCATGACCTGCAGCATTATTATAACAGGGACTGTTCAGTGCATGACTTGCTTTTCTGTCCAGACTGCATAACCAAAACTTAACCAGTTCTACACTTAAGACTCATGGCCATCCGATTTCAAAGGGGGATCTACTTGCAGAGAAGCTTACCATCCTGGGGAGTGGCTTTCCCATTTCCCACTTCCATTTACTCTTTCTCTTCACAAAAGGTCTCCTATGAGGCTAGAAGAGAGGAAATCCAGTATTCACAACTCAACAAGAGGCATTCTGCAAACTGACAGAGCACTGTCAGCTCTCCATCTTATTTCCGCCTGTCCACTTTATTTAATTCTGATTAACAGTATTAACACACAGACTTCCTGCAACATTTTCATATACTGAACTATAAAAAAAATCTAGTCTTAATGAGTTCCTAAAAAGGCCTTTTGGTTACTGTTAAAATTTCAAAGCACCTGCACCCTTAAAGGATCCACTTTGAATCTCTAAATAAATAAAGTAAAGCGAAGGAGGTGTTTTACCAGGAGAAATGACTAATGAATTGCTGCTTGGCGATCCCATCTTAGAAAACCAAGCAAGTTTCATCTGATAATCTCCGAGCCAGTCAAACTACCGGGTGGTATTTTGTTCACAGGCACTGCCTGCTTCCTTAATATGTATATACACAGTAGTTTGTGGCTGTTGTATTTTTCTCTCTACATTGAGCTGTATTGTTCGTTTATTTCAGAAACCTTTTTTTTTTCCAATCTGTGTTAAACAATTGTTAAAACAATCTGAGGAAAGAACATGAATGGAGATAAGTATGAAAGTCATCTACACTTTCATATTACGCAGACTGTCCTTGCCAGTTTATAATTTGGGTCATTTATCTTTCACCTGTACTGGTTTTTTTCCTTTCCTTTTTTCTTTCCCCTATCACAGTCTTAGCTATTTAATTTCCAATTGCACTAGCTTGGCTTTTCTTTGTATTATGAAGTTTAGCTATTAAGATTTGCCATATGTAGACAGTGTAACTCAAAATGCTTTGTACTGCCTATATTAATTTAAAAAGCTGCTTATTTAATATTCTTAAAGATCTGCACATTTGTACTACTGTATCTTTGTTTTGTATTGGACATCCAGTACTGGCAAGATTCAGAAGACGAGGGAGTGCTGTAGTGTTGTAAGTTAAGAGGTTTATTGTATAGAAGTTAGTACATAACAAACAGGGAAAGGGGCTTTCAAGCCGTAGGACTTGCTGGAAAATATGAAAAGAGTCTGAATGCTGAGAACCTTAAGTCCAGTTCTAGGGAAACCCCATTCTTGTTCACCTGGATCTTAATCTGCAGAAGCATAAGCGTGGTTTGTACTCTGCTGCCTCCTGGAATGGTTTGGTTATTTAGGCAGTAGCAGAACCACCAGCCCTGTTTTCCAGGCTGGAGAAGTGTTGTGTCCACTCATCTCTGCCGACCCTTCTGGTCACAGGCTCAGTGCCTGCCCCATCCCTGGCCTGTCAAACAGGGCTCTGGGCACCTGCCTGTGCTCAGTCCTCAGGGATCCCGATCCCACAGTGTCGGTGGCCTCGTGCAGGATGATGTGGAGGAAGGACAGACTGTGTGCCCCCCTCCCAGAGGGGGTGTGGCCGGTGCTGCCTGGCAAAGGGAAGGAAGGGCAGGTAGGAGTGGGCTCTAAGCAGACCAGGCAGGACAGCGAAGGATAAGCATTAAGATCCCAGTGAGAACTGTGTGGTGTTTCCCCTTCTGAACACCACACCCGACAGGGGAGCCTGAGGCTACCAGGTGCTCTGGCTGGCAGCTGTCCGTAAAGACTTCAGATGGGGATATGTCCTTCTTGGTCCACCAGGGCCAGGGACAGTGAAGTCTGACGTGACCTGCAGCCAGGATCTGGGGTTTGGTGATAACGAGTCAGCTACTCCTGCAGCAGAGGCAGCAGCACTTCATCAGGCTGAGTCAGCAGAGTTGTGTCTTTCCAGGTCCTAGCCACTGATCCCTTGTTATGTGTCAGGGCAAGCATTACTAGTAAAACTTCTTTTAGTTGGGTGTTTAAGGCATGGTATGTTTTTCATTTGCAAGTGCTGCTCCGGCTGGGACCACACCCTGCCCCAAGCCAGGCTGGGTGCAGGATCCCTGAAATCAGGGCTCTGTGCTGGGCGGGAGGGGATGCTTTTTTTGTGCACCCGCCCGCACAGGTGTGGAGTCCCAGTGTGAAGCCGGGCAGCACCTCATTTCTCCAAGTGGTCTGTGCAGATTAGAGACTAAATATCAGTTGTTCTTGAGCCTTGATGACATTTGTATGTAAGTGTGTTTAGCTTGACAAAAGTTGTTTGAGTTTACTAATGCAACAGAGAGATGTCAGGTGAAGCCAAGTAACTTCCAGCAAGGAGCTGGCTTCTTTAACTAGATTAGCCAGGCATCTCTGTCATGAAGTGGTTGCAAGCTCTCAACTCAGAGGTGATCTCCAGCATGTCTCTGATTACTAACTTCATTTGTGCTGCATAGAAAACTCTCTTACCTTCTTAATAGCGGCTTGTTTGACAGTCCTGAATTAAATGTTGACCAATTATCAAAGTAACTGTTTGTGAAGTTGCCAGTGATATATTTTCTGTAAAAAATGGATTCGTAGAGTGTCAAAACATTAATTTCCCATTTGAGTTCATCAACAAATTGTGTAACTACCAGATTGTCATGGTAGCAGTATCAATATACATACCTGTATATAGACAAAAAAATACTCAGTAATGATAATTGGAATCAAAAGGTTTAATATTTTTTCCCAGTCAAATACACTAATGCTTCAAAGGTGATAGAAGAGTGTACAGTTGTTAAACAAGTTGTAAATAAACGCTTATATAAAACATAAATGCTTATTTTTCCTTCATTTGGTACTTGGTTGTAAACTGAGACCAGAGCACAGTTTGTGTTAGAGGTTACTGGTTTGAGCATAAAGTGCTGTTCTGCTGCGTGAGATGACACCAGCTGGTGATTAAGAGGGACCCCAGTGGAGTGGGAATAACATGGATAAAACAAACCTTGCCCTAAATGCACTTAGGAGAAGGTACTACAGAACAGCCTGGGGAAAAAAAGTGGAAGTTTTTTACAAAGCACAGCCATTCCTGGGCAGCTTTGGTGTCAGCTCGTCTGAGTCTTACACAGAGAAGTGGCACCGTGGAAATGCATTTCCTGGGCCTCTGCAGAGAAGGTGAGGGGAAGGTGGGCAGCAAAAGTACCTCAGAAACAACAAACCTCCAGGCTTTTGCTGGGAAGCATCCCTCCCACCTGGCTGCTGAGGTGCACGGCGTGGTTTGCCTCTCAAAGGGCCAAAGCCAAACGACCAAAATAAGACAATTTTCCTGTACCAATGGAAGCTTCACAACAGACGCAGCTAAAGGTGTGTGGGGGAAAAGACACTGCTGGTGTGGACAGGAACAACTGTCCTTGCTTCCTGCACTGATGAGCAGCTCTGGCTCCTGGGGGAGGAGGAGGTGGTGGCCTCAGACACGGGCAAACATCGATCTTTGTGAAAGAAAAGGCAACAGCCAGCAAGAGATACTGAGCCCACACTTCGCCAGTGCTGTGGTGCTGGGGTGGAGAAAGTTGTGCAAAGGCCCTGACAGAGCCATTCGGGGACTGCTCTGCAGAAGGAAGAGGAGAGCAGAAGCAGGAGGGTGCCCTGGTGGCAGCACAGCCCTGGGCTACACTGTGGCTGTAGCAGTAACGGGAGCAGAGCTGAGGGCGGGCCCAGGTGATAGCTGGGAAAGGCAGGAGAGCCCCAGAGCTGGTGGCCAGCTTCTCCCAGGCCCCAGGGATGGTGGAGGCAGAAAGCTGCCACAGCCTCACTTCTGCCTGCCAGGGATTCACTCTGGTCCTCTGCCCTCCTCAGTCCCACCCCAGTCACTCCTCTTCATCTTGGGAATGACTACAGTGTTTCCTTTCTCTGACCACTCCCTCTGCCTGTCCTGTTGTTTCCCACACTGTCAGTCTCTCCGAACTTTTGCTGTACATTTTCCCCTCCCAGCTCCCCCACCCCACAGTGTGCCCAGGCCCACATCAGCATCCCTTGTTCTGGCCTCCCCTCCCCATCAGCTCCCCCGAGGCCAGGACTGCCTCCACACGGTGAGGGGGGAACTGAAGCCCACCCACTTTGCTCTACCCCCACCAGCTGCTGGCCCAGCAGGGAGGATGCAGCAGTGCAGGTCATCTTCCAGCGGTACCTCCTGCACACCCCACGGCTGCAGGGCCCCGCTTTTACACCACATCCTAAGTGTGCTTACCCTTGTGCCGTGTTAGATATTGCAGGAGGCAAAGCCGCGGCTGTGTTAAAGGTGGCGTGGTGGAAGCATATTCCAGAAGCTGCACAGTTCCCCCCCACCGTTCTCCTTTTCCATTTTTATCCACAAATAACTTTAGAGCACCTATGCTGCACGTGTAAGTATCTGCAAATAAATCTTGGTGCACATCAGCCTGTCTCAAGCCCCGTCATGCAAAAAGCAGAGGACAGCACGTCTGTACCCACCCAGGGTGTTTTGGAAGGCAGGAGCCAGCAGCACGCTTGGAGGAAGGGCTGTACAAGAGTGGCTGCAAGGACTGCAGGGCTGCCAAGGAGGGAGGGCACGGTCACTCTGCCTCCAGCACAGGACACAGCGCCACAGAGGGGAGTTCCACCAGCGCTAGGCATCCATACTTTGCTCCTGTTCCTTGGGAGCTGAAATGAAACAACAGCCTCGAAACAGCAAAGTGTCCTTTTGGCAAAGCAGGCAGACCAGAAGGGAAGGTCAGTCATGCCAGGGAAAAGATTCAGTGATGTAACTGGAAAACTCTTCGCATACTGAATGTACCCACTGCTTTGCTGGTCTAGGCCTTTGAGAGCCCCAGGAGCCAGTGGTGCCTGCTGGGCCTTCTGGCTGGTGGAGTGGAATTGCCTTTACGTCTCAAACCTGCAGGTGTGCACACATACGGATGTTTGGTTCCTGAGCCAAGCTACGCTGTCCACGAGATTAGCAGGGAGCACAACTCCGTGCCAAGAAAGGAGGTCTTACAAACCCACCCTGAGCCAAGGGCAGAGAATGGAACCTCTCGCTTCCCTGAACACAACCAGCCCCCCCACCCTCTCCCAGGAAACTGATGAAGGCAGTCACCACAACCCTAAGTAAAACGTGAGGTGGATGCAAGCTACAATGCATTTTCACTGTTTATCACACCACTGTGTGTGATGTCTTTCTTTGGCTTTGACCCGAACACGAAAGAAAAAAAAAAAAGCCCAGACCTCTGATTAAAACGGACCACAAGTAAAAAAAAAAGGACCATAGCAATATTTCAAGCAGCTTTTCAGACTTGTTGCCACCTTCAACACCCTTGTTCCAATCCCTCCAACTGTTACAAAGTATTGGAATGACTGTATGCCCTTCTGCCTGCCCCCTCCCCCAGAAAAGGCTCTTTGGCAGTCCTTACCAGCTGGGGGCTGGCACTGGAGGGAAGGCTGGCACGGGCTCGGCTGACAGCACCGCTCTGGTGTCCCTCCAGTAGCCGGGGGTGCCCTGGGGGTGCCTCTGCCCGCTCTGCACAGGCACAACACACACCCCTGTGAGCAGCTCCGAGGTGCTGCACATCCTGCCCCCTCCCCGTGGCTCGTCAGTAACACCGCCCGTGCCCGGAGTTCCTGCTCCCTAACGAACCTCTGTTTTCTAGCTCATAGCCCGGGAAACCCATTTTTGGCTGAATCACAGCGGAGTGGAACAATACTATTGTTACTGGACTTTTGAGGAAAATTACTGACCTGGACTGAGGGCAGGATGGAAATTGATGGATGACTAAAGCCAAGCATCTTGTAACCCAATGAACGGGAATCCCACGTGAGGCCCTTTGAACTCTCGTGGCCACAACGGCTGTGCCAGCACCTCTCCTGGAGCAGGACGTCTCTCTGAGCTCATCAGCCCACAGGTCTGAGAACTCAGAGACTGCCACTGAAAACTGAGGCTGGTTCCACCCTCTCCAAGGCTCAACCCTTTGCCCACTGAGAAATGCAAAGGCATCCAATGGTATTTCACTGAACTCGGGGGAATTTTTAACAGGTACCTTTGTGTACACGCACACACACACACATGCAGACTACACATCTGTGTCTGTGAATCCACTGCAGTCCTCTACAGCAGTGTTGCCATTTCAGATTTATAATTAAGCTTCTCTTTTGCTTCTAGTCAACCTTACTGAATCATTCTGCAAGTGTTAAATCATTCTCCACAGGGGTCCATTGTCCATCCTTACCCTTTTGCATCCCCAGCCTCTCTGTACACCATTCCAGACTGACTCTAGCCAAAATCTCCTTTGTGTTTCCATCTTTGTAGTAACAGAGCGAATGTGGCCACAGAACTTTTCGGGATCAAAACTGCTTCTGCTGGTACCTTTGCCCGTGATTCTTTAAGTGACCTCAACCACGCCTTGACACTACAGGTTTCACCGCACTCCAAGAGCTGTGCAAATGCCGAGTACTAAGGCTCCCTTTTCCGGAAGGGTGGTGTCCATGTCCTGTATTGTTTGGGGGTTGTTTTTTCTGCCCCCTCACATGGAAGAATAACCCAAAGCTCACTCTGAGAATGAAAAACACCTCCCTGCAAATAGGAACTGGCAGACTACTCAAATAAATACCTTCCCAGTAGCCATTTCATGTAATTTTTAAACCTAAAAACCACTCAAAGTCTCCACCCCCCAACAACTGAAGATTTGTAGGAGCTGATGTGATGCCCAAGGACACCCTTGAACCCAAGCCAGCACACATTCAGCCCCTAAGCAAGCACGGATAGGACTGCTTTGCATCCCCTTCAAAGCAAGCAGGGTGGACTCTGGACGCAATCCGAGTATCCTCTGGAGACCAGCCACACACCAATCCAAAATAACACCACGCTGACAAGAGCCTGTTTTAAATGCATCTTGGCCTGTGCAACCTTGAATTCACCTACCTGTGAAGAGTTTAGGATTATGCACTTCACCACTGCCCAAAGCATCTGGTTTCAACACATGTTTATGTAAATCACTCAGGATGTCTACACAAATGGAGTTGGTGTTGGAGTACACAGCTGGAATTGAAGACAGATGCAGAAATTTCTGGAACTGTCCGGATAATACATCAAAACCAAAGAAAATCAACTGAACAACAGTCTTGAAAATGCTTTATTGAACCGTGTGTCTTATTGTAATGTGCAGAAGATGTGTTTGAAAAACTACAGCTTGAAAAATTTTTGAAAATCCTCAACAATCAATCAATAAAAAAAGTCCCTACTGGGGGTAACTCTCAGGATAACCAGAGGCTGCATGTAAAGTTTCCCTTAAAACATTTTCTGTTGCAGAGACTCAAAAAAAACCCCAAAAAAACAAAAAACCACAAAGCTAGTAGTGCTGCTCTACATGGAAACAATCAAGATTTGATGATTTCAAAAAAAAAAAAAAAGGAGGGAACTTAAAAATTCAGTCTATGGGGTTGTTTCTTTTGCTGCTGCTCTTTTGGATTAGCATACATGTCACAGTTTTGCTGAGAACACCACGTGGTGTCCAAGTCTGTACGTTTACTCTACAATGCTGCTGAGAAGGGAGGATACAGAGAAAGAGAGAGGGGGTGAGGTGAGAAATCTGGAAAGACACCATTATGATATAAGCCTAGTTTAAATTTTCATCAGAAGCTGTGTGCACTTTTGTTTTTATAACCTAACTTTACATTCAAAAAACCCCACACAACCAAAAAAAAAAAAAAAGAAAAGAAAAAGAAAGAAAAACCAAACCCAAACATACCCCTGTCCTTGCCTTGGGGCTATTATAAATTTCTATGCACAAAAACACCTTTTTTTTTTTTTTCCAAACCAGTAGGGTTAACAGTATAGGCATGTAGGTGGCATGATTCAACTAAAAGGCTTTGTCAACTTTTTTATACCAGAGAAAATAACCAAAAGAAACAATAAATAAAAGGTGCTAAAGTTAGCATTAGGAATTTTGTATTGTAATATACTGACAGTCTGGGGATCCAAATCCTCTAGCTTTCCTCATACTGTCAAGTCTCTGCAAACTATGAAGCAAATACATAAATAACTCAATATGATTTGAGGCTGTGAAAGGCTTTTTAAAACTAAAGACAATATGATCCAGGTTAACTTTTTTTTTTTTTTTTTTTTAAGAAACACAGTGAATATATGAATTGTCTACACCTGAATAAAACATATTTAACAATTAAAAAATTTTAACAACCACAACAAAGAAAAGCTTTAAACAAAAGTGAATGTCATTTGATTTCAGGGCACACAAAAGCCCCTTGCAGTAGCTTCCAGCAGTGGCCTTACTGTTGTGTCTCCTACAGATGCAAAAAAATGAAGATTAACTCCACACATTGAGGTGACGGTTGACAGGGCAACATAATGATCACATACAGCAAAAATGCCACACCCCGGTCATGACAATGTATCCCACTGCAGTTTCCATCCTGTGCAGGAACAGCACGTGAGGATGCCATTCTGTCACATATTATTCAAAAGCTACTTCGTGGCCACAAAACTGCTACTCAGCACTAACCTTCTCCTCAGGTAACCTTCGAATAATGGGAAAGCTTTGTGTTTTTTATAGTTTTACTCCTTGTATTTAAATTTTTAAATGACAAGGTCACTAAAACTCATGCACGCTGCAAAAAACATCATGCAGTAGTTAAGGTAAACCATCCAAGCAGTTTTTATTCATTAATATTCATAAATACACACAGCAGCTTCATTAGAGATTTTTCATTTTTTTTTTTTCCTCTTCAGTTTGAATGTGGAGTATTAGGAGAGCCTTTTGCATGTCAAGGTACAGGACACAGAGCTTTCTGCTCTGCACTGCAGCCTACATTTACCTGCTAGAAGTAAAAATTAGTTAAGTGGAAATGATTATCATATATATCTTTTCTCTCTTTCTTTTGAATGTACACAATGTAACAAGAGTGACAGACCTGAAATTACAATCACCAAAACAAACCCAAGATAGTTGTTGTCCACTTTTCATTGGCAAATACAGCACAGAGGACATTGTCTGCAAAGTGGGATGTCATCAAAGAGGAGGTGGAGGAGGCTCGTTTCCTTTATTACTCTCTTTTAAATTTAGGTTTTCTAAAGCAACATCTAGAGGCATAATATCTACACAGCCCATAGCACCAAAATCTGCAATCTCCCCCCGCTCATCCTCATCTGAGGAGGAACTTTCTTCCTGCATCAAAGTGGACAGTAGAAGCTCCTGAACAAACAGGCTGCAGTCTGCCCGCTCGCTTTCCATCGACTGACGCTCTGCTTCCGACATCTTCGGGTCATTCAACCTGTGCAGCAGCAAGGCAAGAGAAGACAGGCAGTTGCTAAAAGCCCATTTCACCAAGGACACCACCAACAGGCTCAGAAACCGCTCCTCCAGGACAGTCCTGCCTGCCCTTCCACACGTGCGGCACTGGCAGCCTCTGGCCCCGCAGTGAGACGGGCACGGATTTAACAACCCACCCCTTCCCTGCTCCTGCAACCATCCAGAGTGGAGCCTGAAGTGAGAGGAAAAACCAAGAACTATTTATGAGGTTTCCTGCTATTCAGGAGTCTCTCAGGGAGGGCTGTTGCCATTTCCCAGACATGCAGTTGTGTGCCTCCTTTGCTTCTCCATCAACTTCTGAGTTCACATTTGCCATGAAATATGTTACTGCACACATAAAGCCTACGAATTGCTGCATCACCGCTAAATCAATGCTAAATCATTGCTAAACCATACAACATTCATTCCATCACTTCTCCTAGGGTACAGTGCCTGTCCTGATAGGGGCAGGGAAACTGCTCACTCAAACTCTGAAAATCACAATCCATGACACTTGCAGGTGCTTTGATTGAGGTTCTCAAATGAGTTTCTGACTGAAAGATGCCACATGGCATTATTTTGGACTTTCAGACAAAAATCCATTTGACTCAAATCCAGGTCTCTTGGCACAGGAGCTGTCAAAATTCCCACACTCTTTCACAATACCAAACAAACAAAAATATGCTTGCAGAAGGCATGGCAAGGCCTAGGTGGAAAACATTTTTATTTCAGGTCAATAGTCGGTGTTCTGAAAGAAATGGAATGCCATAGGAGGTGAATGCTCTTTAAAATACCCTGGGATTTAAGTGTAATTTCTAAACCAGCTAACTATGCTGTCAACAAACACCATCCTAGGCATGTGCCTAACTCCAAACACTGAAGTTTCACTGAGCTCTGAATCTCCACCAGAACTAAACAGAAATTGCAAGAAAGAGGCAAAACACAGGTAAACACACTGAACGAGTTACCTTGTAAGAAGGAACTGGGAATTCTGGATAGTCTGCTGACTGTTTTCTGTGTTAGACGTGTTGGTTGTTGTTGTAGATTGTGTCATAGTGGTGTTGACATTGATCGTGTTGGTGCGCCTGGTTGCATTGCGTGCAGTCTCCAGTTGTTGTCTTGCTGCCTGTGCATGTTGTCGTTCCAACTGCAGTTGCATCTGCAGCTGCTGTAACTGAGAAGCAGAAGGGCCAGAGGAGTTGAGCTGTCCTCCTGCAGAACGCCTCACACCTGATAGCTGAGATAAAAGCTCTGCCAGAGAAGAGAAAGCTACTATGATGAAAGATCTTAAACAAGCATTACACAACAGAATGAATACACCCTGAATTTCAGTGCGAGTCCTTTTTTTTTTTTACTACAATCACCAACATCAAAGAACAAACAATGCTCAGAGAGCCCATGAAACTCTTTTTTTTTTTTTTTTAAAGTCGGAGCATTTAACTGCTCTGAGGGTAAGGAAGATTAAGAGTCAATCCACAGGTTTTTGTCTGGCAAATTATGTCCTCTGCAGTAATCCTCTGAGACTTCAAGTCAAAATACCAAATGACCCAGAAACTTGTTCATTTTCACTTTGGTTGATTTTTTTTTTTTTCCTTTCAACAATTGTTACCTGAAAGCACAAGCTTCATCTTCCTGACTGTCCCAGAGGGAAGCTGTGCTGCAGCAAGGAGAAACACTGTACCATTGTTTCAAAATTTTAATTTAGCTAAGAAAACATACTGGAGCATTGCTTCACATCAAAAGCATTCTGTAGGAATTTTTATTTCTGCTGGAAGCACAGAGAAGGCCTAGCAACTAAAAAAAACCCCTCTGTGTTCTTTAGTCTTCCAAATCAGAAGGACGGAATGCTTATTGCAAGTTTCAGCCACAAAGAATTTTTTTAAATAAGTATTAGCAGCAAATTACTGCTCAGTGCATTACTGCAGAATCTCCTCTACACCCTGTGTAGCAGGGACTTCTTATGTCAGACAATTGCTGCAGTGGATGCAAGGGCAGAGCAAGCAGAGGACAATCCTGCTCCTGCCCCTCTCTTCCACATTACAAAATCACTAGGGAAGTCACGATAATTTTTCTTCCACTGCGTTAACTCTAATGCAAGCTTTCTTTGAGGGATTAAAGCAAAATACAAAGTCAGGGTGGTCAAGACACTTTCACCAACACTGACAGCAACAGCAAGATTACATAACTTTTAATTGCTAGAGAATGCCACAGGGAGGAAAAAGAAATTGTAAATAAAGAAGCAACCGATGTTATAAACTTCATTTAAACACAAAAATTACTGTGGTCTTTCCTATTTATTATTCCAGTAAAAAGGAAGCCATGCTAAACTTCTGGACAAGATTTAGATATATTTATCCTCATTGTAAGTTTAAGCTTGGAGTGTAGCAAAACAGTATTTTGGAAGCAGTTGCGAACTCAAGACAATCCTGGAACAAGAAGGACACCCAGCTCAGTGCGCTCCAAATGCAGAAACACAGCTTCCACCAAAAGAGAAAAGATGCACGTGAAGATCCTGTGAGGCTGAGAACAAACTTCAGCACATTTAACTGAGCTGAACTCGCCGCCCTTGCAAGAGAAAGAGGATGCCTTGCACTGGAAGCTTCATGAACATACTCCCTCCTTGAACAAACTTGAGTCTTTTTCAGGCCCTCCCGTGACCTTGCTTATTTTGAAGGGCTAATTTAATGAGTTAGACCAGGTCACACCAGGCCAGGAGAGCACCAGAGACAGCTGTGGGCAGGTAAAGGGGACCATGATGGAGGAAGGCAGGGGAACCACAGCCCTCCTTCCAGGGGAGCTCATCAAGCCAGCTAGCTGCCACCTCCCTCTGAAGAAATCACAGCCAGACAGCAGGAAGCTCCAGTTTATGCATCTGAAGCAAAGGTGTATTGGCAGCAGGCATTCTGGGGCTTCCCTGACTCTTACACTGGCATGGGCAAAGACCACCACATGAAAATGTTTAGATTTGCCCTTGGGCAAAGCTATATTTGTTTTTCAGAACTGTCTATATTTTCTATTTTTTCTTTCTTGTAAAAAAAGAATTTTTTTCACATCAAAGCTAAACAGAGGCCAAACAAGTTATTCCCGGGAATCCTGGTGTTGAAAATAACACACTTCTCCCCCCCCTCCCCAGTTTTAATAACCTTGACCAAAACAGACTTCAAATACTTGCAACAGTAAGTTTATAAAAGAATTCAGATGTACATCTTAAAATAAGGTCTGTGATATTAAACATTAAATAAAAGCCTGGCACTTGAACAGCAGCCTGAAGGCAAACTGAAACCCAATTTTAAATGCCCATTAACATCAAACTGAGTTGATTTCATCCTCTTTGAGACGGATGCTCTCCTCCACAAACACCCTTACCACGTGGCAAATTAAAATGGCACGTGCTAAATCAGGTGACGGAAGCTGGACACAGTCACCTACGGAAACACTCAGCGCCAGTGCAGAGGTCTGGGAATAAGCCTTACACTGCCTGGAATTCCAAGCACAAGCTACAAGCACCCTGCTCAGTGCCCACAGCCACACCATCAGAAAGCAGGGCACTGGCAAGGTTCAGTTTTGCTTCCCACGCGAGAGGAGGACATCGGGGCAACCGCTGTGGTCACGGCTCTTACCGGCTATAGGATCCATGGCTTCTCTATTGCTTGGAGAATACGAACTCTGAGAAGATGAGAGCCCACCAGGGGAACTGGTAGTAAAGTGCATGTTTGATCTACGTGCACGGGGGCCTCCCAAGCCCCGGCCCGGGTGGAACATCCTACGTACATGCCGAACGCCACTGGATTCATCGTAGCCGAGGTGTTAAGAAAACAGAACTGTTTGGCATTGAGTGTCAAATCACCAGCACATCTGATGGGTGAAATACTCAGAGGCACACTGCTCTTCACTCACAGAGTAATGATTCAACTTCTGAAGCACACTGAAGCTACGGTGCAAGTCAGACTTACTGATCTGGTAATTTTTTTTTTTTTTTTTTGGATCAAAATTTTCTAATCAGTAACACGAAAAACAAAAAATCCCCCCCAAAAACAAAAACATGTTCAGCCAAGCTTACTAGAGACACAGGGATTCGGTTCTCCCTCCCCAATTCTTATGTTAAGTATTAAAAATATTAAAAAGCTTTCCTGCCACTCCTATCAGAAGTATGTAATAATTGCTGTAATCCTTTTTACTTCTGTAATTCATGCTTTTATCCAAGAAATTTCACCACTTCAGTGTCCTTAGGAAAACTTCTGGAGTATTCAGCACATCCATCACACCCCTTTGTTTCACCTTTTCTTCTTTTAGCCAAAGAAGTACCACTGATTCCAGTTATGACAATAATGTTTTTCATTTTTTCATTTCCCCCCACTTCTCCCTATCAGATGCTTATATTTCCTGTCAAACCTTCTACAGGTTCTCTCATATAGATTTTGATGCAATCAACAAATTATTTAAAGATTATTTTTGTCATAAAGTTGTTAACATGCATTTCTCCAAGACAGTCCAGTTAAGGCTTCCTTTTAAAAATCACAAGATTTAAAAATCACTGGTGAAAAATAAAATAACATATAGACTTTAATATTTTAACTGTTACTAGATCTTTAGCTTAGGTCCTCCATCTCCCATGCTTTTTATTTTTGCAGTAGCATGCTTACCACTCGTACAGTATCTACTACAGTAAGAGTATTTGTACCCTGTACTTTTCATAAATCAGTTATGATGCAGAACCTTGTGATGCCATGGAGGTTGAGAATTTAAGACTGAAAGGAATTACTAGACCCCTCATGGAAAGAGCGAGCTTCTGGCTATTACCAAAAGACACAAACGTATCACACAACACCTACAGGATGGACAAGGGATCAGACCCAGACAGGATGGATTTAAAAGGGGCACGTCCTGTCTGACCAACCTGATCTCCTTTTATGACCAGGTGATCCGCCTGGTGGATGAGGGGAAGGCTGTGGATGTGTCTGCCTGGACTTCAGCAAAGCCTTTGGCACTGCCTTTGACAGCACACTCCTGGAAAAGCTGCAGCCCAGGGCTTGGACAGGGCACTCTGTGCTGGGTTAGGAACTGGCTGAAGGGCCCAGAGAGTGCTGGTGAACGAGGCTGCATCCAGTTGGGATCCAGTCACCAGTGGTGTCCCCAGGGATCAGTGCTGGGCCCAGTCCTGCTTAACATGATGATCTGGATGAGGGGACTGAGTCCACCATCAGCAAATTTGCAGATGACACCAAGCTGGGGAGGAGTTTTGATCTGCTGGAAGGCAGGAGGGCTCTGCAGAGGGACCTGGATAGGCTGGAGAGTTGGGCTGATTCCAATGGGATGAGGATCAACAAGGCCAAGTTTTGGGTCCTGCACTTTGGCCACAACAACCCCCTGAGAGCTACAGGCTGGGGACAGAGTGGCTGGAGAGCAGCCAGGCAGGAAGGGACCTGGGAGTTTGGATTGACAGGAGGCTGAACATGAGCCAGAGTGTGCCCAGGTGGCCAAGAAGGCCAATGGATCCTGGCCTGGATCAGGAACAGTGTGGCAGCAGGAGCAGGGCAGTGATCCTTCCCCTGCACTCAGCACTGGTGAGGCCACACCTGGAGTGCTGTGTCCAGTTTGGTGCCCCTCAGTTCAGGAAGGACATTGAGGTGCTGGAGCAGGTCCAGAGAAGAGCAACCAGGCTGGTGAAGGGACTTGAGCACAAGTCCTATGAGGAGAGGCTGAGGGAGCTGGGGTTGTTTAGTCTGGAGAAGAGGAGGCTCAGGGGAGACCTCATCAGCCTCTACAAGTACCTGAAAGGAGGTTGTAGCCAGGTGGGGGGTTGGTCTCTTCTCCCAGGCAACGAGGAGTTGAAGCCTTCAGTATTTGAAAAGATTATTTTTTATAGCTCAAACATTCCCTAATTAAAAGTCATCTGGTGGTATCTCCAATTCCAGGGGGGAGAAAATGCTGCAGAAGCCTGAATTCTAATCAAATAACTTGTGCATTTCAGCAGGAAATTAATTTCACTCTGGAGCTTGGAAAATTTAAACTTCCTGGCCTACAGAGTTGTTAAATCAATGTTGGAAGCCCACAGCTGGACCTTTAGTATAGTGCTATGTATTTATCAGGGATGTAAATCTTGTTAGAAAAAGCCTCAGTTAGTTGTAATAGGTGACTCCCTTCTAAGGGGAATGGAGGGAATACAGATCAGACCCAACTCACAAGGAAGTCTGCGGTCTCCCAGGGTCTTGGGAAAGGGACATTACTGGAAAAGTCTCCAGTCTCATAAGGCCCTCTGATTACTGTCCATCATTGGTTGTTCAAACTGGCAGAGATGAAATAACAAAGAGAAGCCTGAGGGCAATTAAAAGAGACTTCAGGGCCCTGGGACAGGGTAGAGGATCAAGAGCCCAGGCAGTGATTTCCTCAATCCTTCTGATAACAAGGAATAACACTGATAAGAATAGGTCAATGAGAGCCTCTGCGGTTGGTGTAATCAGAAAAATTTTGGGATGATCTACTCAATATCTGGTCTACTGGCAGAGCTTTGAACTAGCCTGGAAGGGGAAAATACCAGGCTCGTCAGGATGAGTGATGGGACAGTGAGCCAAAACTTAGGAAAGCAATGCTAATGGGATCCCTCCAACTGCCTCATGAGATGTTGGCTACAATGTACCACACCTGAAGTGTTTCCACACCAATGAAGCTTTGGCCCAGTCCCAGAGACTTGGCATCACTGACGTAAATGAAGCCTGGTGGGATGAGCCCTATGACTGGAGCACCCTTTTGGATGGTTCCAGGCTCTTCAGGAGGGACAGGCAGGGCAGAAGAGGCAGAGAGGTGGCATTGTGTGTCATAGGAGGGTTGGGAGCTCAAAGCTAGCAAAGACACAGTTGAGAGCCTCTGGGTAAGGATCAAGGGGCAAACAAATAGTGCAAATGTCACTGTGGAAGTCTGCCATAGACCCCCCAGCCAGGACGATGATGCCAATGAATTACTCTTTAAGGAACTGAGAGACACTTCCAATTAACTCCCCCTGTCCTTATGGGGGACTTCAGCTTGCCAGAAATTACCTGGGAGCATCACACAGCTGGACAACCCAGGCCAGAAGATTCCTAGAAAACTTGGATGACAACGTTACAGAACAGGTCCTGACTTGGAAAGATGCCCTCCTTGATCAGCTGCTTGTCAAGAGAGTGGATCTCACAGGCAAAGTGGAGATTGGTGTCCCCTTGGCCACATCAACCATGAAGTCAGTGAGTTTAAAATCTCCACTGGCAGCAGGAAAAGTGCCAGTGAAACCTCAGCTCTGCACATGAGAAGAGCAGACTTCAGGCTGCTTGGGGAATTAGGAAGTAAGGTCCCCTGGGAAAAGGTTTTTGCAGGTGCTGGGTCCATCAGTGCCGGTCACTTTTCAAACATCACCTCCTGAGGGCACAGGAGCAGCAATTCCCAAATGCTGGAAGTCAAGCAGCTGAGGCAGAAGGCCAGCCTGGCTCAGCAGGGATCTTCTCTTGGAAATAAGGCAAAAGTGGAAAGTCTATGCCCAATGGAAGCAAGGTTAAGTGACATGGGAAGAATTCAGAGATGCTCCTCGCCGCTGCAGGGAGAAAATCTGTGAGGCCAAAGCTCAGCTGGGGTTGAAGGTGCCAGAAATGTGGGGGACAATAAAAAGAGTTTTTTCCAATATATTAATGGAGAAAGGCAGCATAGAAATACCATCAGCCCATTACAGGATGAGGATGGTCACCTCACAAACAGGGACAGAGACAAGGCAGAGGAGTTTATAACTCTTTCTTTGCCTCTGTCTTCAACAGGGATGATGCACCAAGGGGGTCTCAGTGCCCTGAGCTGGAGGACCATTTACTGCCAGAATGATCAACATCAACTCCTACTCAACCCTGAAATTGTGTGGGATCTGCTGCTCCAGCTGGATCCTTACAAATCTGATGGGATTCATCCCAGAATGCTCAAAGAGCTGGCTGGTGTCATCACAAAACCTTTCTCAATGTTTTTTGAGAGGTCTTGGTAGCCTGGAGAGGTCACATTGCACTGGCAAAAGTTGTCCTGATTTTCAAGGAGGACAAGAATCAGGACCCCGGAAACTACCGGTTTACCAGCAAGTACTGGAAGATTACTCTTGGAGGTACTGAAGAACACCTGAAAGACAATGCTGTCTATGGTCACAGCCAGCACAGCTAGTGGGGCTCCATAGGGTCCATCTTAGGTGCTCTTCAACATCTTCATAAACGACTTGGACACAGGACTGGAAGGGATACTATGCATGTTTGCAAATGACACAAAACTGGGAGGCCCTGCAGAGAGACTATGAAAAATCGGAGGAACTGGGCAATCACCAACCACATGAAATTTCATGAGGGAAGTGCTGCATTCTGCACCATAAGGCAGCCCTGGATGTTCGAACAGACCTGGGGAATGAGATGCTGGAAAGCAGTGCCAGGAAAGGGCCCTGGGGGTCCTGGTGGATGGCAGGTTGAATGTGAGTCAGCAGTGCCCCGGCAGCCAGGAGGGCCAACCCTGTCCTGGGGGGCATCAGGGAAAGCATCACCAGCTGGTCCAGGGAGGGGATTGTCCTGCTCTGCACTGACCTGGGGCAGCCTCACCTTGAATTTTGTGTGCAGTTTGGAGCATCACAATATAAGAAAGATCTGAAGCTGTTAGAGAGTGACCAAAGGAGGGTCATGAAGAGCCTTGATTTGAAGCCGTGTGAGGAGCAGCTGAGGGCACTTGGTGTGTTCAGCTGGAGAAGAGGAGACTGAGGGGAGACCTCACTGCAGTTACAACTTCCTTGTGAGGGGAAGAGGAGGGGCAGGCACTGATCTCTGCTCTGTGGTGATCAGTGACAGAACTTGAGAGAATGGCCTAGAGTTGTGCCAGGGGAAGTTTAGGTTGGATATTAGAAAAAGGTTCTTCCCCTGGAGGGTGTCTGGGCACTGAACAGGCTCTCCAGGGAAATGGTCACAGCACCAAGCCTGACAGAGTTCAAAGAGGTGTTTGGATGATACTCTCAGGTACAGGTTGTGACTCTTGGGGATAGTCCTGTGCAGGGGCAGGAGATGGACTTGATGATCCCTGTGGGTCCTTTCCAACTCAGCGTATTCTGTGATTCTGTGAAAAACTCGCAGTTGTTAGAAAAAGCATAACTTAACTGCTCAAACTACATCACCCACCAAGCAACATCTCAGAGATGCCCAAAGGCCAGGAAAGATCTAATGGTCTGGAAAACACTCTCACATCTGTCTCATCCCACCTCCTCCTGAAAGGGAGGACAGAATGACTCCTGGCCATTGAGGACCTTGGGAATGCCTGGGACCAAGCTCTCAGCACTGTCCTGTTCCTGAATGCTGAGAACTCCACTCCTGTCTAAACACAGAAAGGTGAAGTAGAGATAACTGGTTTTATCCAATTTTGTAGTGTTTTTTGCATTATTTGTTACTCCTTCAGAGAGCCAACCAACACCCAAACTCCTTTACACTGATTCAATTATTGTGTAGCATTTAACACGCACATTCAGTCAGTCCTGACCCTAAACCATGTTAACACTAACAAACTGAATTGGAGCCATCTCCTTAAATGCTGTTTCCCTTCTGTTAGTGTCATGAACTCTGTTTGGTAGGGCTTGAGTTTATTTTTTTTACTCCAATGTTCTTATTCTTTTTTTCCTTTTTAAAAATCTTTAAACAAAAAGCCACTATCAAAGTTATAATGCAGCCTTTTTGTCTGTATGTTTAAATGAGACACAAAGGAATAATTCAGAGATTACTGACTGTAGGGATGGTACCTAGCCTGCATGTCATTAAGTAAAAGCCCAAAATATATTTCATCAGTTGATCCTAGGGAGGAAGAAAATGTTTTAAAAAAGAAAAATATTCCTAGAACAAGGATAAAAAAAATCCCTAACAATTCTGGCTCTTCAGTCATCAAGCACAGATATAACTGCATATCTGGCTGCTTAAGGTAACTGAAAGGCAACATACTGTTTCCCAAATATTTACAAATTATCAGTAACACTACAAAATTACATTATTAAACAACTGCATTAACATCAGTTAAGCACCAAGTCATCATGGTTACTAGGTGAAACAGTCTAGCTTCTTTGCCTCAACTTGGAAAGGATATTAAATCTCTAGGAGCTCTGTGTTCCAGTGTAAGATGAGCTGCAAAGTCATCTGTTACGTGATTTGGATCCCCTCCAGGTAATGCTGCACATATTGGACAAATCTGAAATGAGAAAGCAAGAAAAAAACCTCCAACTTTATAAGGTTTACAAAATAGGACTTACATCATTGAGTCAAACATCTTATGCTTTGAAATCACATTCTAGGTATTCACAAACACCCGGATATCAACATATTCAAACAAGCCCAGAAAATGTACTGAATTGCAGATATTTAGTCATCTTTTACTTCATGATTTTCAGAATACTATGAAAACCAGAGCTATGATTCACAAATTCAATTTTCAGTGTCTTGAAAAATAGTATTTGTATGCCAATTCTGCCGCAGACTGAAGTCCAGTTACACAGGAATGCCATTTCCCTGCTTGACACTCATCCCAGTAGAGGCTTCAATGAAACTGCCCATAAGTATTTGCTAAGTATCAAACTGAGACCATGCCACACAGCAGTGGTTGGATGGTTTTGTTTGGTTTGTTTTGTTTTTAAACCAAAGTACAGCGTAACTAGGTAGTCAAACACTACTATTACAACTGCCATAATTATGACTTCTTTTTGAATGACCACAAACAGCTTGAAAAGCATATTCCATTTTTCTTTATAGTAGCTGGGATGGAACATAAACCTCTTGCTCCCAGGGCTCCTCATGCATATACCCGAGCTGTTGACAGCAGATCTCAAAGACCAAGGGCATTAAGGACACCTACAGAGTAGTGCATACATCTGTCTTACTCTCATGGAGGTGAGAACAAAGTCTTGAAGTAAGTTCACTGCAAAATCTCAATGCTTTCAACACCAACTGCTGCACCTAATGCCACTTTTAACTTTAGTAGCCAGTTCTGAGCAGAACACCAGGCATTTTAAAAGTTTTTTGCTACAACCCCTGCCCCCTTATTTTCCATGTTTAGCATTTGTCTTCACAGATTTTTCACCACTACAGAAGCAAAAAAGTGGACACATTACAGGGAACAACTTATCACAGCATAATATAATAAATCCTCCCCTGAGCCAACATATCATACAGCTACCCTACAGGGATACAGGAATGGATGTGTACTGGGCAGATAGTTCTAAAGTCCATAAACTTCATTACAGCTGCCTAATCTTCAAGAATGTGTTTCATACCAAGAGAATGCAACACCTTCAAAGCAATCTTTTTTTTTTCATTTAATCTACTCTGAGGAAGGAGAAAGTCAACACATGACAAACAAGACACTACTGAAAGTAGCAAAGCAAAAGAAGGGTCTTTGCTAATAGGACAAAGGCGTTACAAGCTGCACACGTGTGCCCGAAGAGACTCAGTCCTTAGAAAAACATCAGCTAAGAAAAAGCTATAGGGAACAATGAGAAGGAAGGAAGGAATCAAAGTATCCCAACTCTAATTCTAAACATCAACTCAACTTTCAAGAACTCTCTGACTAGGAAAATTTTGCAAGAATTGTCACACAAAAACAACAATTTAGTTAAGCATAAGCTCTGACAAGAGTCAAAACAAAGACTGCTGCATCCCTGATTAAGTGTGATACAACTAAGAATCATTGTTAACTAGAACATGCATGAACAAAAGCTGCAGTCAGAAGGTTCTCTTGAACTCATGAGCATTTGTATTAAGAAATCACCATGCTACCCTGAGTGATGCCTCTGAAGTCCTATGTCAATTATACTCACAGAATACCTGCCAGTTTTCAGAACTGTGCTTATATTACCACTACTTGCCTATTTAAGGCGACCACTTGAAGCGACAGCATTTCTGTAACCTCAACAAGAGTTACTGTGATCTTCGAGAATGAATTAGGAACCATTCAAACTCTCTCAGATTGTCCATTTCATTACTGCAAGGAAAGCTCTCCTCAATTTTATCAGCAAAGTATCAACAGCCTAGTCCTTACAGTTCATGTACAAATAGCCTAGTTACTGTTTTGCTAAAGGTGAGAAAGCTGATGCTGTGCAATGTAATAGTAAAAACTTTGCATCTCTGTTCTGAAACGAGACTAGGAGACCAAATTTGATGATGTCTTCTAAAATTTTTGCATTTACAATGCTAGCAGACTTGTGCTGTATCTGATTTGGAACAGTACAACTAACCTGAAATCCAGCACTTGAACGAATTGGACATACTTAAGTCCACAGGCTGTGATGGGATGCACCAGCAAGTGCTGAGAGAGCTGGCAGATGCTACTGAGAGGGTGATCTCAATAACCTTTGAACAATCATGGTGACTGGGAGAGGTGCCTGAGGACTGGAGTAAAGCAAGTGTCACTCCTATCCTAAAGAAGGGGAAAGTAGGGGTACCTGGGAACTACAGGTTGGTCAGCTTGCCTTGATCCTGGGGAGGTGATGGAGACCATTTCCAGGCACATTAAAGACAAGAAAATCATCAAGAACAGTCAGTATGGCTTCATGGAGTGAAGACATGCTTGACCAAGTTCATAAACCTTTTGTGATGAAGCGTCTGGCCTGGTGGATGACTGAAGAGCACGGGTATTGCTTACCAGAACTTCAAGTAAGACTTCTGGCACTGTCTCTCACAGGATGCTCAAAGACAAGCTGTTGATACACAGTCTGAATAAGCAGACAGTGAGGTGGAGTGAGAACTGTCTCAGTGGCTGGCTTCAGAGGATGGTGATCAGTGGGAATTTTGCCAATTACACAAGATGGGGAGGAATGGCTGATATGCCGAGAGCTGTGCTGCCGTTTAGAGGGACCTCAAAAAGCTGAAGAAATGGGCCAATGGGAACCTCACGAAGGGGGAAGTACAGGTCCTGCACCTGGGGAGGAACAGCCTCAGGAACCAGCACACACTGGAGGCCAGTCATCTGGAGCACAGCTTTTGCAGCAAAGGACCTGGGGGTCCTGGTGAACCATGAGCCAGCAGTGAGCTCTTGTAGCAAAGAAAACTAGTGGTGTCTTGGGCTGCACCAGAAAGTGTTGCCAGCAGGCTGAGTGTGGTGATCTTTTGCTTTCATCCAGCATAGGTGAGGCTACACCTGGGGTACTGTGCCCAGTTCTCAGCTCTACATACGTAAGAGACATGCACACACTGAAGAGAGTTCAGCAAAAGGCTACAATGATGATTCCAGGAATGGATCATCTCTCCCGTGAGCAAAGGCTGAGAAAGATGGGACTGTTCAGCCTGGAGAAGGGCAGGTTCTAGGGGAGACCTTATAAATGTACATGAATACCTAAAGGGAGGCTGAAAGGATGGTGAAGCCAGGCAGTGACAGGACCACACTGGGCACAAATCTAAACACAGAAGTTTCCTCATGAACATCGGGAAACACTTTTTCATTGTGAGGGTCACTGAGCACTGGCTCATGTTGCCTAGAGAGGCTGTGGAGCCGCTGTCCTCAGTGTATTAAAAACTGTCTGAACACGGTCCTGGACAATCAGGTGTAGGTGGCCCTGCTCAAGTGACCTCCAGAGGTCCCTTTCAACCTCAGTCAGTCTGTGATTCCTGCCCACAGATACCTAACGTTGCTGTACATACCTGAGAAAAATCAGCAGAAAGTGAACTTCTTACCTGCACCACTCTGAATATAAAAATGGCAAAATTTAATTGAGCAAAAATTGTTTGGCTTACTGTTTGAAAAATTGGGGTGGTGGGGGTGTTTGGGGCTGTGACTACCCCCGTAAACTTCCTTTAAAGATCTGAAAATATCTAAAATAAAACGTATCTTTTGATAGACAGAGATACTACAACAACTACAAGCTCACCATCTAAACACAAACAATTGTTTGAAAACCTACAACCACAAACATTTAGAATCCATAATAATTTCCTCTTTAGTAATCCTGTAGCCTTTCACTGTCTCAGTAAGGCTATAGCTCCCAAGTAAGTTTGATGTACACACACACTAAACATTCACTGTCAAAGTTACATTCAAAACTTAGCACAAACATAGACAATCGTATTCAAGGACTAAAAAACTGTCCTTTATCAGTGTCTGGAACAAAGATATAGCAGTGTTGCAGACTGATGCACTGAAAGTGTTCAGGGGTTGGGTTTTTTTGTGTGGTTTTTTTTTTACAAATACAACTCTTTCAGGATTCACTGGATCAGCAGGTGTCTAGAACCACAAATTTAGGCTTTAGTTGTTAGGTCAGAACTAGTGCTGAGTTCTAGAAGTCACAGACGAAAAAAAGGCCGTGTCAAATTTAAAAACCTGGGATCTGTGAACATTTCTGTGTCAGGAACATATCACTGACATCAAGTGGTGCAAATGAGAATTGCAATACTAAGCCACTAAACCAAACAAAGGCATCCAAATGTGGAATTCTGAATGCTTGATGCTATGTTTGAAAGCTGCAAAATTTAAGAAAAACCTCAAGGAGATTACAAAAATTGCATGTGTCGCTGTGTTAAATAGTGATCCTACAGTCCAGCTGATTGTGCAGTAAACTGTTCAACTTCCTATGTTTTTAAGAAAGATCAGGACACCTTTGAGTCTCAAAAACGGTGAACAAACACCCTTTCATACTACCCCTTCACCCAAGTTCCATAACAGGCTTGGAGAGAAATCATTCATTTTCTTCCACAGAATTCCTTGAAAGTTAAGAAAAGTACAAGATTAGAAAAGAGAACCTACTTATAATTAATTTCTTCATAATGCATTAACAATGAGCAACACACTTCAAGCATCACTTTTTTTCTAGGAATCTCTGGCAAAACAATTCACCAGAGAACAACACCCTGCATGTCATTCTGCTAAAACAGTTTCTCCTGCTCCCAAGGTCAACCAAGATAGCAGGAGCTAACACCTCTGATCGAAGTATTTCTGTTGACACTTGTTTAAGATGTGCATTTTTAACACATCTAGTGTCCTAATGGTTAGGGATGGGGGAAACCCCCCCTGCTTTGACAGTAACAATTTAAAAAAAAAGGTAAAATCCCACTTCATAAAAATACCAGGCCCATTAAAACAGTTTACTTGAAAAACACACCAAACTCTTTGTATTTCTTCCTTCTCTCTTACAGTTACAAAAGACTGGCATAGCTTTGAGCTTACAGGACAATTACATACTGGCTGTGAAAAGAGAGACACAACTAGACAGGCTAACCATGAGAACTTCCAAAAATTGTGTCTTACAGAATAATAATCTCCTAAACATGGCAGCCTTTCTATCAGGACAACAAAACAAAAACCACAAAACAAGCAAGCAAGCTCACTATATTATGATACCCACAAATCACAAGAATTTTGATGTCCCTGTCACGTGTAGTAGCTACATGTTCTGACAAAACATTTAAATGAATACATGCCTCAAGACAGAAAAAGAACAGGAGGGTAACAATTTCAGAAAAGATACTATTTTAAATGTATTTCCACCACAAAAGCCAATTCTGAGGCTTCTTACCACTTCTGTTGATGTTTCTGCATGCTCAGAAGTAACATGTTCTTGAAGAGATGTTTCCGTATAACCCATTTTTCCACAATAAGGACAAGTAAATGACTGTGGCTGCTCTACAGAGAAAGCTTCTCCACCATAGTACAAATCTGGAACAGAAAGCATTTAAGCAGGGGTTACTTCAAAGTAGTATCATCATTTATTGCATTCACATCAACCTCTCTTTAAAAATGTCCTTCATTGTAATCACTGCCAAGTTAATCTGGCATTTCATTGAAATGGCCACATTCAACAAGTGTCCAGGTACTGACGACAAAAATCAGAGACTACATTTCATTTCCATTTAGTACACACAACATAGTTTTCTAATACTCATTAGGAACAAAGACTTCTATCGTGATGCTGCCAGTATTGCTAAACCTTCACTTTTCCACCACTACTCTTATCCCATGTACGGGGCCCAACCATGGTATTTTTCAATCATAACATGAGATTTCACAAGCTGAACTCTCAGCAATAGCTCAAATTTAGACTGCAATTTAGAAGTCCTCAGGGATACCATGTGTCAATATTTATGCCACAGCTGAACCACTGCTTCACAGTTAAGTAGTAATGCATTTGAGAGATTTCCAGAACATCAGAGTTTGATAGTGACAAAGGAATCCGATTATCTGTTACACACTGGTTGTAACTTTTAGGTGTGTTGAATGTGAGCACTTTTGCACTACTGATGAAAAGCAGGTGCTTTTAAGTTGCTAACACAGAAGTTCACCAAACATAACATTAAAATTTATAAAATCATGCAATAGCTTTCCTCTCTCATCTTCTCTGGTATTATATGTTCTACAGGAAACACAACTAAGATTCACATTCACATAAAAAAAACCAAAATACATGGTTTTCTCCAGCAATTAATTAAAAATCTTTTCACTGACATTTTTTTCTAGGACTCACTGATAAGTAACAGAAAAATACTTTCATAAAATTATGGATCTCCTGCTACAAATTAAAAATTGGACGTTTGAACAGATACTAGAACTCATGTTCTGCACCACTTGTCCTTGACTAATACCCTGTAAATCTGTGGGAAGAACCAGTGAAGCTAGGAAGAAAAAAGTCTACTTTCCCATATTTGCAGGAGAGGTTGCTGGCCAACACTTAAATGTACCACATTCAACTGAAGATGATAAGACTACCAGACTGGAAAAAAACCCTCTTAAAACTCTCATACCTGCTTGTTTCATTTATAAATTAAGTATGAATCAGCTTTAGAGTGTGTTCTGAATGTTCAAAACCAGAAACAACTACAGCATATTCCTCCTTTTTGCACTATCTGTTGTTCTTATCCATTACTCACAGTAAGCTTATGTTTATCTTTTGCCTTGAGTAGCTTCTCTAAAATTACAACAGACATATTTTACAGGTGCTGACCAGTCTTGCTTCAGAGTCTTTCATTCTCCTCTTATTACATGATACGCAATAAAGACTGATGCAAAAATTAAGTTGCTCCAAGTCTGAGGTGTTATGGAGACTGTTTCAGATAATACATGAACATAAATCACGAGACTTCAGGATTTTGGAACACCTAACCAGTGTCAGTACATCTTTGGCTAAGTACTCCTCTGGAAGTTTCTCCAAGAATCACACTTCCCTTCTGATGCACCCAAAAACCTGAGTGTGGGTAAAAAAAAATTACCAATGTCCTGCAGTGTAACCAAACACAAACAACTTGCACATGTCATGGTTTCAAATGAGGAAAGTATGAACCCGGTTTATGTGGGACAAAGTCCTAAGCAGTCATTAAAATGGTCTCTAAATGGATCAGTCATATGGATTCTGGAAGAGATATTCTTTCAGAAAAATCTACCTGTAAAGCAAGAGGCTCAAGTGATGGTTGTTTTTTAAAGAGATAACCGCAAAACACTTTAGTGAAGGTGAATGAAAATCCTCCTTGCAGTTATATATAATGAAAAATTACAATTAAAACAGGTCGCTACCCAAGTTGTTACAGTATACAGAAAAAAAGAAAGCTTTAAGAGCATTTTTATTTCTACAGTGTCATTGCACAGTGTAAATGCAAACTTCTGTTTTCACTTTTTCCAGTGTCCCAAAGATATAAGAGAGTTGGAACTTAAATAAAGATAGATACTGGGAACAAAGTAAGTAAGATGGCCAAACTTTGGAGCTGAATAGTTTAAAAGAATTCCAAATGTAACTGCATTTAGTCTGCCCCAAACAATATATGCAAACACTGTATTGTTCTCTGAAACTCAATAACTGAACAAGAATTTCTGCAAAAAAATTCTGCATACCTTTGGGAATACAAAACCACCAGTCAGTCACAAACACATCCAAAGCTAACAACAGTTTGTTTAGCTGATCCTCTGCTTTCACTTAAGCTTTGCTATGACTCTTATGATGATGCTTAAATTAAATACCTACTTACTGACTGGTAAAATGAAAATCTCCATCCCTGCAAACAGACACACACATAAGAACACCAAGTCAAATTTTCCTTGAAGGACCCTTTCTACCTGAGCAGCTTAACTTCAGGGAATTTTCTGAGTCCTGGTATTTTATACACTGATATGGATAAAACACGAAGATTATGACTCAAAGGAGCAAATCATCTTATTGTTTAAAGACTTTGCACAGAAAAGCAACTTTTGCATTTACTGCCTAAAAACAAACAAACAAATCCCTTAAAATGATGAGTGGTCTAAAACCATCTATAAAACTCTCTGGTTGTTTTCAAGTGAGGCAGCAGTGCCAACTCCAACTTCCCTGGAGCTCAGCAAAGGGCCCAGGGCCACAACCCATCTGAGGAGAGTTGTGAATAGATGAGCAGGCACATAAGCACATGGAAGTATCTTTTCCTTGGATACACTGTCAGCTCAATGCAGATGTCAAAAAGTCCAGTAATACACATTGTTCTATCACGGAGGGGAGAGTACTGTCAAATCCTGTGCTGGTCCCTGTTTTTAGAGAATATGAAACGAAACATTTATTCAACAAAAAAATAAAAACGTGAGTTCTTTCCAGTCTCGCGATTACACCTTCGCGTGTTCTCCCACTCAAACCTCCTTCCATTTCTTTCTCGTAATACACATCAAACCTACAAGCACAAGCCAAATAAAAATGCCTTCACCTGGAAAAAAAAATATTAAGAAATGCACCCGCAGAAGTTAAAACAGTCACTGGCAAATCAGAATATTTTTCCTTTGTGAGTTTATACTTCCCTTCGTCTTTCCCCCTCAACTTTAATCTCTCTCCATCTCTTAAAATCCAAATCTATCCTGTTTCTAATCCAAAATACAAATGACCAGATAAGTTTTCCTTTAAAGTAAAATCTAAATAAAAAAAAAAATCTAAATTAAAAAAAAATCTAAAATAAAAAGAAAAGGTAATTAGGTGATATTATGAATCTTTATATCTGGTTTTAGTGCTGAGGGTATTAAATGGCTACTTCCCCATCTGTTTTGTTTTTACAAGTTCATAAAAAAATCCTAAAAATTACGAACAATCGTATTCTTGACTATGAAGAGTTCCTTTGCTAATGAAGATCCTAACAATTAGAGGTCATATGGGAAAAAATGGAAACCCCATGCCTCCATGGCTGCACAAGTGAGGCAACCTACAACTGTGTTACTGTTTTCATTCACAAATCTATCAGTGTTAGAATGCAATGTGCCTGTGACCAAAGGATTGTCCCTTCTGGCCACAAAGAAACCTTTTCAGACGTTAAATTTTGGTTCTTTCCAAAGACAGAAGCAGGAGTCTGTGACTCTTCCAACTCCTCTGGACCTCTAAAGCCCTCTGTTCACAGCTAGGAAGGCGAGGCTACTTAGCAAAAAGAACACCAGGCTCAACGACATCCCTCTAGAAGAAGATTTGGTCCCCGTATTGCTGATCAGTTTGGGGGAGAATACAAAGGAGTAGAAGGATCAGAATACTTTCTGACAAGGACCCAACAATAGTTTAAGAAGTCAGATTTCAAGCACCAGAGTGCTTGGACATTATAGTTTTTCCTGGGAGGGGAAAAAAACCAACCAAGAAACAACACAAATTTAATATGAAAATCCAACCAAAATTATAAACAGGTTTTTTTTTTTTATCCATCTACAGCTACAAAAGTTACATGTATATTTAATACGTAACTCTAAGTAGCACATTCTCAAAATTGGCAGGAGGTTAGCAACGAAACAAAAGCAACTGTAGCATTCCTTGGATAAAAATCTGTCTTTCAAAGAGACGTCTGCTTCACGACTACATTTATAACAGCCTGTCTTTTCTGTTAAGACATAATTTTTTACAAGGGTACATGGCCAAAAGGAATTTTAGTTTCACTTCTCTTTATATGAGTAATGCAATTTCAATGTGATATATATAGACAGATAAAAATATCAGTATTTTACAAGTTGTACTGTATTTATTTGAATTTTTTTTCAATGTTTGAAGAGACCAAATGGTGGCAACACACCACACTTAACAAAACAAAGTATATATATTCCTGTATCACTGATGAAGCAGCCATACCATTCTAAACAGTATTACCCTCAAAGCTGCTCCCCTTCCAAATAAACTACCATGCTATGACTTTGCAATACACACATTTAACAAACAGATTTTATTTTAGCGGGTGAAAAAAGCCACCCTAAACTACCAAAGCCTCAAGCTAAATTCTGGTGAATCCAGTCAGACTCCACACCAAACATTACCAAGGTACCCATTATTTAATAAGAGCCCTCTGCTTCAGAATCAGGAACAAAAGGTGGCAGGATCTTCTGTCACACAAGCACCTGAGCTGACAAGCAAAAGTATTTCTGAACCAAGGTAGTTTCTGGACTGTGATGAAAGCAACACAAAATGATTTTGGCAGAGGATTCTACTAGCAATTTGTATTGCTTTCTCTGTCAGTATAACCACTTTAAAATGATGCAGCATAGACCCGAAAAACATCCTAACAGCTTTAGAATTCTTTTTCAGGAAGAAGAAAACTAGGAAATTTGCTCTGAACTTCTCCATTGTCCTGACAAATTGTCCTACAAAGAGCACAACAGTACCATGACTGCCTGGTTAGCACATTCCTGTTCTTTACACAGGCCTATTGCAATGCTACTCTCTGACCCCTCTGAAATAAACTAATTGGATTTGCACTTTAAAGTCCACTTGTCATTACATGTGAGACTTCATATTTTATTTTAAGCTCTGTCCCTGTTACAGCAGCGCATTACTCTCGTGCTGGTTAAAGCATTTTTTCCAGTAAGTCTTGTGGGGGCTCAGTAACAACAGCACTGGCATTTTTCTGGATCCCATCTTGCTTCAGAATTAATCCTGGGTCATACACTGACTCCTGGAAGACAAATACCCAACAGTACAAGAGTAAATGGGCGTTTTCATACCTTTGAAACGAACCTGCCTACAGACAACAGTATTGAAGTTCGTCAGTGGCCAGGTTAACCACAGCCTGCACGCCTACCTACACTTAACAGCCTTCCAGTTTGTGTTTCCAGTGATATTCTCCTTGCTCTGGAAAACTCCCTACTCAGACTGTCATACACTAGAAGACACTCTCATTTGACTTCCACATCATCACTAAGTGACTGAAGACTTCATTACTTCTATGCCTGTGCTGGTTTTGGCTGGGGTAGAATTAACTTTTTCACAGTGGCTAGTGTGGGGCTGTGGTTTGGGTTTGTGCTGAACACAGGGTTGATATGATAATACAGAGATGTTTTTGTTATTGCTGAGTAGGGCTTACACAGGGTCAAGGCCTTTTGTGCTTTTCACGCTGGGGAGGGATTTGGGGGTGCCTGGAAGGCTGGAAGGAGAGACAGCCAGGACAGGTGACCCAAACCAGCCAAAGGGATATTCCAGACCATACGACATCATGCTCAGCACCTAAAGTGGGGGGAAGGAGGAGGAAGGGAGGGATATTTGGAGTGATGGCATTTGCCTTCCCCAGTAACCGTTACACGTGATGGGGCCCTGCTCTCCTGGAGATGGCTGAACACCTGCCTGCTCGTGGGGAGCAGTGAATTAATTCCTTGTTTTGCTTTGCTTGTGTGTCTGGCCTTAGCTTTCCCTATCAAACTGTCTTTATCTCAAGCCACAAATTTTCTGGCTTTTACCCTTCTGACTGGCTCCCTGATCCCACGGGTGGGGGAGTGAGCGAGCAGCTGTGTGGGGTTTGGCTGCTGCCTGGGCTTAAAACGTAACAATGCCATTTAGATTTATGTTGCCAATTTACCCTTGATTATTTTCTTTTCAGCCATTAATATCCACTTCCTTGGAGATTTTTAGTATCCACTAGCACAATGATCCTAACAACGCTGAGTCATTCTAGACTACTTCTACCGTTCATTATTGATTTTTTAAACTAAACTTACCATTCCTTAGCTCTTAATTTTTTAGATGTTCCTCAAAATCACATGATCTCCTTGGCTACACAAGGCCCTTTGAAAAGTTACCACAGCTTCTTTAAGCATCTGTACAACACTGTAAAGGTACACTCCTTTATGTGTATTCTGCAGGGAACTCTAAAATCAAAACATTTTAGGAATGATGTCACAGATCTTCCTGAGCTGTAAGGAATGCGTTATTTTTAAGTATTTCCCGATTAATTCTCCAGTTATAAGCTCACAGGCAGTTAGTGGGTGCCATTAACCTTTGCTGTGGCTCACAGTCGGGTGATGTTCTTGCTTTATAGGGTTAATCAAACCAGAATTCTTTTTGCAGAGCTGAGCTGCAGTGTTTTCTTTCCTAACACTGGTTCTGTGGGAGCAATGCCTGGATACCAAGCCATATGAAATTGCTAGACCTTGTTTTCTTATCCTCACTTGGAAAATAAGCAGCATAAACACCAAGAGATGCAGAAGTTGCCCCTGGAATCCTATTACTCAGTTCAATACTTCACTGTGAACCTTCTTCCACCTCACCATCCATATCCTTCATGCATACTTAATTAGTAAAAAATAACCTCTCTCTGTCCCCACCACATGCACACATAAAATGCATTAAGCCAAAAGATATGTTTATCAAATACTTACACAGGAGAAGTACCCAAGTAGCAAAACAAAATACAATTCCTAGCCATTCTTGGGCTCTGATGACAGGCATCTTTAAGGACAGGATGGTTTAGAACAAAGTTTTCTCACTGCAGTACGCTGAAATCCTTGACATTTAATATTAGTTTAAGGTTTCATAGAAAGTATGTTTCAGTCTTCTTACCACCGTGATGAGTATTTAATATTTACAGCACTGCTGTCTTTTTAACCCACGTATAATACACAAAAATAACTGTTGCTAACGGGCTAAGAAGTTTCAATTCTGCATTTCAAACAGTGACCTCGATCCCTGATACTGTAACACAGAGGAAAAAAAAAGAAAAAAAGCCCAACAACAAACACATGCAAGTTAAAATGGGGGTGTGGATTTTTAATAATGCACTACATTATTTCCTTTCAAACTCTGGATTCCCAGGGTCTGGATTTCTGAAGTCATAACCAGCCAGTCTAGAGGGCAAGCAGAGGTCTGAGAATTGAAAGGAAATTTAAGATACCTTGATATAAACTCTGTTTTTAGAAACTGCATGTTTCTATACATACCTATTCTCTAAACATTAAAGCAATCAAGTATATATTTTACTCCTATTTTAATCAAAGAGGTAAAGAAGTACAAGACTTCAGCTTCTGAGAAATCATCTTATTTAAAGGATTCAAAAAATTAGGATTACAGCTGGAATCACAAAAAAAAAATATTAAAATGCCAGTCTCATGAGCTTAACATCAAAAGAACATACATGTCCAGATCAGCAACATCTTAGAGCAGTGGACTGTCACAGAATTATTTTGCAAGTTACAACCTGTTGCAAATACAATGCAATGGAAACAACAATGGGATACGAGACAAGAACAATTATTTTTTATTTTAAATACTGACATGGCTTTACAGTCAGAAATAGTTCTTAAATTAGTAGATCTACAAAGGAGCTCCAAAAAGACTACATACTTGTCTTTGCCATTAATTTCTCAAGGTCAATACAGCCCATCCCTACCCTTCCTGTACCTACAGTCCCACATAAGCCACCCATGAATAACCTTCCTAGAAAATCTCACCAGGATTCTTCCTCTTGTAGACCATGGCACTTTCAGTAATAGTCACTGTTATTAAGTAAGTTTATTAGTCTGATAATCTGCTGTTATCAGACCAAAATAACAAAATCAAAAATATATATGCACCAATTACAAATATATCTATAAAGCAGTTCTTCTGTGCTACAGAAAATCAAAGAAAACATGCCTGTTTATCAGAACATGAAAACCTGGCTTTTATTTCAGTGCACTGATGGGGGAAGTGAGTAATCAGCAGAAATATGAAAATCAGCACTACGCCTGTAGACACAGAGCAGCAAATTACTAGAGTTTGAAATTATCACTTACCAAAATCTACTCTTGTTAGTATGCACTGCATTGGATGGTCAGTTGTGTGCCTTGTCGTCGTTGCACCACTTTCATAACAAGTTGCACATAGATCGTAATCGTAGCAAATTAAACACTTGTATCGGCGACCTCGAAAATTTCCTTTTAAACATGCATCACAGCTGACACCTGTGAACAAATAAAACTGCTTTAAGACAGTAACAAATGCACTTTTTTATGAGGCAGATTTGTTGCCGTTGCCTCTCAATACCTAAAAGGAGCCAACCATGTCTGGCGCGCGCAGCTGGCACGGGACTCGATTTTTAAACGCGTTTGTGTCTTTGAAAGACACTGCTCTCCCAAAGTTACAATCCCGAATTCCTGAAGCAAAATAAGGGCAAACCCAAGCACCTGAAATTATAAGAGGTTAAGTCATAAAATCTCCTAGGACGCAACTTCCTACAGGAACCTTCAACTCTTAGCATTGACCAGGATTCTGACTGTTCAATTAGGAATCTTGGGCCACCTTTAAAAGCTAAATTGCATAATGACTGATTAAGAGATTAAAAACCAACAACAAGCAAACCAACCACTGACAAAAATATACTAACTTTTAAGCCTTTACCTCCATACTTCCTAACATTTTAATTCTGAAGAACACCATAACCATCCCTGACATTAGAAGTGGGGTATAAATTAGGAATAAATTTTTCCATTTAAAACAGCAGAAGAGAAACCTAAGTTGTTTTTTCAAGTTAGGCTGCATCAGTTCCCTCCATTCTGTTTCCTTCTCAAGCACAACCTTTGCACTGTAAAGCAGTCACACTGCATGTGTGGTCAGAGGAAAGGCTTTTATACCTTCAAAAGGTTTTCATTTTCCTCCGTATGGTTTCACTTCCCTCTGGGTTACCCATCAAAGGGCAGAAGTGACACTGTCTTGTAATCTGTGAAGGCTAACACAAACTTCTGCAACTGCAGCAGCAAATTAAGGGCCTTCACAAAAGAAACCAGTGTATACAATTAAGGTAGGATTCTGATCAATATCCTGTTTCAGTATCAGTTAACACTTGTTCTTCACAGTTTGATAAAAGCACAGGCAACTTCAGAGAAATAAAACTGCCACAACTAAATAGTCATATTAGCCATCTCCCTATTTTTTCAAGCCTCACTGTAAGAGGATTGGTGTTAATTACAGAAATTTTTTTTGCCCTTTCTTTTTTGAATACTCCTCTTTATAGCATCTGAACAGAAGCTTTGCAACAAATTAATGCAGAAGCACATCAGTAAGTAATTTCTTTTTGATATATCCTACTTGTTCAAAACAATTGCATCACTATAGTCAGATGAACAGTGAGAAAAATAATTTTGTAATTTTTTTACTTTACTTTCTTTACCTACTAGGAGAGCTTAAGGCATTATCTAAGTTTCTAATATGTAAGCACAGTACTTATGTGAATACTGAACCTATTTCTCTATTTGCCTCACTCCGTACCCGTTCTGCAAGCATCACTCTACATGGAGTAGCGCATTAGAAGAATATATTTACAGAATCTTTGTTAATAGCCTCAAGATGGTCAGATTACCATCTTCAAAGCTGTTTTGGTTTTTTCCTTGTTTGGTTGGTTTTGTTTTAAATATAATCTTTCTCACTTAAAACTTGCTTTTCTCTGAAGTTTTATCCATTAGCTCTGAAGGATCTTCAACAATCTGGTGATTTGGACACTGAGAGCAACTTAACTTCTGGGAACATTTGCTTGCTAACTCTGTAGACTGAATTTAATTGCTTCAGTTGGTTTGTTTGCTTTTTTCCCTTCTCCACACAGAGACCCACAGCATTTCACCTAAGCAGCACGCACATCTCCCCAACAATGCACACCACACACACAACACTTATCAGTCATTGGCAGCATTGCAAGCCTTTTTGTTTCCTACTAAACTTTCTAGAAAACAGTTGATCAGCAAGTTAGACATCACAGTGAAATAAGCAGACTTATTTAACCTAGAGCCTACATCAGACACCAAGAGCTTTCCAAATGAAGTACTAAGCCACAGTTCTCCAGTAAGTCATATTTTACCCACTCTTTTCCCTTTACCTCAGAAAAGTTGATTTAATGCAGGTGTAAGCCTCTTTGTAACAAACTCCTCCTGCCACACGTTCTCTCAAACATCTACATCACTCCTACTTGAAGACAGACATTTTTAAGTTTTCATTTACACGTCTTCTTTATGTCAATACTTCTCCATATTATTCCAAACTGCAGCCTGCATATACTACATGACATTGACTTGGCAGAAATTCAGCCATAAACACAAATCACAACATAACGTTTGTATTTTAAACCTCAGAACACTTGCAAGTGAAAATGCACCACATCTTTGAGTAATAGATGAACTTCACTTCTTCTGATCAATTATCAAAACATCTACAACCCAACTCACACAGAAAAGCTGACACTAGCATAACACATCACTTTGGCTGGTGAAGTCAGATCAGGAGAATAACATTTTAGAAACACTGTGCTTTCTGCATCTCTCAGGGTCAGTACTTTGCCACAGCTACTGCATTCTCCCCTTTGAGCAACCAGCTGGCAGCAGGGGACGTGCCAGATTACTCTTATTTCCTTATTTATAGAAGAGAATGAAAACTGAAAAAGGAAAAATTATTAAATAGAAATTTAGGAGTTAAACACATGCTTAAATTCCCAGATCTCCCCTGGAATCCAGCGGGATCTCTTTTCCAGAAATTATATCTCTTGTTTTTCCCTTTTTATAAGAGTCCGAGCAAAGTCAGGCCTAACAGTTTTTCCTGCTCTTCTTCAAGCCTATTATTTGGCTGCCAAAACCTCAACCACCTACCCAACCTGGGATGTGGAAACCAAAATAGCCAAATAATTTCCTCCCATCTTATCTTCTCTACTATAGTAACAGCTTTAATTTTAACATTTCATACTTTAATCTTTATATCAACTGAAATTCCAAAAGTTCACTCTGCGAAAACCCCAAACGCTCAAAGATAACATATTCTATCTAGCACAGCATGTCTTTCAGTATGTGCCTATCCAACGTGTCCCTGCATTTACCTTATATTTGCAACTATAGCAGGTATGTTACAGATTAAAATGGATGCATCCGTATTAATCACTGGTTGTGAGTAGAAAAAAAACCCACAACAAACACAGTGTGGAGAGATTAATTTTAAAGCAGGTAACAAATACACATGACCAAGAGAAGAGCACGAACAATGGGTGCCAAGGATTTCGATACATTTTGACTTGCATAATGTGTTACTACTGACTTTCAAAAGAATCCTAGAGTGAAACCCTATTAACCCCAAACTACTTGTTATTCAGTAAGAACTTCTGCTTCACCTTTTGCAAAGCATTGACTTGGAGTGGTAAGAGTAAGAAATACCCATTTTAGTTACAGTTCACATAGTCGTTATCATGGATAATATCAGAGGTGTCCTCAAATTTTTTTCTACTTTGTGATTGCTATATAAGTACCAGCATACACTGCATAACATACCTAATTAAAACTTTTCTGCTCAGTGAGAAGTGCTGTTTTAATGCAGCACTGTTCCACCAGAGGACAGCATTGTGCTAAAAGCCTAAGGAGCTCGGGCTCACCTTTAACTGTCAAACTCCACATTCTCAAAGGTCCCTCATCAGCAGAATTCTCCCGCAGTACCAACAGGCTCAACCTCTCCAGCTTCACACTTGGAGTGAAATCAATCAGGAGACACTTAACAGTCCCACTAATAAAATATGTTTTACCCCTTCAGTACAAAATTTTTACTACATTTATGTCAAGTCATCCCTCATCTTCATCTAATTTAGGCCCGTGACTTCGGCATTTTACATGCAGTACATTGAATAGTGATGGAAAAAAAGAAGCCAAAATAATGCTCCTCTCCAACACCTTTCCTATTTTGATCCTGATAGCCAAATATAATTTAATCTTATGACATATAATTGGTTTTCCTAGGAATTAATTAAAATTAAAGCAACTTCTGGGTTTAATAGACACACCAAAGGGAGCACAATCTGATTCCATAATGGACAGAACCAACACTGAAAAAAAAACGGTTTACATACCGCAGGTATTAGGGTTAATTTATATTTACAGTTACAAACAAAGCTAGGATATAACTTCAATTAAAATGCCTTTAATGTCCCCAAGCCACTACTGCCTTGGTTAGACACCCATTTGTGAAAAAAGCAAAGATTTTTTTCCCCAGCTTGGTCTCCTCAGAAACTAGGGGCAATTTGAATAGTAATGATAATAAAAGCCCTGACATCAGACCCAGGTAAAAAATTACCTGAGAAACTGTAGAAAATTCAGTTTGGTTTTGTTTTCCTCTTATGGAGAACTTACAGTCAGAGATGAGCTATAAAGAGATACTGAAATATGTTCCAAGCTCAACAACATGAGCTGCTAAACTTTACTGATACTTTCAATGTACTGCTCAATTTTTAGAAATTTCAAAGAAAATGCCCTTCACCAGTCACTAGAAAATATTTTAAATGCATACAAAGCCTACATCTGAAGTATTCAAACAGTGAAAACACAACAATTAGTTCCTGAGAGCAATACTTAATCATTCTGCTATTCCTGAGAATTAAACTCCTCACTTTTAGCAGTACACCAGAAGACCTTAGTTTCCTCGGTAGTTTCACCATTTCACAGTCCTGTCAATAGCTCAGTGTCCAAAAACCAACCTTCCAGCCCATAATTCAGATATTGCTTTTAATTCATCAGTGCTCAGAGTGAGGATCACTGAATTTCTTTAATGTCCAACACAAATACAAAATCGGCCTATCAATGGTTTCTCTTCCAGAATGAAAATGCCACTTACTTTAGAATTTCTTCCTAATTTATGTGAGGTACTAAGAGGGTTCACCTTTCCAAAAGACAAGCTGAAGTACCACTGAACTTCAAGGGACTGGACAAACGTCATGGTTTCTACATTTCAAAACCCCCAACTTAAAACATGCAAGTGAAAACTAAGAAGTTGTGCTGCCTCTTTTGTGGTAGAAGAGGCTGCAACCCGTTTATAGCATTTTATATATACTGAGGATCATAAGTAACACACTACTTTTAAAATGCCTTTGATTCACTTCAGTGCAAGATGCTCTTTCAGAGGGTTGTTTGCGGTTTTGTTTGGTTTTTTCAAATAAATTTGCTTGACA